CCAATACCGAGGGATAAATCACAATCTTATTACAATATATCTTTTTTTGCTTCGGGGAAAACACGATGTACTCCAATACCACAACCATAATGTACCTTGGGGTTCCTAAGTGCATTTATGGCATCAAAAAATTTTTTTTAAAATAAAAGAAAACATAACCACCTCAAAAAATATACATATTCGACATTCAGAATGCATTATGGCTACTGGCATAGACCGAAGGCCAGCTCAGCCAGAGAAGAACAATGGCCAAAACAAAGCAGCTCTTTACCAAAACTAACTATAATCCAAACAACCAACTTAGTACATCATCCTTCAGTGTTTATTTTTATGTCTTTTGGGTTTATGATGAAAGAATTTTTTCACAAAGAATTGGTAAACATGATGCAGTTTTTAAGTATAAATAATAATCTTAACTCCTTGACTTAAGTGATTTTAAGAGCTGGCACCATTTTTTGCCGAAACCTTACATCTACAGGCGGAGGAAATGCATCTGCCAACCAGATGTAAATCACGCGTAAAAATGGCAACTTGAGTCGAGATTATTCTTTTCGCTGCAGCTTTACTGGAAAATGGAAATGGTACTGAAAGAATAGTGGGGTTTTAAAAGAGCGATTAGCTCTACTCGACCTTTAAGCTAGATCGAACGAGTGCCTAACTTGACTTGGGCGTCCATTGGTGCGTCTCGAAGGCCGTTCTGGTGCATGATATTCAGTAGTGCTTTTTAAGTTGTGTGAGATGCTGCTGGTCATGTTGTGGAAAATCCTTGATTCTGTCATTCACCTCTCATTTAAGCCATATTTTGCTTCACATGGCCTAGGGTTTTACTGCACTTTGCCTGGTTAGATTGGATCGTATTTTAAGGTCATCACACTTAACTGTCCTAAATATAAGTTATCATTAGCCCCTGTGCACCATACTTTACACATTTTTCTTGTCTTAAAGGAAGTGCCTTGTAACTAGCAAGCCTAACGTGGATAAGCATACCTTCTAACTTCATGTTCGATGCACTTTAGATTACACTACTTGCATGTAGTCCGACAGTTAGTTGTAACTCGTCTTTCATTTCTTTAATGTCTTAAATACGTTGCCACTATTACTGCATCTAGACGACACTAACACTATTGTGTGCGTTTACTGCTCTTATACTGGGCTGAGAGCACTTGTTTTACCCTTATATTTTTGTCTCGACTACTATTGTTGTATCGACTGGGTTGTTGCTTTAGCTATTGTGGGTTTTTCGTTAATTTCCTGTAATTATTGACATTTTAGATTTCTCTCGTATGTTGCTAAGGCATTTGTCGCTCTCTCGATCTAGGGTGCTTCCGAAGATGGGACTTTTGCGGTTTCTGCGTAAAGCTTCGTTTTTTCCGCTGCCTAATCGTGAGCTGATTAGCCTAAGAGGTTGTGCTACAATTGATTTTCTACAGGGTTTAATGACAAACGATGCCCGTCTGATAGAGCCCAAGAATTCTCTCATATATTCGCTATTCCTCAACGTCAAGGTACTCAAATATTTAAATAATCTTCCTCTCTAAAAACACGCTGAAGCATAGTATGTTGCCAGCTTGTTATTCTTGCATTTAAATCCAATCAGTGGTTTCTGTGTCTTAAAATTATAATGCTCTCCATGAGGAAACTTGTTTTAAAGGCTACGAGATGATTCTGCGACATTGAAATAACGTCTTGATTGAACCAGTCTAAACATTATTGATGTTGTATGAGCGTAAATTTCCAAAAATTATCTAATGGAGGCATTTTCCTTTTGATTTAGGCAATAGGTTAGTCCTCTTTTATTTGTTAGTTATTCGAGTATACACTATAATGAAATCAGAACTGAAATGTGATAAATGAGAAGAATTTGCTCAGTTGTTTCTTTACCTTAAGGGACGTGTAATTGGTGATACTCTCATCTACCATGTAAATCACCAGGATCAAGAGGAACCTCACTTCGTTATTGAATGCGACAGCAAGTGTAAACCAAGTGTGCTTAAGCTACTGCGGTATTACGACATCAGGAAAAAGGCAAGTCTGCTGCGCCGCGTTATTGGCCTGCTTATCAGGTGCACATTTCGGAGGAGCCGTCTTTGCGAGTGCTTGTGAGTTTGAAAGTCAACGGAGTAGCGCCGAGTGTTGGTGATGCCCTCTTCGTGGGAAAAGATCCTCGTGCTGTTCCCGGCTGGTGCTTGAGAATGTTACGCCATACGGGTTAGATATGTACTTAAACGCTATGGCTGCTTAAGATAAATCAGCGTAACTCTAAAATTCATCTACTAATCGTATACACTTTTTATCAATGATTGTATTTTTTAAGTTTATGGTACATTGATTGCCCTAATACTATTGAAAGTCCCGATTTTCAATTAAGTTATTTTACTAGATGCTTTATTGGTTTTTAAGGTAGCAACCTAACAGCCATCACAAAATGACAACTCCTCCGGTCTCGAAACGAATGATGAGTGTATCTTTGATAGTGGCAACAGTTACTAAGACAACGTCTTCAGTAAACAGTTCTTGCTCCACTTTAATTTCTTTAGGAGATCTGAGTTTGCACTGACAAAATGAGTTATGCCCCTCAGAGGTCATGTGAACGTCAGTGTCACGGACTACTGCGGTGTGTGATTAATAGCGTCATTGTTGTTATCTTGTTTACCTGTCTTGCCTGCCTTTAAGATTCGATCAAAAGTGTTTGTTTGCATTTGTGACGTCCGAATTATTTCCAACGATAGAAAGACTCATAAGTAACCACTCTATAGGCACAGAGGAGGGCCTGGAAGCATGAAGATAGCTTTATGCCATCGTCGTGAGGACTGAATCCTGGAATACTGGGGGCTAAATGTAATTCTACAACAACTCCTTGATTTCTCTGCGTTGCAGTCACACAGTGCCTGACTTATTCGTTGCTATAAATCCCCAATCATTTGATCTCAGTAAGTATTCTTTTATGTAGCCGCCACTTCTGAAACTGCCTGCGCCCCTAGTGAGGCGGTCTACAGGCGCACCCGCTACTGTCTCGGTTTGCCTGAAGGCGCAGACGAATTCAAGTCGGGAGAGGGTCTCCCATTGGAGGCAAACGCCGATCTGTGCCATGGTGTCAGTTTCTCCAAGGGCTGCTACTTGGGTCAGGAGTTGACGGCGCGCTCTCGATTCGTTGGCGTTATTCGCAGGCGTGTTGCCCCCATTCTATTTGAATCACCTGTCAATCCAAACACGTAATTTTACAACTGATAATTGACCTCGTTTTCTGTTTTGATTTCATTTCTCTATCGTTATGTTATGTGCTTTTGCTCACACTCCCCAGAAGCGGGCGCTAATGCGGAGGTCAAATCGCAGGAGACTGGAAAGGTTCCCGTTTAAAAATTGAATTAAAACAAGCAGCACTCCATATCAATCACTTCAAGAAAACAGGCTTTAGCTTTTCCTCTCTCTCGCTTTCCAGCATTCCTCTGGATGCCCCAATTTTCCGCATTTCCAAGGAGGATAACAAGGTTGTCGGAAACCGACCAGTGGGTTGGATTCGCGGTCAGGAGGATCCGTCTTCCATCTCCGACTTTCCAATCCGGCAATATGGTTTGGCTCTCCTCCGATTGGCTGAATGCGCAGCGGCAGTTGCTAGTGATGACAAACTCATTGTAGACGTCTCAGGAGCAGCACAGGTGTTGGGAGCGGCACCCGCCGGCGTAGCTATGGTTTGCGTTGTGCAACCGTTCGCACCCTCCTGGTGGCCGGAGGATATCGCCGTGGGGCTTCCTCGCATTCAGCAGCCTCCGGCCCCCTTGTCCCAGCTATGTCAATGAGTCACAGTACTGATTTGTACCGTCTTCAGTCAGTTTGGCCTGTTGATATTGTTTGGGTCTTTCACCTCAGCGTAGAAGAAATCTGCTCATTTGTTGCCCAGCCGGAAAGTTGTCGCGTTTTCTTGGTGTTTCGCTCCAGATTATAGATATGCGGCTTTTTCATTGCGTATGGTCCCCTCATTCAACCAGTGCCGTCGATGCGCATTTCGATGCAACAATGTACTCATTTCGGGGCGGTTGTGGATTGAAACTGTTCATCGGCGTTTCAGTTTTTCAACTTGAGATTTGAAACGTCTTTGGTTCTTGTAACAAATTGGCTGAACACATTCCACCGCGCTGCATTAATGTCTTCCTGGTGTAATGGTTAATGCTGATGTACATTGAAAAGGCACCATGTAGAGTTGCCTTTTTTCCTGTTTCTACGTTTCAAAAGCGGGAATTGTTATTTGGAAGGCACTGGCCATCTGTAACTTGATTAAGCGTCGGGTCTCTCGTGGCTTTGCCGACATGAATTCACTAGGCGCAAGCCTTAGATCCAGGATCTCGATTACACTATGGAACGACAAATAGTTTGTGCTAGATTAGCGCAGTTGTGGTGGTGATGGGTACTTTTATGCCTGTATTCAGTGTAGCTTGTAAAAGTACTTAGGTTTTCAGGACTAGGGAACATAAGGCTGCTCTCAGTGTTTGCTGTGAGCAAATTTTTTTTTGCAATGGTTGATGGATTTTTGGTGCGTTGATTGGGAATTTAGATCGCCACTGTTGAACGTTCCCATTGCTCTGAGCTCTTCTTACAGCTATGCGGGGTCGTCAGTAACACCGATAGACTAATAGACTTGATTTTTGGTCGACGAAAAGGCGATCCAATTCTACATTTGGCGATGAATGGTTGGTAGGTAGTTCTAAATGCAGATGACTCGTCTGGGTTGGGGTTGTCACCCGGACATGGCGGAAATTTACTAGGTAGGAATGCAAGCGGGTATCTGAAATTCATCAAAGCAAAGGATTTGGCTTTTTGAGACTGGCGGATGATAGAGACGGATGAAAGCTACTAAGCCGCGAAGGAAGTATCAAGGATGCCAAAACTCTTGCATATAATGTGTTTGAAAATTATTAATAATCAGTCATTCTTTGCATGCATTGCTAAAGTATTGAAATGCTAAACTGCACCTACTGAACTCTTTGGAAGCCTGATAGCATAAATTTGGTTACAATGGAATATTTTCCTGTAGCGAGTCATTTACCTCTGGTAAAAAATTCTTTTTTTTAATTGAGACATCGTCACCCCTAACACCTATGCACTAAATTTTTATGCTTAACATTTTAGTTTAGGCCTTACACCTAGTCTGAACTACTGATTTCAATTTTTCAGAGGCAAGTTATTTCTCCGAATTGATTTTATGCTTTTGCGCATATTTTTAGGTTCTTGAAATTGCAGCGCCTAAAATATCAGTTATACATAAATAGCTTATTTCTTTCGCAAGTTCATACTTTTATCTCACCTATTACGAAGGAGGTGTTCATAAATCCATTGAAAGCCGTGTTAATGTTGGCCTTATTTTCGTACAGGAGCATCGCGCTAGTTGAATGCAAAGCCGTCAGGTTTTCCTTTTCTAGTTTTTTTTTTACAAGATCGTCAGCTTTTCCGACAAGTCGTTTGCATCCATCTCTTCAATGGTCCTATTCACGCCACCCTGAACCACGTTGTGCACATCCAAAAACTCATGGCGCACACTGTATGCTCCCACGACATCCCTGCTTTCTGAGCACTCAGCCAGAACTTCCTGAACCAGTTTCCTCTTCTGAAAAGAAGTCTGAAGCAGAGTCTGAGAAAAGTATTTCCCTTGTACAGCGATTTAAAAATGCCTATAAAATATACGGGAAAGTCTTGATCGTCGTCCATGGTGTCACTTCTGCAGCATGGCTGGGATTGTTCTACCTCATTGCATATAGGTGAGTAAAGTCTATTTTAATTTCTAGTATTACTAATAAGACGCCGTTAGCAAATTATTCGAGACAATCCAATGCGCACTTCCTTATGTCCTTCAAGGCCGACATGAGTTTTCTCCATTTACAAATTGCAAAGATGAGTCTAAAATTCTTTTTTCTGACCCGGGCTAGTAATGAAAGCAGCTCTTCTTTATTTCGGTAGAAAAGTGCTAAATGTAATTCGCATATCGTGTCTGCATATGCGCAAAACTTATTTTTTGGTTCATCTTTGAAGCACTGCGGTTTTTTGAAGCACTTTAGTTCCCACGCAACCAAATTCCCCTATCTTGCTCTATTTCGACATCTTTTGGACGTTTTACAGGATTTGCTATTTTGGTTCTTGTTATCGGTGATACTTTTCATTTCAAGCCCGATAACATTTGGTAGGATGTCTGCGTTTTTAAAAATCCAGATCTCCGGTTGTTATTTGAAATCAGATCCTTGTCTTTTGATCCAAGCCTGACTCGTTGAGTCGTACTTTCCCAGCTATGAACTTGTTTCTGATTTGTATAATCAGACGTGCCTTCTGTTTCTTCTGCTTTGAGGCACAAATTGATAACTACTCGTTCGTCTATCCCTCCATCTATCCGCGTGTGTGATCTGCCTTTAGCGGGCTGGATGTGGTCTCAGCCCTGAGGGGAGTGAGACCACTAGAGTGGCTGGTAGAGCCGATGGTAACTCGAGGGCTAGGATTCTGGGCGACCGCCCTACTCCTCTACAAACTCGCCACACCCTTTCGCTACTTTGTTACGCTTGCTGCTTCGCGTTACGTGGTTCACGGCCTCCGCACTCGCGGTCTTGCCCCGCCCCTGGCCGAGGAAGACCGATTGCGCAATCTGGCCCGCCAGGGCGTCCGCCTCTCGCGCTCTCGTCTCCGGCAGTCCAGTGATCGGGTGCGCAGTCGGCTAAAGCTGGCACCAAGCAAAAGACGAGTCACCAAGCCACCGGCCTAGCTACCCTATAATTCTTTCCTGGAATTTCGGCAGACGTAATAACTAGTTTACTTCCAGAATGTCTATGCTGTGGTGCTAGGCACACTTTACCTGACTAATAAATATTATTTTCATCTTCTTGTGATGTCCTAGGGTGTTGGCTGTTCTCAAAGGGGGGTGGGGATGTATCCCTCGCATTTGGTTTTTGACATTCTTCGTTTAATTCATTCGGTTGCCTACTTCTTCTGGCGCTCCAGTGCCACTCGGTTCCCTATGGTTTGGGGTTGGATTTAATGTTCCTTTTGATAGGCATCTCCTGATTTGGTGTAAGTGATTTATTGTGTTCCCTTTTTTTGACTGAGACTGGCACATTGGTTCCTCCAGTGATGTACTTCTTCGCGTTTAACATATGCGAAATATCATTTCAGTGGAATCGCAATATTCCATATGGAAGATCATTTAAGCGTCGTCACATCTAATCCACTCCTCCATTTGATTCTGTGTCTTATGCGTCTCCTTTAAAACCTCAATCCATTGGTCTGTGGCTTAGTAGGAAGTTTTGTTTATGTAGTCGTTCCCGTCTTGCATCACGATTTACACAATCTGATTGATTGCAAAAAATAGCCTTGTTTGATACTTAGTAATTGTGTAGTGTTAGTTTTCTCCGATGCAATTATTCTGTAGAAAAAGAAATAGACGCAAATCCTGTTAAACTGCTTGTTGCTTTTGAAAAACCTTGCATAATTCATCATTATTCTCAATTTTACTGCTAAACTGATCGATTATCGCTTATTTTACGGTGTAATATCTCGTTTCCGGCATTCGAATTTTCTCTGAAGCCCTCATGATGTTTATGAGTCTAGAAAGAGCTTTAATGTCACGTTGTGGAGCATAATCCGATATTTTCATCGTAGAAGTCCAGTCGCTATTGACAGGCAGTATTCACTGGTTCAAACGACTTCATAACCCCTCTCTTCCCTTGAGCATGACCTCTTGACCTTCTTGAGATAGCTGAGTATACCAAATCATCGCAGTGACTTTCCGCCATGACGAGAAACCACTCAAGTTAACCGAGGAACGCATCTTGCGTGTCCCAAATCCTATAGGCCTGTGTGCCACATTTTGCCTAGGGTTGGAAGGTTGCCCAACTGGCTGTTGCTGACAGGAACATTTGCCCAGCAGCAGAAGTCCACTTAATGAAGCGTGCAACGTAGAGGAGCTTTACGGACCGAAATCATGAACCGATCCCCGCTTTCGACTGTCAAGGTTTTGCTACACTCCAGGCTATCACCTGGTTCATTAGTCTTTCTAACCGCAAAGTGGGGCTATTTTTCTCATCAACGCTCTGCTCTACTGACCAGCCTCACATAGTCGCCTCGTAAATTTCTAGTGGGATGAATGTACAAGAGTTGCTGGAGAGTCTGCATGCACCGGAGTTGATGCTGAAGCCATTCCACGTAGCTGGTGGTTCGGTGGGAGTGTTCGCATCGGCCTATGTGCTCTACAAGGTGTTGGGACCGCTACGTTATGGCCTCACCCTCTGGCTCACCCCCGTCATCGTGCACCGCCTGCGCTCAGGCGGTCGGCTGCCGCCACTGGCCGAGCAGGATCGACTGCGCAACTTGGCCCTAGAGGGAGCCAAGAGGACCCGAGAACGGCTGAGCCAAAGACGGAAGAAACGTCCACAGATGGTAAGAAGGTAGTAGGTCGGGTTGCCCGCATGCGTTTGTACATATTTTGCTACTCTCGCGCTGTTTGTCTCCTTTTTTGTTGTTTTGTTTGCGAATTCACTCGCAGTGCGATGAAACACACTCACTCTATTCTGCCCTCTAAATCCCCCACTCAAATCGCTTTGGAAGCGCTTCTGATAAAGTAAAAAAAATCTGCGAAGTGGCTGAATTGCTTTTCATTGCTGAAGTGAAAGCAACCACGTCTGAAGGGATCTACGAAATAAAGAGACTAGACTGCTTTTTTTTCAAATTATTTTGTTAAATATGTAGTTGTTGGATTTCAAGCAACTTATTTACTTGGTGTTTGACAGGTTCCTACGTGTGACGCCTCGACCCGCCCACCCAAGCCCAGGCGTCGCGCATTTGTGGAATGATTCCTCCCTCAGCTTGCCATCACTGGTCGCACCAAAAAGGGTTTGCAAATGAAGCAAAGGCACAATGACAGTCATTTTAGTTATCAAGGGGCACCTAAAATGGAAGGGTGGATAGTGATAGCATCGGTGTCCCCTGGGTTCTGGTGGCAGGCGGTTTTCTGACACCCTGGTACCGAGTGTGTCGGTGTAGGTTCTACCCGCGTGTGACGATGGAGGGACGGGTTACTGTTAATTACAACTACAACTCCTGTGTAGGCCAGACAAATAGATTCCGTGACCGCTCAGATTTTGTAAATTCGTGTTTCAAAAGTTACAAGTGAGTTGGAGCAAGTTATTTTTGGTGAAAACGGTAGTAGGTCCATCAACAGTGACGAAGTGATGAAAGAATTTTGGAATCTTGAATGGTGATGAAGTGTTCCAACTATTTGGGATCTTAACTTTACGCGGCTTCGGCTCCCACCTCGATGCCACGGCGTTCCGTTTATGCCATTTTAAAACTATTTACCCCATCTGCTACACTTATGGCAAAGTTCTACCTTGACCCGTATATCTTAGAGCATCTTCGGGGAGGTCCCCATCATCATTATTATGCTAGTTGGAGGTCTGGTTGACCTTAAGCTGTGCAGATTTCGGGCCATAATTTATGCCTGCTCAAAAAAATAGCCAGCATCTGCAAAGTTGCATTAGTTTTGATACGCAAAAAGTAGTAAATGTCATGGCAGAAAGAGGGGGGTTTCGAAGATATCCAAGAGAGGCGGAGGGCGTCCGAATAAGCCGATTCAACATAACTGCTATTGTTGATAGAATTAGTGGGAAGCTCCGATTTCGTTTTAATTGCTCTAGCTCTAACTATAGATGAATATTACTATCAAAGGTTATTGTAAAGATGCTCTCAGTCATGAATGACGCTCCGGGACCGCCTTGAAGACGAAGGAAGACACAGTACACAGGGGGAATATGTATTATTAATGGGGCAAATGGAAATAGGGCCGCTGGCATGGCCGAGTCAGGCGGCTCGGTAAGGGTAAAGTGGCGGAACCCTTGGGGGGCCAGTTACTAAATCGAGTTGCGCAAATAAGCAACGCACTACAACGGGCCCCCTTCCTTAAGTCACTATCAAGTTTTGCATCTTTTTCAGCAAAGTGCTCCTCTTTTTAGGTACCAAAAAATCTGGAATTGGAGTGCTGACAATCTCCATGTTAGGGCAACCCTCTAGTAGGTCACTGCCTGAACCCCCTGATTGGAATCACTTTAGCAACTGTTTGCGATATCATTGGAAGGGTTAACAACGCGGATGAGCATAACGTCACCGGCTTATTGGTGCCTACTGCTCGGAGCGCTCTGATCGAATCGAGTTGAGGTCAACCGAAGGAACGGATTGCCAGTCATCCCCAGAAGGCGTGCTTTATCATGTAGCGTTTTCACTCCATAGGTTACCCACGTCCATAATGTGCACTAGGCGTAACATCAATTACCATTTCTTCTAAAAACGCATAATTAGAAGAGCAAATCAAATCATGTGGTTGGGACGTGGTGAATATTGGCCAAGAGGGTAAAACTTGACTGGACTATCAAAAAAGGGTGGTGCCTTTGATCAAACGGATAGAAAGCGCCCGATTCTACGTTGTAAAAATGTCCATAGCCAAAAATTGTTTGCTACCAAATTTTGCAACCCTGAGACTGGACTAGCGGGACGAAAGATGGGCTATCAGAAAACTGAGTAGGGGACAAATATGCTCGGCCTCGCGTGCGAACTGGCATGGGGCATTTTACTCATGTCTTGGTAGCCGCTGTGAAAGATGAGCAAACCACAGATAAGCGACTGACGCCGCTCATGACCAGACACCCTAGTGATTGATACCTCAGTTTCAAACCAAAACCCGTCATACTACTGTCCGTGTCGCCATGATAGAGTGCTGACAGCCACGCGTATAAAGCCAGTGCTGTGTTAATGTCCGTCGTCAAGGTTATCATGTTTGGCTTGGGTCAAGATAAAGCGACGCAAACGCGCAAAACTACCCCAAAAAACCGCGTGAAATGGGATGGAAAAACCTACCCAACCACACTTAACTCGGCTGCATCATCAACTCATGCCTCTCCACCCACTTCTATAGCCTCCCAGAACGTTAACAGGTCTCCCGCACCAATCTGCTCCACTTCGCATTCAAGGGCATATCGGAACGTGACAGTGTCCATGGTACACGGCCCCATTGCAATGGTGACCCAATACGCCCTTGACCAACTGATAAGGGGGGGAGGGATACAACAACGAAAACAATGTTACGAAAGCCCTAGTTCCAATAAACATCATAGCGATTAAAATAACATTAATCTAAATCACAAGACAAATCAAGATATCAATAGAACCCAGTAACTACGTTTCCTAATAATAATGATGCATGAACAGATTTAGACTGCTACGAGCTCATGGATCATGTGCGACACAATAATTTGAACTATGCATCAGACCAATGATAGCAAAAAAATCAAAACAGACAACCATTCCACGACAGGAAGAGACAGCCCAACAATGGCGAGTGAAAAGCCTCAGTTTTGCGCGTCAAGGGATATAACCACCAAGGGTCCTCATTGACAAGAATGGGCGCAATGTGTACACAGAAGTAGGGGTCACAAAAGAGTAATCGATGATCAATCGAGCCGGAAGAACGCTATACATTAACCAACGGCCAGTGACACTAAAAAAGCAGAAAACAAGAACTATCCAGCGTAATACTCAGGATGACAGGGATGGCGGTCATGTTACAAAAGTTAATACTACCCTAACCTATTGCATTAAGCGGTTTCTTCTGCCAAAGTGAGTGTTTAAAGTGTAGCAATTATGATCTCGTGGCTACATAAAGTACATGGTGAAAATAGACGCCAGATAATCACTAAGTCTACAAAAAATACGATAATACCATCATAATCTTAACTCTATTCGAGAGCGTGGCCTACCATCTATTTCCTCTTGTGGGACTTCTTGTTATCCCACCGATTGGTGCTACCAGCAAATTCACCCTTATAATGGACGTGAGAACCGAAGGGAGCACCTTCGTCACCATCTTCCTCCTCGTCATCATCCTCCTCATCTTCCGAAGATTCCTCCTCCGACGACGACGGGGGCATGTCTGAATTGGAGTTTCTGACAACCAAATCATCATCTGGCATTGCTGCGTTAGCATCGAACTCGATATCGTCGTTCTCGTCCAGATTCACTGTGTCTGGAATCTCGCCTACGAATGAACACACATATGCGTCGCAACCGTATGATTTCAGAAGCATGAAAATGGAATAAACTTCACCACACCATTTAGGCAGCTTTGCAACAGTTAAACACTTATCACACACGAATTTACGTTATTAGCAGACTACCATAAAATGTCTAAAGGCAAGTCTTACCAATAGACTTCAATGTCCGGGCTTCATCGTTTAGGTATTTGAGAATAACGTCAGCCTTTTGATCTTGATAATCACGAAGACTGACGAGAATAATGTCACCACTGTTGATCCAAACCTTCTTGCGCATTTTCCCCCGAATATGGCATAACCGCTTAACCCCGTCAAAGCAATAAGCTTCAAGGCGTCCGTTGCCAAGAAGACGCTCAACCTTTGCGTATTCTGAAATGGGAAATTGCGACCGTATAAGGCAGCGGAGCAACGAGAGCAATAAGACTGCTAATACAAAACCATTTACTTACGTTGACCTTCCTCGCGATAAATTAAGGCCCGTTTTTGGCCCTCATTTTCATTCTTACCCCGTCGCCGATTTTTACCCCCCTTTCCCTTATTCTTTGGCATTGTTGTAGCGAACCGACCCCAACAGTAAAGCGAGTGATGCACAAATAACACTGCAAGTGAAAAGACGCTAACTAATTAAAAGAAAATCGTGAAAATTACCAAGGAAAAGTAAAAGTGGGTAATCACCTGTAACAAAGTCAATTTTTTCCAAAAAATTGAATTTTTAAGTAATTTTAGCAGCCAAACACTGCAGTATTATTGTAGTGCGCCAGACTTCTCTAAAGGCTAAAGAAGACGTAATACTCGGGCAGAGTATATACATTCGGCATACAACCGGGCCCGAAACTAGCAACACGGTTTAGGGTTTAGCGTACCTGAAGAAAACAGGATGATCAAGGCACTAAAATTTGCCCTTTACTAAAAGCGAGAGCTAACCATCAGCAAAGGTATCATATAGCCTCTATCCTTATTTGAGCCTAGTCCCCGAAACTCCCTGAAAGAATACACGCGCAAGCCAACCATATTCGTCACCAGATTTTTATGCAGCTGCAACCTCACTTATCCCTCTAGTTAGTTCTACAGGATTTTGGGAGTTGTTTAGCTTAAAACTAAGGTTTTATAAACGAAGAATTGTACTAGCCGTTGCGTATGTCCATAACTAGGTGTAGAGCTACTAGTCTTAATGCAGATTTTGGCAAAGGAGGATGGGATTTAACGGAGTTCCTTGGGGAATGATCTTACGACTGTTTTGCTTTGTCACATTGTTCTCACTTTGATGCTGCCCATTTATGCCCATTTTATTGAACTACTATAGAAGTGGAGGACGTATCTTAAGTTTACTCCAATGACATCTTTATGCGGATATCAGTAGCTTTCGTGCAAAACGTGGTAATGGGGTAACTGCCGGAAGCACGGGCCATTCTCATCCCTTCTGTTATGGGTTGTCGCTGATTCTTTCATTCGAAGCATATACACTTCTTCCACCCTGATGAGGTATTTCACCCAGCAGTGGAACTCCGGATGAATGTCCATTAAGAGTGGGTGCATTTTCTGCTGCGACTAATTTAGCGACTGAGACTTTTTTGCAATGGAAAGAAGACATTATACTTGCTTAGGAAGTGTATATTCAAATTACGGTAGGGCTGAGAGGCTACTGATATAGCCCAGAGGCCAGCCCACCCGGCCGACACCAAAAGTGACCCTTTAACAAAATTGAGCTAAACTAAAACCATATATTTCCGTTTTCGAATTGGATTTTGTCTCCCACTAAATTAAATAGCAAATCCTAGGCTGCTACGTTAGCTATTAGCCTAAACGTAGCATTAAGTCTTCTACAGAGTATAGTAGGATAGAGCAATGTGAAGAAAATCTTTTACTTTTGTGCACATGTACGGAGAGGCTGCAAGTATAGAACCGAAAAAAACCCTCAGAGCTAACACAAGATTTGCGGCAAGATTAAATTTCCTGTGTGAGCTAAAACATGTGATAATATACATAACAATGTTGTTATTCTTGAAATGCCACAAACGGCATAAAATAAAAAGCAGTACTGTTCATTGCACTCATTCTCCTTTTAATATGTAATCTTAGTTTTCACCAATTTGTTTTTGGAATTTTTTGTATTTATGAAATGCAATTTTCTCAATAATATGAGAAGAAACATGTAAAGGTGAGACATTTAAAGGACTAGGACAACACCTTTGTTAATCACCTTTCCAAATTTTACACAATTCCGCTACTTTTGGCAAAATTAACCCAGCTCTCCAAAACCGATTGAGGGCATAACACTAAAGCAAAATATGCGTTGTTGGTGTACAGAAGAGCTTAGCGGCTGCCGGCATGCCCGGTGTTCTCACAGCACAGTTAAGTAAAAATGCAGGCTATTATGTTTTGTTATGAACCATTTCGGATGTCAGAAGATGGGTTATTTTGCTTTTAAATCATCTTTTGATAAAAAGGAACGCATTAGTAAAACCAAAAGGATATCCTGGCAAAGCCAAACATTTAACACCATGTCTAAGGTCCTCTCTTTGAGAGAATACGGTTTTCCATCACCTGTCGGTGTAAAACGTCAACTGTTAACCTCAGGTCATACTACTAGCCTCAAATCCTTCAGCAGGCTGTCAGTACACATTCTGTCCGAGCATGATGCTTTCCTTTGCCTTTTGGAATGTCTTAGCGCACTGCAGATAGACATTTACGTTTTGTTACTTGCAAGATGCATACCATTTGTGGTCCAAGTTACAATCATTTAATTCCTTTGTCTCACCACGTCTCCCATATGTGCTTTATAGCGCAATTTAGTCAGGTTTAGCCTTTCCCCATTTCATCTTAGCCTAAGTTTTTTTAGTTTGAGTAAGATGGGTGGGTAAGGGCATTCGTAATCGATATTACTATGAACAGGCTGCAGTGATCAGTGAACACACGTTCAAAGTACACTTATTCCTTAGGGGTAGATGACATCCGCCCCGTACTTAGATTTGTGCCTAATACATGGCTCTCATTAAAGTATTTTCAAGCAAACACGCATTACAAACGCCATATAAGGCGTGAATATTATCATTCAATTTTGAGATATATTGTTGGTGAACTCATTGGAAATGTTGTTGGATTTACTTAATACATTCTAATACCTTCTAATCAAATACTATTATGCCAAAATCTTATCTAGGTAAAATGATTGAAAATATTGTAAAGTATTATATTGACATACATGTTTAAACCTTCAACTCTGCATCCGTTTTTTTGATTCCAGAAGGTGATCCCTTGTTCGATGGGTAATAATGTAAGCTCAAGGTACGAGAATGCGAAGAAAACCGGGTCCTTGCAGCTGAGTAACCTGAAGTTGTCAAAAGTAATTTGTAGTTATTTGATATGCACTGATGTAGTTTCCTGAGGATGTTAGGAAACTGACGAACTTGCGCGCTCTCGACCTGTCCTCCAACTCAATCCAAAATCTTGATCCGTGGATTGGTGCATTTCCCGGTTTGAAGTCACTGAATGTTAGTGGCAACAAACTAGGTAATTCCCCAGTCCTTTCTGGTGTGATTCTACGTCTGACATAGGTAATAATTTATCGAATCTGATGGCTGATTGATATCTCGCCGTTCTCATAAGTGTTGCACCAATACTTAGAGTCGTTTGTTTGACCTTACTGGCGTCTGTTTTTCTCGGATGCTAGCATGTCTACCAACTGAGGTGTCGCGTTTGACCAAATTAGAATCACTCAATGCCTCAAACAACAGGATGCTCTCTTTAACCTCTAGCCATAGTGTGGTTAATTTTGGGTCTCTGAGACATCTACGAACCGTTGACATTTCAAAGAACAATCTCGTCGAGTTTCCTGTGGAATTATGCTCAAAAGACATACCACTCGACCTACTCGACCTCTCGAAAAATAACATTAGTCTTGTCCCCGACTGCGCAAGTCTGCTTCAGGTTAGATTTTCGTGGATTTTCCTCCTGAGATGTGCCCCAATCTTCCCTGGTGATGTTGATTCCATTTTAATTTTCTATCCAATTTAGGTGATTGAACTCAATCTAAACGAAAACCAAATATCTGCCATCTCCGAGTCACTAGCCAAGTGCCCACGACTAAAAGTGCTCCGTCTGGCACATAATCGACTCCGACTCGAAGATATTCCGATGGGCATTTTGGAAGACTCGAACATTTCCCTTTTTTCCATCGAAGGCAATCCACTTTCAATGAAAGCTCTCCAGGAACTACCCGCGTATGCGAAGGTGCAATCATCTACCACTCGTTTGTCTCTTAATCCAACTGTGCGATATGCAATAGGAATCTAGCAATGCAGAGCCGAACCCCAGCCCTAAAATGAATGAGGGTACCGCCCACCGCGCCGAATCACGGTTGATTCTTTGTTTTCTGCTCGTTAGTCTGATGCTTGTAACTGTGCTGTAACGTGATACGTCCAATCACGCTCTAAACTATCCGGAAAGTCCTCTAAGGATACTTAATTAGTACGACTACGGCAAAATAAATCAGTCTGAGGAAATTAATTATGCGATGCACACCAAGAGACTGTATTTTGGTAGTGCGTGCGCACAGAGTCTAGTCATCAGGAACCGTTGGTACTGAAAATGAATAACATCCACTCGCTCATTATTTTGCACAACCTAGGCGTCGTCTGGCGTTCTATAACTGTTCTTCTTATTGCTTTAGTACATGGAACGATTCACGGCGACAAAGCGAAAGGCGATTCCGTAGGACGTGGAACCAACTGAGGAGCTCGGAATGATCATTTCTCATTTTACACTTTAATTTGACACTATTAAGATCCAAAAAAGGCGTTTTTGGGCCCTGTTTAACTTCACATCTTTTAAAAGTGGCAAGTTAATGTTGTCGTTACGTTCTTCCTTTTAAGATGTACAAGTCATCGACACCAAAACCCCCGCAAATATATTTATCTGTCTTACATTTTCTGCTGTTTAGCGCTGATCAGGTCTCTCAATCCTTGCTGTGCGTCTGCAAGGCCTTTACTTACGTAATCCAGCTTCTTCTTTAGTGACTCAATGGTCCGTTTGTACTCCTCACTTTGCGACGATAGATCCCTAACTAGATCAGGGACGTTCTTTTGAATAAACCTAAAATGAGTGCTTAACGCCTCGAACGCCCTACATTCGACCGATTGAACTGTAAGTATTCACGCCGTCTGGCAAGGATGTTATTTCTTCTGTCACTAGTTCAGAGCGACGGATCTGCTTAGAAAGGGCGTCGATTTGTGCATTTATAAGGAGCTTTTGCTGATTCGATGCAGCTGTTTTGTTTTTGAGTTGGATAATCGCCTAAAATTCAGACGAAACATTGAGCATACCTTTTGGATGTCCCCATCTACGGCACCATCGCCCATGACTACTCGGGTGGATTAAATGCTCGCTAAATGCTTTAGAAGAGTGCGGCGGAGCACCGGATTGATACAAACAAATTACGCAAACAAATAAGGAATCTGAAACTTTGTACTGGTTGCGAAACCGGCCAAAATATTTGGGCGAGGAACAACCAGTCTTTTAAGCAAGTGATTACATATAAAGTTTCATGCCTAAGGTAGGTGGTTAGTTCTTTCACGTTTGAGTTAAAATTAAGAGACGCATGGAAATTGAGACAACTGATAACTGTAAAAAGTGACTACAATATGTCTGATTAGATATTTTTAAGTGAGCATAAGGGTTTTTTTAAAACTAAGCAAAACAAATGACTTATTACTTTCTTGAAGACGGCCGTGCAGATGTCTGAAGCAATTCAATAATGTCCTAATAAATCTAATCAGAACCCTTCATTTTAGCAAAACAGACAAAATGACAACATTTTTAGACTCATCTCCTGCATTCCTTATTTCAGTAGATAGATTTATAATAAATGGGATTTAAGACTAGTGGCAGGCTTTAAAATTTTGTATTTCGTTCTGTTTAATGCAATCTAGCTAAGTATATGTAGAAAGTCATTTTACGTTTAATCATTCTGCATTTCACTGCCACACCTAAATATGGGCGAAATTAAGCGTTCATCATTCAAACCACAACAATTGCCCACTTTCTGCATGTCGATTAGATTGCCAGGGACAAGTCACCCGATTATCCTTAGTACACATTTTACAATCGCAGGTTTCGATTAAAAATGCTTGCTTCATTCTTCTGACTTCTGTAACTTCCTTTTAAGTCACGATTTGTATTCTGATGCACTCTCACTTTTTTTGTTTCACCAATAAGTATTGAAGCGATAGTCTAACGCACATATCAGCCACCTATTAAATCAACACAGCGGGAATTTTGTCAAAGTTGGCTGATCGTGGCCGTCATTGTATTAAGTAAAGCAATATGTGAAGCATGGATATCTCGTAATCGATGAACTGGGCTTACGCTGTAATGCTGGAGGTCAAGAGACAAAGGAAGAATATCAGTGGAATAAAGGGTCAGATGGCCAATATAGAGGAAGTAGAAGGGCGTAAATAGATAATGAGTAAAGATGGACGGGGAGGAAAACTTGTGAACGAAGAAATTGAATGAGTAGGCAAGTGGAGAAGGAGCGCCTCCTAGTACCGTCGCCTCGTCGTGGATGCAGCATTGAGGTGTGGACGCCCTTATGTTGACCCTACGCTGAACTGGACTGAACCAAATCTGGCATGTCATCTGCCTTTGCATAAGTGATGTTGAATATTGACTAATGGATTGATTACGATGAGTATTGCATTAGGCGCTATAAAATTACTGGTACTTGGAAATGAATAAAGGGTGAATGGCTTGAGTAACCATGTCTATCATGGCATAACTTCAGTAGAGTTGATAGCGTCGTTTACGAACGCATCGTGGCTGCAAGTTAGCGCCCACTAAAAATGGCATCAGGTGCTTGTGCGATCTCAATTCCGTGCACGGAGGCCTTGTGCTTCTTTTGGTACTGATACCAAGGATTTCTCACAAGTATGCTGTTGTCTGTATCTCTGTCTTTAATCAATTCGTAGATTTCTATTCTACATCGGAAATGCCTAATTATAACCCCTTTCTGGTGTGAAGTTCGTGACATGAACCGCGAGAAAGTGATAGTCAGACTTTCACCAAGAAGTCTACTTTCATAACTTAATTTTACTACATACCTTAAAAATAGTTCCCGATACGTACTTCCAACGACATTAAGCATTTCGAATGCGAACATTCCCCATCCTCGGAGACAAAGTTGTTACTTGAACACTCGCGATACTAAGCAATGGGGGCAGGTATACATAACCGAATAAAATGGGACCCCATAAAAGTCAATTCTCACCTTGATTGCAATATAGCGTAGTCTACTGCCACCTACGCCCAAAGTTTCATAACGATACCAGTAGCACCCCTACGATGCATTTATAATAAAAACCATGTACAAAACAGTTTTATGACCGTAGTTCCGTCTGCGAAACCCAAATGGTAGGAAACTCGTTCACAACATACTTGTCCCTAGTCATCACCTCCAGAAGGGTGGTCGAAGATGCAAAAATTTCATGCTTCAGGACAGACCTGGTCTGCTTATCTACACACTCAATGTAAAAGTAGGGGAGCCTTTTGCCCAGCGCCAGTACCCAATTGGTCACGTAAGGGCTCATACTGACGTTAGACGAGGCGGCAAGTTGAGAAGCAACCAGCGTCTCTAGATCGGCGCTTGACAACTCAGCAACTTTCGAACGCCAGATATCCGAAAGGAGGGAGGAGCAAGGGCAGTTATGAAGGAGAATATGAATCGGTCTGAGGACGCTGTCACACAACTGTTTTCCGTCACCCTGGGACGCGCCTGCAGAAGGATCAAGTAGACAAAGTTCCAGTGTCCACAAAACGGCTGGAGGCTTATCACAGATTACGTGAGTTTGATTTAATCGGGCGCGCGTAAGGAGACTGCTAGAGAGACGGTAATCGATTTTGAGAGAACGCGCAGCACTCAAAACCTTCGACTGAGTCCTCCGCCTCTTTTTCGCGATATCATAAAACTGAAGGAAGAAAAAACCACTAATAGTCAAAACGGTTCTCACAGTCTCTGACAAATCCAACACGGTGTACGTACTTCACGTATTCGCTTCTCCCGACTTTCATTATCTCTATCAAGAGACTCCAGAAATCGATAGTCAGACAAAAAAGCAAAATAATTATAGTCCCTCCTGGCGACAAACTCAGCCACATTGCGCTTCCCAGAACATCTTGTAAATTTCTTATGATCCTGACAACAACGAAGAGAACAGGTTCGAACGGTGCAACGGGGACACGTATATTTTGCTTCGTTTGTTGCGCATATTGAACACAATCTGGTCTCAGGCTTAACAGCATCGCCAGGGTTGGGAACCCCACATTCCATGGCGGAAAATCGGCACAAGCCGTGTGGTCTTCTAGGCCGTACAAGGCAACTTCAATTCGAGCACAGTAGTTAAGATAGGCTATTCGGTTTATTCGAATATCGTCCAATTCGTTTAAATTTAAAAGTGCAAGGCTCTAACTATTTTATTTGTTTGAAATTGACTTTAAAGTGATTATTTTTAGTACCTTCGCACTCAGTGCTTTTAGGCAAATGACTTAGTCTTAAGCATTCCATAAGTAGACTTTCAAAGAACAGGCAACTTTTTATCTGGCAATATAGCAGGCATACAGTTAAGCAACTTTCGGGGCAGAAGATGCGTTTGCTGGAATTTAAGGCATGATTTGGATAAGTTTGCGAATGCTCCTACGGTGTCTTTCTGCCACTGAAGGCCAGAGTTGCCTATTCGAAAATTGTATTTTGTATGAGGGCATCCCTAATCAAACTTTTAAAATTTTCTTGATTCCTATCTATTTTTTAGGTGTTGTGGCTAAATACTCAACAGCTTGTTATAGTTTATTTAAACACATCACATCTTGTTTAATCAGACCATCATTTTAGGCGAGTTGCTCGATTTATCCGACGTCATTCGATTGTTTGTCGCTACGGGCATATCCAATACGTCTAGTTTTACCTATGGAGTATGGCGTTGGTTTTCCGTGAGTAAAAGGTGGAAATACTTTTATTTTATGCTAGAGATGGTGCGTGTGTGCCTCAAGACAAGTTGGACCAAACCGCTGCTTCAATGGCTACTACCGTTGATGGTGACATTCCTCGGGAAGATTCCTTCAATTTAATTGATTTGACGGACCAACTCCCTTCTGAACAAGCCTGTAGTGCCCAACCGCTAAACAATTCTGCTTATACTTCGAAGTCTTTCGTTGAAGACCTTGCCGGTCTTCAGCCGGCTGTTGTTGATACCCCCAATCCACCAGGTGCGAGTTGTTAATTAGACTTTTATTTCATAGGCATCAGCAAAAAAACTCATATAGAACGGGTTTCATTATTGCCTTCGCACAGTAGAAGTCCCAAGCGGTCGAATAGGCATGCAGGGAATCGGTTTAATGAATTAATTCACAATCGGTCGTCCACACCAGAGAGTATTGCCTCTGAAAGTAAGTTTGTTCATTCACTTTTTATATGTCCTTGTGGCTTTTTTATAAGTATTCTCCTTAAAGTACGAAGAGCACAAGAAATGGTCGACCCAATTCCAGGTGTGTTTTAACCGGCATTAGCGAGGAACGAGCCTTTGCATGCCTGATTTCTCTGTTTGCAGCTCTTCGGGTGTTATGTGCTGCTATTTTACGTTTTTCCCAACTGACAACACTGAGTTATTGTGTGGAGTTGCAGACTATCTTGTCTTGCAGCCAAATACGTGTTCGTGTACGCATAAGCTGAGCCGCATCTGCTCGTTACCTCTGTTTTCAGCACTTTTGCTTCGTCTTCTTTTTAAGTGGATCCCTACACTCAGTGGTACCATGTGATGCAAAACTACTACAAACAGTTTTACCCCGGCTACGACTTCGGGAACTCGGCTCCAGAGTGTCGGCAACTGATGCAGCAGCAACTGCGTCATGTTCCTAAAAGCGTGGTGCCCCTGATCCAGCCGACGACGCAGCCTGCACAACAGCAGCAACAGCCTTTTGCACTTCCAGGACTTCCTTCCTGGCCTGCGGTGCCTCAGCCACATAGTCAAAAAAACCCTCCACAGTTTGCTGATTACGCTGCATACTATTACCAATACTATCTTGGTGCTATGGCTGCCGCAAACGGTTGGCCAATTCCTATGGGTCGCACTACCCCAAAAGTCTTCATCGAACCACATGCACGGGCCACCCTCTCCACCCCTGGAATGCTGATTCAGGTAACCCTTAATGAAACTGCTACCTTCTTCATCTCCTCGGGATGAAATGAGCAGTTTTATTTTACATTGAACTCCAGATTCTTCCGAACCGTCCGCAGGAGGGTGAACCTGGTCGAGTTGAGCTTTTGGATATTAGTCAACTGGCGTCAGATGTGGTGGCTGAAGTTGGTTCTCGCCTGACCCAGGTCTCAATATCTGCCAGGAAGATGCATCACAGCGGAATCATCTTTGCCAACTCCTATCAGGGGTCTAGCGAGGGACCTGCCTCCACTTTGCCCGACAACGAAGAGATGGAAGATGATGAGGTGGAGGAGGAATATATGCGTTTGGTAAATGCTTGGGATCGCACTGATCACATTCTCTATCCAGGCCCACTGTGCCAAGACACTACACTGAAACACGACGTCCAGGCTTTTTTGCGGGGCAAGGTTGAGGACATTCAAGACAGAATGCCCGTGGATTGGGACTCCGCTAGCCTCCTTCTTGCCTACTTGGAACTGCTTGTGAAGAATAATGGGGTACGTTTGCACCCTGGCGCTTGAGGTAGCCCTGAAGGCATAATGAGGTGCACCGATCTGGATGCAGGGTTGAAGGGCTGGCGGCTCTGGTGCGATAAGAGGTGGATCCCATTAGACTAAAAGGTCTGATGGGTAAAGTGTAAATCCGAAACGAATGCCGTTCCGTTACGTAATTCTTCCTTCCCTTTGAGTGTTGTCCTTGATTCTCTCCGTGATCACTAAGACAATCAGCTCAAAGTAGTCGGATGAAGTAGAAACGCCTGCAAAATAGGGGGGTGGGGTTGATTATTAGAATGCTTATCTCTAATTTGTGGATCTTGTATTTTCGTTGCAAACTGAGCGTTGGTATTTCATTTACTTTATCTGGCAATCCAATCTCTTCGAGTACAGAAATTCACCTAGCCCTAACACTGCTTGTTCTCAATGATCTTAATTATGAATTTCTTTTTTTCTAATGCCGAGGGCTTGAAGCAAGGTTTTAATTCATCTTTATACCATCTCGTGACATAAGTGGTAGGGCAGACCTCATTTTCATCAATGTGGAAGTTTGAAAAGGTCTGTGTGGTCCAAAGTACAGGTTGACACGACCCGTGCTGCTTGTCGCCGTCTTTTAGATAGTACATCCTGGCGATGTAGTAAACCTCCTGCTAGGCAACGAGGGTTCAAGGCCCTATGACTATTCCTCAAGTGCCGTCACGCTTTCAGTCTCACCCTTCCCCGTTTGTCGGGTATCCACTCTCCCTAAACTGAGCCGTCATGGCTCCTTCCACTACCCAACGCCTGGTGCTGCTGGCCGTGGCATTATGGATGAGTCGTCGGGGTGTGAGTCGCCGTGTCTTCTTACTCATGCCTCATCAACGGTGGGCTTTTCGCAGCTGCAGCAACAACAACAGAGGAGTGCTTCTGCCTCCTCAACGGGTGGGGCTTCGGTGTCGAGGCTAATGAGAAATGGACTACTGGCTGACCTGGGTGGGGCACAGGAACGTGAGGCGGCCGCTCTTCAAAGGTTCAGAGAGGTTGGTTCTTCCTCTACATTTCTGGACTTTTAGCGTGTTGTCGGGGTGATTGGTAGTACGATCTTGAATAGCTTATTCGTTTGGGTTTGGGCTTTTTGTTCGTCATCATTTCTAATTGCCTCTGTTTAGTCATGAGACGACGAAAGTGTGTATTCTTCGCCTTGTTTTGATTTATCAGCAATGAAGTAGCAAGGACAGAACTCGCAAAAATTGGTGGTACTAATCTCTTATTGGCAATTCATCTCTCCATAACCGAAGTATTTATCTGCACTTCTGCAGATCTTCAATTTTAATTTACTCAACAGGCATAATAGGTGGATACCGTTTCATCAAAACTCTGGACAAGTAGTATTTGATAGACTTATTCACTGATTGCTCGTTTTGTCTTCCCCCCCCCCCCCCATCTAGCTGCTGATGCACGGTCACCCGCTGAAGGCATTGGATCAGGCCTGCCAGCAGCAGCTGTGGGGTCACGCCTTCGCCCTGGCCCAGCGTCTTAGCCCGGTACTCCTCGAGCGCGTAATGGAGAAGTTCCTTACTCGCGCTGTTCACCCCCACGACCCTCTCCTCACTCTCTACCAACTCACTGCTGGTGAAATTCCTCGCTCTGTTGATCAACTCGCCTACGCTGTTGGTGAGTCTCCTTCCTTTCCTTCTCTGCCCTCATCCCTGGAGTTTGACGCGTTTGATAGCAGTTGTTTGATGCTTGAGTCCAGGATAAGTATGAATATGGGCATTACTTCTTTTGCACTACTGCTGTGCTTGCTGTTGAGGTTCCGATCCTGCGGTTTTTCTGGAACCGACTTTAATTCCTATACAGTATTTTTGTCTACTTTCCTCAGGTAGTGTCCGTTAAGGTTACCTTTTCGTGTGCGTGCTTTGCTTTTTAGACGTGTTGTTTTACGGCCTAACCTGATAAAGAAATCTTCCTTACCCTTTTGTTCTACACCTTTCTGACATTTGATGAAAATATATGTGAGGACTGGCCTCTATCTTTTGATTCAGTGCATTCTTAATCCAAACCTGCAGTGCTGTGCGGGAGTTTTGATCTTGTAGGCTCTTGGAATCGGCTTTGCTCTCTGTTTTGACCCTTGTAATATCTTGTGGTATGGGACTGCATTTATCCAAATCTGTACTATCTTCACCCTTTGTTTGATTTCTCTGTGTGTTGCTATTCTGATCTGGTTTTTTTCTTGGGAATCAACTTGGCTGTTTTTGCATGTTACTCGTTGATGTGAGGTTACGCCTCGCTATGCGTGGTCTGCAACGTACTGGATTCTCCCAACTAGAATATTATCCGCAAGTGATAAACCTATAATGCCCTCTAAGGATGTTTAAAACGTGTGTAGGTCGATATTAACCTCGTCAACCTTTGATTGACCGCGCTTTTGGATTAAACTTAGCGCCACTATGCCGAGCGTCCGATCTGCTGGGGTTTTAGAGTCCCCCTTGCTCTCTTTTTGATATTCACGGCATCTCTTAGGGCTAGAATGGCACCCGACTGTAACCAAACGACTTATGATGCTTTCTAAAAAGTGTTAGGCAGAATATCTTCATCAATTAGCTAGTAATGTTCTCAACTTTTGCACTACTAGTATGTTGACAATCCGATGTAGGGATTTCCTCGAAATCGGCTTAGCTTTCTACTTTTGGTTTTCGTGGGGCCCCTTGATTTGAAATCACTTTACGCGGTGCGTGGGCTTTTGTTTTGACGTGTTGTCCCACTTCTTATTTTGATTGTAAAGAACCCGTGCATGAGTGTCTAGAAAATATCCAGATGGGAATAGCATCTTCACTTATCCCTTGAACATTCTTTGCATCACTAGTACGTCCGCTATTTTGAGATTTCTACTAGTTTCGTGATTGGGCCCTCTTGATGTAAAGCTGCACCTTGGTGTATGTGAACTGTAATGCATTTACGACTTTTCCTTCAAACTGGAAAGATGTCTGTGAATGGCCGATGTATAATAATTTCTACAGGTGTCCTGGAACCATTTTGGTGAGCTCATCCTCTTCATCTTCCTGTTGAACACGTTACCTAAAATTGGCACTCTCTCGTATGTTGATCTGACATGGTATTTTTTTTCGAAAACGTCCAAACCCTCTAGCTTCGGTGCCTCTTGATTTGCGTCTATGTCACGCTGTACGTGCATCGCGGACGTTCGGACTCGTTTCGATTTCCAGTTTATTCGTGAGTAGACCCTGTAGCAGGGAAATACCTTTACTGACAACCATTTTCAGTCCTTGGTTGCACATCTTCCTGTATGCAACTCCCACCCAGCGATTTTAATATAGCCTTTCTTCCTGATTTTAAGTGGTTCTTGATGTTAAATTACGCCTCATTATGCATGGGTTATGGTGCAATTCCAAGTTAACGTTCTATTAAGGTCATCTAATTGTAAACGATTGCTACATGAACATCATATACTTTGGCAGGACACACTCCTGAATGTAACCTGCACTGATATGCTGAGTTTTCGACTTGATGAGGTTTTAAAACTCTTTCTGCTCTCAATTTTGGTTTTTGTTGCGCATTTTGGTATAAAATTTCCTCTCTGTGAGTGATTTGTGACCTGTTCATGAACTCTTTTTAATTAATGCCTATCACGAAATGCTATCCTCTTCAACACCTTGTTTTGCCTCCCTTTCAAGTAAGAGTCAACGCAGGCGGTGTCATTTTGACATTTCCGAGATGTAATTTTGTTCTCCGTTCCGGTTCATTTTGTGCAACCTTCAAAATGTGTGGAGGCGTATGCGAAGAATTCGTTTGCATCATTTGGTGGAGCTCATTGTGCTCCATTCCTTTTATTAACCGGTGCATGCCATTGATTAGAGATAGTGAGCTCTATCAAAAATTAGCTATTTTCATACCTTATTTCAGACTTTATCGAGACATTAATTAGTGCGCTTAGTGTTGTCTTTCGCATCCAAATTTGCCTCTATTCACTCCACCTTCCAGTTAACATAGGTAGAAGTAAACCAAAGGGTCATTTGATGTTTGTAACCTATTTTTAAGCTGTTTGCAGTATTCCTCAGCTAAGTAGCTTCCATCAACCTGATCTTATGTGAGGTCACACTTGCCTTCAACTGTGATCGTTCTGACTTCTGTGAATTGTGATGTTGCTATTGAATGCTTTAACCATTTCCATGTCTTACTAGTGGTGCATTCTGCTTCTCAGACGCATGCTCCATAAACGCAGTCATTCAGTTAAGTGTCGAATGTATAAGTCGAAATTGTCTTTAGTCCCTTGAGCACTTGGCAAATGTTTTTCCTATGGCCGGTGTCTTTATTTACATTGGAAACTAATATTTTCTCCAAACTGGGTTGCATTCTTACATTATACCGGTCTGATTTGCCATTACTATTTCTTTACAAACTGTTACCTTAGTGGTATTGAACACCTCACATCTCTCCTCAAAGTATAGGTGCAGACACGGGCGACTGGCGTCCGCATCTGGCAATGCTCTTATCCGCCCCCGAGGGCCACGAGGACCTGGCGCTCGAGGCCCTCAAACGCATGGGCGAGTCGCTGCTGTCCCGTCGCCTCCTCTTTGCAGCACACCTGTGTTTCCTCCTCGCCGCCTCATCGGCTGCCTCCGCCCCACCACACATGCCCTCACGTATTTGGCTCATTGGTCTCGCCATGCCCAAGTCGGAGGAGAGGGGCTTCCCTGCAGAAGATGGGCACTTTGTCATGACTGCGACGGTGGAGCGGGCGCCTACAGAGGCAGTACAGCTCACTGAAATCTACGAATATGCGCTTGCTCTGGCAACCCGTGACCGACACTTCTTTCTGCCACATTTCCTTGTCAGTCAAACTCTCCTAAAATATTTTCTTCCTCTTCTTCAATGGGAATTTGATTTTTCATATTAAGACTGGTTATCACGTTCTTGCTTAGTTTGTGTAACCATTTGAACTCTTGCGTTGACCACATTTCTAGCCAAATTTTGTTTGAGATCATTGACCTAAGGGTCGAAAACCTATGTTCTTGTGTGGCCGAAACAAATAATTAGGATACCTTTGTACCCCTTCAGCCTTTCAAGTTCGCCTACTGCCTTCGTCTAATCGACGCAGGCCTCATTGAGAAGGCCTTCCGCTATCTGGAGGTTTTGAGCAACTCCCTCTCCACGCTGTTGGAACAGGAGGTGGAGGAGCCCGATCTACAGCCAACAGACCTGCGTGGTCTCTTCCTCATGGCTTCCCAGTGTCTCCGACTGTCTGAAAAGCTCTGTCTCCATCCCGAGGTGGGTAGCTTCGAGGCCTCCCCTGCCTCAGACAACTATCTCGGTGGTGGTGCCTCTTCGAGATCTCATCACTCCTCTCAGTGGATGGAACGACTTCGTAACGTGTATCAGCGTGTGTGCAGTATGGTGAGTCACTCTTTTCGCAGTTATTAAAAACAAGGATGGACTGTGTGCTTCTTGATCTACAAACCTTGGTTAAGGTTGCTTCAAACACGTCTTTCAACTATTGGATTGTATCTCAGTCCTTTCGGTTACAGTGGTAGAGTAGTAATACACGGTTTTATTCCATATTGAAAGCTTGCATTCTTTAAGTACGATCTAATCCCTCTCCAATTTCTTTGTATAGTTTGGTTTACCGAATGCAGACCGGCCCTACCTGGATCCGGTGCCCACACCTTTGAGGCAAGCACCTGAAGAACAACAACAACAACCGCAGCCTCAACGACCAGAAATTCAAAATTTTGCACCACCGTCGTATTCGAAGCAACCCTTGGCTCTAAACAAGCAGCCCGAACCGCCACATCGGCAGCAGCAAAATACCTATCAGCATCAAAATCAACAGCCCCCTCAGGTGCGCTCTGCTTTCCAAAAAGCGCTTCTAATGTCTCCTACAAGTTTAATTCAGTATTCCAAATTTTAATTGCTCTCAAGGCACAGATTAGGCTTTAGCTATTTATTTTACCTAGTCGTCTCGTAAATTCAGCATAGAATGTGGCACTTTAGTATCTCTTTAATGCCTATGAATTCTTGACAATGAAGCAGGTGATTTCTGAATGGAATTACTTTATTTAAATATGATGAATTACATAAGTAGGAGTTATCGGGATCGCAGATGGGCCTTCATAATTCGTTGGATAACTGTATGGATAAGCAAATTGCCATTCGTCAAAATTATTCATTTAAATGCTATTCTGGATACTTAGGGTTTATCTTATTAGGTAATCTGCACTCCTGATTGTTTTTTTTCTGCTTTCAATCAGACTCACCAGCAACAGTCGATTCTATCGCCGGGTCACAATTCTGCAGTTGCTGACACTCATCTACCTCCGCAAACGATCACTCATTGCATCACTTCGTCACAGGGCCAACCACCATCTTCGCCATCCTTCCAACCAGAGGTAAAGTTGGAAGTTGTTTCATTCATTCCTCGTCGCTCTCCACTGTTTGACACCAGGTTTCTGCGGTCCTCTAGTAAGGTCGTTCAAGTCGAATAAGGACTTTTGATTTTACACATGAGGGGTGTACTACCGTGGCCGTACGATGTGCACTTGTAAGCGACCGGCGCAAATGTCTTGGACCAGTTCAGCCACCGCCAGCAGTGGTATTGCGTACACAGAACTGCGTGGGATGTTGAACGAAGGAGTAAAGTCCGCAGCACTAAAATGTGACGCTATTGGTTGAAAGCGTCTAACTTTAAGTTATACGGTTTTTTAATGAAATTCTTGATTTATATTACTCACGTCCTCACGAATTTTGGCATATTTTATCTGACGGATAGACCACTTGCTATCGTGATCCTTTGTTTTCGCTAGATCCCTTCAGCGAATGATACCTGCTTTCAAAAACACGAACCACTGCAGAACCAATACCAGGAACCCGTGACACCCAACAAGGCGACGCCATCGTCTCCCACCGCAGAGCAGTCTGTCAGCTCTCACCAGGCTTTCTTTGTGCCCTCATTGCACTCTTCTAATCCCAACGCCGCCTCCGCTGCTTCTGAAACCTTCGGCTACGACTACTTTGCCGAAATTGCTAGCTCTCAGGTGAGAAGGCCTTCTTGTAAGAAGTGGAACAGTCACCCCTTTGTCTATGGGCAATCTAGACGTACTGTGTTGTTTTGTACGAGATGGTTCCAATATGGAAGCCTGAGATTATTTTTTGTTGAGTGAAAGCATCCAAATTGGATGAATGTCTGTATTTAGAATCAATCTTCTCAGCTTTAGGGCGATCTTCTGACTCTTTCCAAGAGACTTTCTTTAAAGATATCGTAAATTGACTAAAACCACAGTAGCTGTAGCGATTCATGGCTCCGTAGAGGGACCACTTTTCATCCGATTCGCTGGAATACAAATTTACCCCTACTAAGTATGAGGGGCACTTAAGTTATCCCTGGAATTTTTTTTGCTTGAAAAGGGCGCAGTCGCTTGGTGCCAAATTTCTACAATCATTCCGGTTTTTAACTAGCACACGGAAAGGAGTTTCAACACGGGAAGATTTGTACGCATCCCTGAACCATTTGAGGCACCCAATGTACTCTAACTTCTCGCAAATGATAGTTTTGTGTTTGCCATTCCCGCCGAATGATCCATTTTTTGAACAATTTCATGCCAGGTTAGTTATACCTCCCCTCACCGTGCTTACTACTCTTGACATCTTCTCCACGGGTGGATATCCTTTGTTGTCGCGCCTGGTGTTACTTATCATCTTGATTAAGGGTCTCTGGACTGGCGCAAGGCATGCGCAGGACGAAATTGTCACTTACTAATGTGTGTAGTATCGCCACGATGGCGAGCTTTTTTTCGTGCATAATTAAAAGCTGCGGTTTGCTTTGAACACCTTTTAGATCATTAAAAGTGTTGCTCTGTTTAAGATCAGATTTCATAAACTGTAATTTTTTTCCCCTCGCAGCCGATCCTCCGATCACGAACTGTGTCGATGGCTAGTTCGCACGACGGCTCGACAATGGCCGGCAGTCCATCTCCCACGAGCACAACTGCATCTCCCTCGTCCTCGACGCTTCAGTCTCAAGTGGCACGTCGAGTCAGCAACAGTGGAGTGAGTTATCTTACACCTTACTTCTAACGCACTTCCCCGCAGACATTGCTTTTATCATCTCTAACTTGCTGACTTCTTTAGCTTTCGAGTTTGGGCAAGACTAACTAGAGTTTCAATCTTGCAAAGCATGGAAAGGAATCAAATGACTAACTTCTTGTGTCTGTAGTTTATTGGTCAGATTCTGGCATCTTCCTCCCTCTCTCTTGATCCAGTAGCTATATCAGGAGATACTGCGACGCTCTCTACTTCAAGGTACCACGCTTGTACTCCATGAATAGCTTGGACACATCTGTTGGTGCTTAATCCAAAAATTGGCTTTAGTTTGAACAGTAATATCTCCCTAGCTTAAAAGGCAACAAAAGTTCACACTAGCTCACCACTCATGCCTGCGCTATTATGTGCTTATTTGATGTTTTCAACGCCAATTATGCGCCCGAAATCCTCATCTACTCCACTAGTCTCGCAGGCGTTATCAAGACGGTGGAAATTGCATCAGACGGTCTGGGTTTGGGTCCAGCTTTTGCTCATACCGTCGTCGATCCTCCCCCAATGTAGCTCCAATCGTCACTGACAACGGATTCGCCTATGACAAAGCGGATAATCCACCACGTTCAATAGTGTTTCAGAGGGTAGCTGGGTTGTGTGTGTGTGTGTGTGTGTGTGTGTGTGTGTGTGTTGTCTTGGCATGCCGTGTAGTGCATTCTTTTCTCATTCCAATCAGATTGAAGTCATAGGTTTCAGCTGACGTGTAATTAGTTCTAGATTTCCATCCTGCCGTGTATTGTCTTACCTCCCACTGAAAACTACTCGGTGGTGTACTAGCTTCACATCAGCTGTATCAAAACTAATGCTGTAATCTGTAGTGACTTCGCGTTTATCCCCAACTATGTCACTGCTGTTTAGTCCCTCTTGCGTGATCAACGTTCTCGCAACTCTACAAGTCGTGCTAGTCCAGTGATGACTAGCGGCGGTGGTGATGATGGTGAGGCGAAACGCGGTCACCCTGCATTCACTACCGCTCCCCCACAGCCTCCTATTGTCAAGGCGCCAACAGCTGATAACCATCGACAGCCATCAGAGCAACCGCAGCTGCAACAGCCCCAGTCGGAGGAGAAAAGCGGAGCGACTTCGGGCAAGGTATAGCCTTTGCGGAAGAAATTGTTCTCTACTTCTTTTTGTGAGTAACAATGCTTGAGTTGCGTTTAGTCGGGCTGGTTCTCTGGTCTCTTTGGACGCATGAGGGGTGGTGGCCAGGAGATCTACCTACCGGATGATTCAAACCCGTCTGTAAGCCCAACTCCTTGAGTCTCCTAATTTATTACCTTCCAGTGGTCATCTTGTAATCAAACCACCATACTTCATCTATCATTTTTTAAAACGACCCGTGCTTGCTATTAACTCCCTTGGGGAAGCAATTACTGCCGTGATATGGAGTAAAGTATGAGTAATTGGACAATACTTTCCTGCAGTGATGTCTCGGAGTTGTCTATACAGGCGTACAAATCCGGAAGTCGAGTTATTGCGGACGTGCAGACAGGATGGTAAGTTAGCATCGTAGAGCTAGCATGGGACCAAATTTACAAGACATTGAGGAGTCCAAGTAATGACATGCATAACTAAAACAAATGTCATTTTCGTATCAGTTTGAGTGTTGCACTCGATGCTATCGTATATTACTCTCCTTTGATAGCCAGCACAGCAACATCTTTCATAGCGTCATCAATGCAGTGCTCGACTCATCCCTAAGCGACGTCACATTGCATATAAAGGTCGGAGTAGCTGTTAAAGTTGACTGCAGTTCTATCGCTTCGCTGTTGTTAAACTGATCAACCTCATAAAGGGAAGAATTTTGAATCAGATGGTTGGGACGATTTTCAGTGGAATTTCGTTGACCTTCGTCTCTCAAGCCCTCTTTGTGAACTCCTTTGAAAGGTTCCGATTCACACATTATGCATTGCTATGCTAACTCTAACGTGGCTCTTCATGCGAATCCTGCTTTCTGCTAACCAAAACCCAGTTGTTGAATTACAAAGCTTACTACGTTCCACCAATCAAATATCAGTTTCTTATTGTACACCTTTCAGATCGTGTGGAATGAAGCCGCAGGCTGTTGGCAAGATGTGGAGGGTGGTGATTTGGAAGAAACAGTACCACCGCCGCCTCCTCCTCCATCGGTGCCTACCGCTGCGTCGCTTCCTCCGGGACACACCGGTGCGGTGCCACCACTGCTTCCACCGACCCTCCGCTCCTCCGGTGGCGGCGCTAGCACTCGCACTCGCTACGTCAACGTTCTGGCCAGTTCCGGTGGTGGAACGACGAAGGCTGCGACTCTCACTCCACCTCTACCCACCCCCCACCCCTTATGACATTTTTAGTCGGAGAATGATTCCCCCGCCTTCCTTTCCGTTTGGATGTCTGTCTTCTCTCCTACATCTACTTCAGGTGAGATTGGAATCGCCTGTCCTTATCATAAATTCTGTAACCAATGGTCTGTCCGGTGACACTGGTACTGGTAGAATTGCCACTCATAAGTGAAAATAATCCCAGGAGGTCAAATCAGAAGTAAGAAAGTGGGGATCTTGGGACGTGTAGACGGTGGGAGGAGCATGGCCCTGCTCCTCCGAGCCACTCGCTTAATCCAGAGCTTGACGATCGTCTCTAATATGTCAGGATGCAGGGTGGCTCATTGATCCGAAGACCCTGTTCCACATCACCTAGAAGATTGAGTCGTTTCGAATCGTTTTTATTTTGACTAAAAGAAAGCACTTCTGGCTAGACCAGGAGTCATCTGCTTCTGGATTCTTCACAGGTCTAATAAGGTTGCAACCGCGACGACTAAAGTGACAGTTTGTGTCAGGCTTGGTGTTCCTCGTTGAGGACCTTCACTTCATAACTGTTTTTTCTTTCGATGGCCGAAAAAGTTGAGAAGCTTCAACTTTGTCTTTTTCTGCTTTATTTTTTGTAGCTGTACAACCATTGTCAACGGCATCCTCCCCATCATCAGCATTCCAAATCGTTCATTTCTTTGGGCAACCACATCACTCCTACTTGGTAATCTTACGGGGGAGTTTTTTTGTGTGATACATCGTCCCTCTCCTCTTCGTTAGCACACCTCGCCGATTCTTGAGCAGTTTAATGACTGCATCCATCCGCCCACGGTCCTTCTCTTGCTCCCTTGCCGCCACCTGTAAAGGTACGGCCGTATGTATGCGCAACTGTAACAATTACCATGATACTTTGTCTGACTTACTTTCAAACAGTTATGGCCTTCTTTGCCGTTGCAAGGGCGAGGATTGTCTTGAATAGTATTTTTTTGGCGTCTTGCTAATGCACTGAATCCAAATAGCCTCTCTATGGCCTCTTTACTCTGTGCTCCGTCGTCTTCGCGTTTAGCGGCGAAGTCGTACACAAATTCTCAACGCGGCTGTAATTGCCTTCAGCCTTACCACTTCTCACCCAAAGACGTATTTGTAAAGCTTCAGCACCCCTGAAGCCTTTGGTGGAAAGAAGTTGAGTCGGGGGAGTTCGCCGTTTGAATGTCTTCGTTGCCATCATCTTCGCTGACATCCCGGGATGGCGATGGCTGTAATGCTTTCTAACTACGTCAAAGATGAGTAGTATCTTGTGGAGTTCTCCTTTGCGTAGAAGACTCTACGAGAAGGTCGAGAGCCCTCGCCCCGGTGTGATTGATGGCGAGCAGCTTGAATGTACGGAAATCGGTGTACGGAAGTGGGAGGATGGCAACTGAGGTAGCCAAGTGGCGCTCAGCTATCGGTGTCGAATTTCTGACTTGTGACGGGTCTAGATGCGGCAGGTATCCAAGCAGTGGTCGAGGGAATTGTGCATTCGCAGGTATTTAACTTTCTTCAAGATGCAGTTGTTGACAACTGAGTTAGTGCTCCCTCCTCAAGGCGACTACCTCGATTTCAGTCTAACTCAGAGGGACGTTGAATCAGTTAATTCCTCCAAAGGAATGCGGGATTCGTCAATGTCAATGGCAATAGTCATTCCTACACGTTGGGACTGCCTAGGCAGTTGAAATAAAGGTCTATGGAATGTGTAGGGAATCGCCTTGGAGTGGTTGCGTGAATCCGAAGCGGAAGAAGTGCTCTCGAAAACACCCCTGACAACATGGATGGGTTGATAAAACGCTGCAATAGGGTGTACTTCAAGGGAAAGCGAAGTGATACAAACGAAGCTGAAGTAATTAGTTGAAGGTACGGGCAATTTTCCAGTCTTCGTGGTACACAGTGCCGAGACTTAAGCCATTTCACTCAAGCGTAACACTCCCTGAAGACGGGAGAAGGCAATACTAGGCACTGTTGAGGTAGAGGAGGGCTGCGGCTGCTGGTACGGTCCGGAGGGCATTTCGTCCAGCCGAAGTGCAGTGGCGGGTCTGAAGCAAAAGAACCAATCAAGGCACTTCATAGTCCCCTTCTTTTAAGCGTTGTCCACAGCGCTCCCCTTGGTCAGCTCCGTCGGCCATCGCAACGTAGTCGGTGCTGTAAGGTAAAACACCCACCAACGAACCGCGCCACTCCTTGAATTTGCGTGCAACGAAGACGATATTTGACAGCCACGTTGCTAAGCTCTCTTGACATTTCCACTGGCGATGGGGATTGCATTAGGGGAAGGGGAAATGCGCTGACCATTTTGTGTGTCCACCGGTAGTGGTAAGGGCGCTGGCCCAGAAGCGGAGTCGTCTAATGAGGATTAGACTTTCCGGCTATTCCCCTTTGACACTTTGTTCTTGCTTCAGTACTGTTCAACTGTCACTATTCGGGTTCTCTTCAGCCGGTGGAGGGGTGAAGGGAAGGCGGACATCTCTTTGACATCCTCATACTGGTACCGTAGAAAGCTCCGTAGCTAACTTTTCTAGATGAATCAAGGCTAGTGTCGCCTCGGTTGCCAATAAATTTCCTCCAGAACACGAGACTGGGGTAGTTGCCAAAGGTGGACGTTATTTCCAACCCTTCTGCGAGGGAGTGTCTCAATTCCTCCCATCCGCGGTATAGACTCTTCTTCCGTCACACTCAGCTTTACCATTCAAGAATCGAAATCAGGGTACTTGCCCTTGGAATCCTGTTCGCTCACCACTACCGTTATTGTAGCGCCTCGAGTTTTTCCTGAAAAAGAAAGGAATTCATAACACTAGGACTTTAAATGCATTGCCGATGTACAGAAGTGCTGGAGGGCTACCAGGATGGCCCGAAGGCCATGCAGTCCAGCGAAGGTACAAAGGCGGAGCTTTCAGTACCATTGAAGGTGAGAGGCAGGGTTATCCATCTGGATCCGTGACACTAGTTATGGGGCGGTGTTTTGTCCCAAACCAAAGGAGACAACTTCGTTCAACTTCACAGAACTGCAGAAACTCCAGACACACCTGGACTGAAAGGAGCCAGTTTGAAATTTAGACTTTCATGCCGACCTCATTACTCTGGTGCTTGTCTCAGTTAAGTTTAGAGGTGGTGGTGTTCACGGAGAACTTCAACCATTCTTAAATGGAATAACGATGTCCGATGAACCGCGGTTGATGTGTTTGCTAGAAGAATCGCATTTGACGTAGACGAGGTTGACTTCCTTCATTCACAGAGATTACATCGTAGCCTTGTGACTTCGATGCATTTGTGGAGACTAACTTCTTCATTTGAAGTATTCATGTAATTGTTTATTTAACGCCTCGTTTGGATCTTAGTGGTAATGAAAGCTCTGCGATTGTGCCTCCGCTGGGTGGTTGAACCTGCGGGTCAAGCCTGTAGCCCCCTACACTCAGCGTTTTCCTATTTCAGAAAAGACCCGAAGAGCCGCATTGGTGACAGCAGAAGGACAGCTACCCCGACCCCTACTCCTAGATGCTAAACTTCAAAGCGATGGAAGAATTGTATGTGGTGTGGATGGAAGAATTTGAGACGTCCATTAACAGGAGGAATGAAAATGGCATCTACCTTCAGCAGCCACTCCAGTCCCATGTTCTGCAGACGTGTTGTAAACAAATGAAGCAATACTAGCTGTGAACCATCTGGATAGGTTGATTACAATGCTTTCTACGGTTCCAGTATGTCGATGTCAAAGAGGGGGACGCTCGATACCTCCTCCACTTGTTCACTAGCTGGATGGAATGCAGATCGATATGATTGGACAGTAATGAAGTGAAAATAAGTTTACAAGGAGCAGCAAATGAGAAATTTTTTTCCCCCTGAGACTATTTTAAACCCTGTCCTTTGTTTAGACCAGTGTTCCAACGACTAGCAGTGGACATACGTAATGGCCTGTTCACCTCTCCTTCCTCCAAGAGAGTTGCCAAGCAAATTCAATAACAAGCTCGACTGGTTCGTGGGTCCTTTCCTTACAGCACCGACGTCATTGGGATTGCCGACGCTGGAGGTTGACTGCAGGCACAACACCGAGGGCAACATTTGAAAAAAGGAAGGGAGGTGTGGAATGCTTTGATTGTTTCTTCACCTCTTTGTATTTGTTACGCCGACACTTAAGGCACTGCAACTGTACTTCCAGGCCTCTGGACCGTGCCATTAGCCCTCAAGCCTCTCTGCAGATCGACAATGCACATTGTGCTTGAGCTTTGTGTCTTCCTTCGTCTTCAGAAAAGTCTCAAGAAGCCATAATAACATAGGTATGCCATGAGCGGGGCTTCATGCCATCAGTGTGGTACTGCAATTTGCTCCTCAAGATTTAGTTTGGTCGTAGACTTTTGTGAGCGTGATGTCAAACGCGGTCCACTTTGACACCTACTATTGCAAATGAAAGAAGAGGTGCGTTTATCGGTAGTGCTTCGAGTCTCCCTGATGGACAGAAGGGCTGGATGGGGGGATAGTCGGAAAGGGCCATTTCGCCCAGTGGAGGTACAATAGCTGAGCTTTAAGTGCCTATAAAACCAAAAACAAAGAGTTAAACAATCAATGAGAGTGTTACGCTATCATCCTTATACTTGAATCCTGAATCTCCTCCAACCGCCTGTATCACCTAGTTACAATTGTGCCTCAGAAGCACAGTTACCTAAACCGTGAAAGCATTTGAATCTTCAAACCAGGAAGAAATCCCCCTATTTGTGCATAGGCTGTCACTTTTAATGGTTCTGTTTATAAGTACGTGTACTATTTTTTACTTCGGACGCAAATAGACCCCAATATGCTTTCTTAATTAAGTCTAATTGTCCCTCGTTGGTCCCCCCCCCCGGGCTACCTACTGTACAAAAACACACACCCACACCCACGCCCCAGAACGGAAGTTCAGCCTTGTCTCTCTCTCTCTCTCTCGCTCTCTCTCTCTCTCCACTATCCGCGCGCGTGCGCGTACTGCACTGCTGCTTGTCCGCTTCCAAGCCAAGGAGAGAGATCTACCTTGCCAATCTCCCTCTACGTGCAAGTGAACGCATATATATTGCCTTCCGGTAGTTAAATATCGGCATTAGTTCACCCCACCGCTCCAGAATGGTACTAGAGAGGGTGAGCAAGAGAGAGAATAGGTATTGTTTCCACCACCAGCCCCACTACTACTGCTCCAGATAGCCAGGTAGGCTTACAGCCAGGTGAGCATTTCCTGGGCTACATTGCGGTTACCATGGCTACGTGGGACTAAACGATGTGTTTAAGTGGTACAAGTCAGGAGTGGGGTTGGTGAGGTGGCCGCGTGGGCGAGTGGGTTAGCCCAAGGACGGAAACAGATCAGACCAGTTGATAGGACTGTGCGTATGCGTACTCGCCTTTCTAATGAGGCAGACTCTCTGATAAGCTATTTCCGTTCTAGAGAACTCTTACAATACCTTCCGTTTTCTTGTCATAAAAAAAAGGAGGAAGAGGAGGGGGGAGGAGTGATGGTTCGGGTTTCTTGCTTAACCTCCTACCCTGTGTATGTGTGTGCGCCAGTCTCATTAATCTTGGACCTCCAAAAAAGAAAAAGCTCAGTCAAAAAGAGCGGTGATGGAGGTTCCAAGGCTTGATAGCCTTTTTAAAAGCCTATGCATAGATGACCACAGGTGAGAGAGGATTAAGTCATCCCACTTAATTGATGAGGGTGTTCGGTGGAACTGCTGGCGAAACACGCTATTTCCTGCACCATTCGAATATTTTTTCTTCCACTTTGCCGAAAAGATGATTCTGGTGGAGGTAAAAATGTATGTACCAAATAACAAGACGAGATATCTGTGTACACAAGTTTTACCTCCCATAGCTATTATCCATATCTCTTCCCTGCATCAATTCCAAGGTGAGAGCTCTCCTCACCGGAAGCAGTCGTAATGTGGACCCACGCCATGACGCCTAATCATGATGCGACGGTGGAAAAAAGTGATGGAGACACATTAACACCCAACACTCTCCTTTCCTCTGGTATTGTAGTGTGTTATCTTCTTCCCATCCTGACGATGATTGAGGAGATGCGGATTTCGTTGTTCTGCTCCAACGACCCATTGCCAGCATTAATGTACAGTCGGTCCGCTATTCCTTCCCATTTCATTGGCATGGTGAATGCCTTCTAACCAAACGCTGTACTTTTCGATGTGGGTGAATAAAAGAGTTCCCGTGGTCCACTTCAGTGATTGAGTATTTGGGCTTTTGGCCTAAGTCAGTTTGCAGTGTTGTTGAGACAGATTGTCTTTTTGAAAAAAGGCAGCTACCATGGAGGGTGGCAGGCTACGGCAATTATTTGACTGCGGAACACCTAAGTTTGGGTCATTTGTTCATGTTTAAGGTGTGGTATAAAAAAGCCATTCAATCAAAACCTTCGTGCGGTTTTCGGTGTAGCTCGCTGAACGGATACGTGTAATTCCGTCCCGCTGCTCTGAGACCTCTTGAGATCTTGGGTGAATCTAATGTGCAGTTCCAAGTCCACAAGCAGCTTCTCTCCAAATTTGGAGAATCACTGAGGGTTGGGTGCTGCAGCGTGTTGAGGACAATTGAGAGGCACCCACTATTCCTGATAATCAAGGCGAGTTGCAAGCGGCTGTTGATCCAAATCAGTACTAATTTTCGTGTCAAAAATAACGCTCGGTAGCGGCTACCTCATTTCCACTGGCATCAATAGAGGCGGAATGGTTGTGGAACTTAAGAAGCTAAGAAATAAAGGAACTAGGAAGGTAGGAAGTTAAGCGAAAGGGTGCCCGCCTGCTATGCATTAACAGCAAAATAATGGTAAGATTTAGGGACTAGACTCTCAACCCCTTGTTCTTCTTTTCGCATAATACAACGGCAACGGAATGTCTGCGTTCCGGGTGACAGGCAGATTGAATAACCAAAATACTAACTTATGGTGACAAAAATGGGCCCTGGATTGCGACATCGGTGGTGATGCCCCAAATGACCCACTGACTTAACAACATTTTCATTCTTCACATTCCTCCATTACCTCTTCCCAGCATTCAACACTCATATGTCAGATTGACAGTCGGAAGGAAAGACTGGTAGAAGTAGAGGTGGGTAGGGTTGGGTTGTTTGCTTTCGGAGGCAAAGTATTTTTAATAGTAGAATCAGTAGCATCCACGTTTTTTTCATGAAAATAGTCAAGTTGTACAATGCGGTAGTGAATATTTTATTAAATGAAATAATTTCTGAATCTTCCTTTTTATAGCAGCAGAATCTGAGACGCATTGACAAAATTCAGAAACCAGAAAACAAAGGTGTCGTGATCAAAGGGTGATTGTAGATTTGCCATTATTTTGCATCTGTTTAGTTAATGTGCCACTGGTGAACTTTTGAGAATCAATAACCACGGTTGAAATGACCTCTGGAGAAAGCAAAGTATATTCATTCTGAGAGCTACTTTGTAATCCTCGAATTACCCTCCGAAAATGTAAAAATTCAGGGACGTTTGAAAATTGAATACGCAAAAAAAAGTAAGTGAGAATGAGGTCATTTCAACCATTATGGCCCAAGTTACTTTTAAATGGCGCTTAATTAATCAAAAAATCCCACACTCATTGTTTAATCCCCCCCTCCCACTCCCCTGCACCTCGAGCTAATTGGTGGAAAATCACCCAATCGTTAATGAGCGCACTGTGCGGCACACGAGGGCAGGCTACAAAGCCGCTTCCGCCTCTCTCCCTCCCTCCCCCTCCCCATTTGTGGGACCATAATGGGGGCGGAAAGGAACTAGAAAAGCAAAGACTTGCACTTTTTGCCATAGCAAGTGGTCACTTCTGTCTGAGCATGACCAAGAGACTGGCATCCTTCATGATTGAGGACCTTTTAATGCCCGAGATCGGCGACTCGACCAGTGCCGACAGCGAGGGAGATCTGCTGGATGAAATGGGCTACAATGGTGAGTTGACCGGTATTTTATCCCATCTCACGACCCCTAACTGGCGATAAAAGCTGGGTATTATGCAAAAGGTGCGTTGACACCCATGGTTGTCCACAAAACCTACTTACTTTCATCCCCTCTACAGTGCAGTTCTTATTTATCTAAGGGCATCCTAACAGACACACTGAGCGACTTTCTGTTAGTCGTATATTCCTATAAGGATTTAGATGATGGAATGTTATCTTGTGCGTTCGTTGGTTTCGAATGGTGTGATTACTGGCTTTCATAGTGTCTAAAGGGCCCTCTATGGAGTATAATAAATAACGCGATCCAGGGAGCAGTGGTATTCAAATCTGTTCACTATAATGCTTAGTTTGTCCCGTTTGCTCCCAACTCTCCTGCTATTTTATCTCCATTAATATAAGATGATCAAAAGTAGGGCAGTGAAATATTACTGTCTTCGTATATTCTCTACATTGGATTTGCTTGACAAATCGCTCATTGTTCCCGACTTTTTTTAAACATGCTCTAATGCTGGTCCTCATGGAGTCTGCATTGCCTCCAAATATTCACCATTTTTTGTGAACTGTTAGTGTAAAATATACCGTAAACGAATAGAATAAGAGCTCTTCTTTCTAAATTGCAATAACCAAAAGGGGTTTTCAAGCACTCTTTTTGAGCATTTATTCTAGTTTTGCAAAGTTTTAAAAGGGTTTAAATGGCAAAATCTTAAACCTGTTATATGTTTATAACATCAAATATTCTCGGGTCTGTAATCGAACCAAAATTTGTTTTTTATGGTAATTAGAAACCGTCGTAATTCATATTCTATCAAGTGAGCTAGTTAAAAAAGTAAATGTTTAATTTATCTGAACGTATAACACCCTCCAAACCTTTGAGTATGGACTTTACAACGGTAGCGTTTTGCTTTTTTTTGAATATATTTGTCTTTTATTAAATCAAGTTACTGCTTAGACACAAAGAAGTCTGCCATATTTCAAGTACGTGTTCTTAAAAAGAGATAAATTCAGCCCATTTTCTCCATTATAAATATGAATATGAGTACTAATTTGCTGCTCTACTTATAACACTAAGAGTCTAAAATTAAATTCTACGTTTTCAACAGCTCAAGATAATTTGAACTTTACAGTCTAGCAGTATTCTACCTTATTTGTGGAAAAGGATAAAACATTTTTAGAAAATTTGCACACTTTTCTATAGAGCTTTATCATTTTGAATAAAGTAGACTTTTTAACATAGGATACTTTATTATTTGTTTAACTATTACAGTTTCTAAACCTTGGGTTCCTTTACTGTAAGGAGTGAATATGTTTGGTCATGCTAAATACACATGCATTTAAAGGTCACGATCATGCAAAACTTTTTAAACGAAATGGTAAAGGCAATGCCTACAAGTGACCATGAATACCCACGAGTTGAGTATGTTTGTTGATAGACCGACGTACTTCATCTCACCACCATAAAAGCGTTTTATTGTTTGCAACAAAATGCGCTACTGTTTCCCAATTTTCCGAACAAAGGTTGAGGTTTCCAAGTCGTCGTTTAGTTCCCTTTGAAGATGAAAGGAAAGCAATGGCTGCAACCTATTTTTTACAAATGTTTAAAAAACGGTGTAAGGTTTGTGGAAGCTTTGCATGTGACTCGGGGCATCTGGCAATATAGAAACTAGAATGCAGTGAGTCAAGTCACCATTTCTAATCATGTTATTTCACCCTAAAAGGTGTTCCATATTTCTTTATTAAGTGCTATATATGGCGATGGCGACTTGATTTTTTCCTTGGTACTCCTCAAAGCAGTAGTTTTAACGAAGACCATCGCTACCGGCACAATCAAAGCAGTAGTATCCAGAATGCATTGTACCCTCCTCATAGTCATTTAACAGGAAAATTTACTTTTGCTAGTAATTTTTTGCTGCATTTTTGTCATACCACTCGAGGATACTTTGAGTTAAGCAGTGCACTGACATTTGGGACTTTACAAATCCACAGTAGGGAAATCGGTTATTCATTTGGTACAAGAGACTAAAATAACTACATATTTGCCCATAAACAGTCAAATTTTCTGTGATATTCTACTCAAAGTTATAGTGCCGTATTCCCATTCTACCCTCAGTTTTCAGATATCTGGGTCGAGATGATTGATTTCCAGGCATCACATATTGTTGGAATGATGAGCTCTATAAACGATACAAAAGGCTGTGGGGGACCTGGGTTGGGGTTTGAGTTATCTCGGTTGTGAGGTCGAGCTAATTCGTCCGACCTCGACCTAAGGAAGTGCATTCAAGTAAATATACAGTATGCCAAATCTACAATTGGTTGGCAGTGAATTTTTCTTTGTAACCTGAGCGTTCCAAATGAGTCAGCCTTCCTGAACGTGGACAGCATCTCAAGCCGCCTTCAAATGATTTGTTACTTGAGACCTGGGAATTACGTCTTTGAGGAAATAACCATAATCACCTTAGTTTTGGTAGACGCCAATGCACATGTTGTGGTCTCCACTCCAGATGACTACTGTAGCGCCCCGGACCTACCCTGAAGACGAGAGAAGACATAGTGCTTGGAAATAATGTGTATTGCCGACGTAGCGGAGGGCTGGATGTGTCTGCTTGCATGGCCCAGAGGCCAGGCTGCCCGGTAGAGCCCCTGAGTAGCCCATTACCAAGACAAGGAGTTAGACAAATATATAACATATTGCAACTACCAGTCAGTCAATGTAGAGGTCCTCAATCTTTCCTATCAAGAGCTTTCATCCAAAAAGTTTCTTTGTTCAGTACACAGAGAGGCGGAAAAGACGAAGACTACTCCACCAGCTACTGAGATACCAATCACCACTACCACTACAAGCATTATCAGGAACGTCACTGCCATTCCCAAAACACTTCAACCGATTTAAATCATAAACTTAAAAGTGCTCCACGAATTAATAATAAAACCCAAGTGAGAAATAAAAATCACGCTGTGCTTTTAGATATCCCTCAAAGAAACAACCACAGTCACCGCCACTGGCGCCATCACGAGCAGCACCAGCAAGGTCGCCACCAGTGCACTAGTCCACCCGACCAACAACAGGAGGAGGGGATGTCAAAGAAACCACGCAAAGCACGGACCGCCTTCACAGACTCTCAGTTGAGTGAGTTAGAGAGAAACTTTGAGTCGCAGAAGTACCTCAGCGTGCAGGATCGTATTCAACTGGCCAATCGGCTCAAGCTGAACGACACGCAGGTGAAGACGTGGTACCAGAATCGCAGGTCTGTCCTCCTGACATTTACTACCCGAGTAGTAAGTGCTTACTCGTGAGGAGAGCATTTAAAATCGTCTCAATGTGCAATCTTTTTGGGATTTTTTCGTTTTTGTAACCAGAACATGAACAAATCCAAACTATCATAGAAAGAATACAAATATCGTAGACAGCGACAACGAGCCTGACTAAAAGGTACAATAACTGGTGAATAGAAAGCTTTAAAAATCGCACTTTTGTTAACGATAGGTGAATTTCCTTGTCGTACGTTTCTCCCTTTAGAACGAAATGGAAGCGTCAGACAGCAGTAGGCTTGGAGTTGCTCGCAGAGACAGGAAACTTCATAGCCGTTAAACGCATCCTCCAAACTAACCCCTACTGGGCCTCCCATCCCGCCACCGAGGGCATCCTCGCCAATATGGAGGCAATCTCAAAACAGGCGCCACACACCATCCCCACCGCTGGTAATTCAGTCTTGATGACACCCTCAATGGATTTGCCACCGAGTCCCCTCCTTCCAGGTGACGCCGCAGCAAAGACGACGTCTGACGCACTGCGCCAATTCATTCAATCCCTCCTCATTCCTCCACCCACCGGCCCCCTCCCATTGCCTGCGCCCCATTGGCCCGGACCAATCATGTCGCCTTCGCAGGGCTTCTGTTAGCTCAAATAATCAGGCCAGCACATAGCGCTACCAAACACAGCTTCGTCTTCTCCTTAAAGCAAGAATAAAGTAAACATAACTGCTTTTCCGAAAAAAACGTCCTAATATTTGTGGTCTGCTAACGTGGAGTCGCCGAGTGAATGATTTGGAGTAGAGAAGGGTCATTTATCAGTATAGGGAGTTTGCTAGCATAAAGGAAAAGTTCTTGAGTTCGAACTAGGAGTCTTACAAACAAATACTTTCCGTCCACCTAACTCCAAGCGGTGCAGATGTCATCAAAATCACGATTCGTTACAACTAACCTTGGAAGGAACGTACTATAACCAGGAAAACAAGCAGCATCTTTATCCGATGCGAATTCACCGAATCATCCCTTGCCTCAAGAGCGGAAGGCGGTTGGCATATAAGGTTCACTCACTATTCAGTCTTTGACAATTTCTGCCTGCAATACAGTTTGTAAGCAACGGTCATCAAAATCTACGAGATATGCTATCACCGAATTTGAGAGTCTCTCAGATAAGGAAAAAAACCCAACTGTCCTTTTTACTAATAAACTACCAAAATCACACTTTAATTCGAGGCACAAGGGGTCGGTGAAGGGATTGGTCATCCAAGTCCAAATGCCAAGAGGAGCACCTCAACGCGTCCGGCCGGATTCCGAGGCGGCGCAGCAGTCGGTCGGATAAGGAAGGGGTAAGGGGAGCAAGAAGACAACCAATTAATCGAAGGGCCTCTAGGGTGACCCCGACGACTGTTTTTGCCATCACGTCGTCAACAGCAACACTCGCCCAGGGCTGATGGCGATCGACAAAGGCATTAGTTTTTCGTACCACCTTCATCAACGCGTCCACTGAGTGGTGTGGTTGCAGGCGCTCCCACCACAGTGTATCAAAGGTATCGGGGAGACATCTGAGGCTGAAAATAGAGAACTGCTCCACTGCAAACCGCGTGTACCGAGTTTGCAAAACAAGCATGAAGATTACAAATTGTTTCATGAAAAGTGAGTTCTTCGTCTCCAATTCCAAGTTAAGATTCCGATGAAGCAGCTGCAAGAGCGGCAAAATTGAGGACGTCGATTTGTTTAAATAAAGGCACGTGGAAATGCCACTCACATGTTCAACAACTACTGTTTGATTTCACCTGTTTCAAGGGGTCAACAGGTCAGTGAGACATCCACACTATCGGTTGTTTGGAGTAGAGCTTCAAGGAGTGCGAATATTTGAACGATGGGGTGGTTATTCCGTGGAGTTACTACTAGTAGTGGTGGAAACGAGCCATGCAAGGCTTCATTGAAAGGCTCACGCAATGGATGGTGTTTGTGAAAATAGGACACAAGTATAAAGAAGTTCAAATGCATGCGACCCACTCATTGAGAAATTTGGCGTCTACAGCATCAGACATGAAGGCCTGCGCCTCCACTAGATCTAACATCGGCACGGTTTGAGCTGAAATGATCTTCCTCGAAGTGATTCTACAAGGAAAGAATGTGGAAGGAAATGATTGTTTCATTTACATACTTTTACAGTAAAACGATAGTCATTTGCAAAAACTGATTAAAAGACAGGTTTTCACGAAAACAAATTTAAAGGATCATTGCAAAAAAATAATCTCTTGAGGCTGGCTTACCATTTGAAAATGGCAGCTTCACTAACTCACACTAGATGTAGATCAGTCAATTTAAACCATTGCCCTTAAAGCGCTGAGCGCAACCGAAATCCTTAGAACATTGAAAGATTTCATGGAGGAACCCACCTAGAGAGCAGATTTCCCACCCAGTTGACAAGTTCTGTGTTGACAGTCTCGGTGGCCAGGGGGAGGCTGAAGGTAGTGTCCTCGTTGAGACAGGCGCTGCGCACGAGGCAGTAGCGAAGGCAGTCAACAGCCGTTGCGCGCACCTCTTCGTCACTGAGACGAGTGGGAGAGGCGGCAGCAAAAGCCGCGGAAAAGTACTTCAACATGTCTACTGGACTCACCACGTTGCTTAGGCTCTTGGACATCTGCAATCAGTACAACAAAGGGGTGTTTGTTTATGCGTCTGTTACTATTATCATGAGCTGAAGGTGGGAATACTTAAGCAGGCTTTGATTGAATGGTTTTTTTCGCTATTTAGGCAAATCGTTTCTTCACCCTTCTCTTGTAATCGCCCTACTAGCTGATCGTGCACGGTCATTTCCACCCCGGGAGATAGCATAGTCTAGCCTCGTATTGAGCATGCAAACCAAACCAGTTCTGGGGTACCCTCGATATAGAGAACCTCACTAGAGAGGTGTAGTAGAAGTGGTCATACAACAGGCCACTAATTACTACTTCTCTCACCTCCGCAGTTTTCACCAGAAACGGGAACTTCTCTAGTGCCCCTCACTTACTTCCCTACAAGTTATCACTATTCTTCCAATCTCTTCATTGATGGAACGGGTAGGGTCCCAGAAGTAAGTTTCCGTTATCGCACAAACCAACAAAATGGAAACTCAAGCTTTTGGTTCATGCGAGTTTCAGCACACACTCATTACGCATTACACGATAAGAATGCGGTGCAGTTAAACTCACCTTTGTACCCTCCACCAGAATATGTGCATGTGGGATGATCTTCTTGGGCAATGGGAGTCCCAATGCTAGCAAAATCGCTGGCCAAAGTATGGCATGGAAACTAAAAATGGGAGCAGAGTGTAAGACCACACTATCCTTGACCGCCAACATCGCTAGTGACCTAATTTTCCACGACATTGGATGTGGGGAATGAACTCTAGCCATTTACCGCAGGATATCCTTGCCAATAAACTGACATTCCGGTGGCCATATCGCATCCTTATTCTCTGTGGGGTTCAACGAAACCTTTCCCGCCGTTAGGTAGCTCATCAAAGCATCGAACCAAACGTAGATCTGCAATTAATTACAACACCTCAGACAGGATCATAGTGAGTTTGATGAGGGCGTGGCACTAACTGTTTGGTCGGGTCTGTCGGGAACGGGAATGCCCCAGGACACTCTTGAGCTGGGGCGCGAGATAGAGGGATCTTCGAGAAGATCGAGACTGGAGTGAGTCAGCGCTAGTAGTCGAGCATGTTCTTGCGATTTGTCAGGGAGGACTGGGTAAGGGAAAGAGAAGAAAGGTGTGACAATTGAGTGATGGAGAGAAAGAATCGTCTCATATTTCGCTTCGAGCGGTATTTCATGTGCCACTCACACCGTTTTTACATAGGAGCAGCATGAAACTCGGCTCACTTGTAATCACAGACGAAAAGACAGTAGCAGGGAAAGTATTGTGATTGCTTGGATGGTAGTAAAACTTGGAAACTTTGGAAACGATTAGAGGCATTCGTATACCGAGCTACATGGAGTTGGAGGTTAAAGGATCTACAAGATTGAAGCGATTCCAAACCAAAATTGAAATTAAGTCACTTTCGTTCTCATGTCATCACAACATTGATATACTTGATTACAAAGCAGTTCTGGTCTAAGCAATTCTAGCAACATCCTAGCGGAATAGGTTCTACTCATACCGTCTAGAAGCATAACTACTATTGTTCTCTTTACAGATCCTTGATATCGAGGCAGATTCAACACAAAGGGCTACCGTCAATTACATGAAATGAAAGTCAGTTAGACTGCAAAGTGAAAAAACGCTTAAAGAATGCTGAGACTTCATGAGATCAGAGTTAACAAAAGCACTTCGAGGATCTTTGGTATAAGCAAATATTCCGTGCAGGAGCCAAAACTGTCACAATCACGAACCCGATTCTCCACTCAACCAAACAGAGAAAACGGTTAATGACAAAAATGAGCTTGATTAAAGATGAAATTCAACCGTTTTTAATTGAAACGTAATAAGAAGGGCCAGACACAAAAAGACTCCGCAAAAACTCTCCTTCTCTCAATCAAACAGAAGACAGACCGACTAACCTCCCGAGTCCAGCCAAATGTGAAGTTGATCCTTAAAAGATGAGAGACGAAATCGACAGGTCTTCTCCTCCACCCAGTTAACCACGCTATGTGTAGCTTTTGCAACCTTGACCCCACTGGAGGAAGGGGAGTCTGTGACCTCCCAATCGGCGTAGAAAGTCTCGTCACTAATCGAGTACCATCCAGCAAAAGTGTTCCAGTAGAGGTAGCCTGATCGTTCCAGATATCGCTTCAATGCCCCCAGGAGTTAGCGCAAGCGACCTTACCCAAGCTTCGCAAACCGTGTTTTTGTGCGCCTCACTGGTGGTTCGAATGAAGGCACCCGTAGAGATGTTCAAGTTCTCACAGAGGTCCTGAAATGAAGTACTTTTATAAGGAACGCTGAGCCTGCCTTGAAAGTCAATGATATACGGTCGCAGAGATCCTTTGGGGAGCAGCCGAAAGTGGCTGCTGTGCGAGCGACCTGTAGGAAAATAGGGGAAAAGTTTCAGCAACTAATGAAAACACATCGTTCAGTGAGTTGTTTACGCACTTTGCTGCCATGTTCGTCGACACCGGTGCAGAGGAAGCTGGTTCGTGCAGGCGGTGGTCTCAGGAAAACACGTCGAGGGGGGAAGGCTTGAAGACTAGGATGTTGTCGCATGGCAAAGAAGCGTGACCACGCGTCGGCTATACAGAGGGTGTAGGCATGACCGAGATGAGGCTCTAAACCAAGCAGGAAGCCTGATTTTTTAAACGTCTCTGTCCAAACTTTGGCAGATTAATATCTGTGTTGATGGCATACCTGACTACATGGGTTTTTCCAGCTCTCACGCTGGGGGTGTGGAAGTTTGCCAATAATTTCCCAGCTTTTCTACACTTTCACAATAAAACTACTTCCAGACTGGTGGTCTTACAACATCTTTAGGGATAACTTAAAGAGAACAACTCTCACCTCCCCGGATGGAAATTACATTAAAATGTCATAGGATGCTAACAGTGTACAGCTAAATATTAAAAATCCACCAAATCAACATGGGCTTTTAGGATGCCTCGAGCTGAACACAATGAGGACCGGACTGGAAAAAATCAAAGCCGTCTCTAACATTTCCACTGCCAGGGTAAGAAATCTACCACCACAAACCGGATGCTTTGTTGTTCCAATGCAACATCAATACATTATATTTTGTTTTCCTTCCCTAGCCCAATTCATTTCCTGCCAACCTAACGTGTCACAGATGTGTGACGCGCAATATAAGGCAAGAAAATCCAGACTTCAAACATATGTGGTGTTGGTGGAGAAGGTATTAGGACGGTGTCTATTGCACCGCTATGGGAACAGTTAAACATGATGTAAATAGAGAATCTCTCACTTCGCTTTTAAGCAAATGCTGTCTTACAAAATAACTGGCGTATGAAATGGGTACGCTGTAGAACATCACACCGAATCTTCCCCAATTTGTCTTGATGACTTACTACCAAGAAAATTTCGTCCAAGTGCATCGTGTGTAACGTCCAATGTTACAAAACGAGGGCACAGAGCAACCACACACCACTGCTACGCACCCCATCAGGCAAGTAAAGAGTGATGTGCAAAAAATTCAACAAGATAACTCATAGAAAAGAGATAAAATGGCAAAGGCCTTATCAGCACAGATATTTCAACCGACTTACTCGCATTGGGGTAAAATATTGGAGTCGTAATAAAAGCAGGTCGAGGCCGCATTTTAATGGGAAGCGACAAAGTCTTTAAATGAAGGAAAATAGGACTATATGATGACTTCATAAAAAACAGACAACCAAGTTAACTTCCAAAACAATCTTCTCCACACAATGTCGAGGCCTTCCACTTATGTACCACACTTTTCTTCCAAGTTGCAGCCTACAAATTCTAACTTGCTCTGCTGGAAAAGTTGACACAGAGTATTTGGAATTACTGAATGACAATTTGTCATCAATTTCTGAAAAGGGGTTATGGAACAGGAACTACTCAAGTGTCCCTAGATTCGATAATCCTGGCAAACACACACTTATAACCCTATTAACAGGGTCCCAAACATGGTTCGATACCTCGGTGCTATACATTCGCAACCTGTAAAAACTCGGAAACTTTAGAAATGATGACGAACGGGAATTATTGAATTTAGTGAAGTTAGCTACGACCGTTCACCCAACAAAGATAATTTAAAAGGACCTGAAATGCAGAACTCAAGCTTACTCAACCCAAAATTCAAACAGCCTTCCAAGGTCTTTAGCACAATGCTAGATCCACTGAACGGACAGCCCAGCCCGCGTAGTATCGGCCCACGCTACTAGGCCACGTAAAATATGCTGACCAATTAAAATTGACACGCGCTAATGAAGACGAGCCCAAAAATTCCTCTGATTTGCCCTTTAAATAAGAAAATATTCCAAAAAAACTGTTTCGCCCGTTGGAATTAAATATTGTAGGCATATATATCCCTGTTGTAAACTGTGACCTCGTTGGAGTTAATTGTACCTCTCCAGGATAATCCTTACAAAAATTTCTAGAACACACTAGCACATACCTTAATGCCCAAATTTTTGTTGTTCTGTAAAAAACTGCCTTAAGGCAACATATGCATAACGTCCTTACAAACAGTGGGTGACGTAAATCCCACTTTAAGCAGGCGAAAAATTTCCGCTAATAAAGATATGCGTTTGATTAAGATATATCAACATGCTTGATGGAACAATACTGCCTTAACTGTTCAAGAAGAAGTTTTGCACGAAAGTGCAGATGACACAACACTTTTTTTAAAAAACTGCTGACAAATTTACTTTCATCATTTTAACTTGATGTACGTAACTCCAACCATGATATGCGGAGATACCCTTGGTTAATAATGATTATGAGATTGCATGCTTATGTAGCGTCCCGAGACTCCCTGAAGACGAAAAAAAAACGAAATACTCGGGCAGAATATATACTCAGCGCAGAGGTGTCTGGGCTATTGGCATGGCCCAAAAGGCCACCCCACCCAGCGAGGTACAAGGGAGCTGATTCAAAGTAAAAAAGTGGCGTCTCACCAGAACCGAGGGATAAACCACTATCGTGTTACACTTATACAAGTTGCGAAAAGGGTAATACATGGCTTATCGTTATCAGAAGGCGGAAAAAATTCATCCAGGATACTCATTTACTAAGATTTTAACGCAGACATAAGAAAAACAAAGGACAGTCGCCGTTTTTCAAAAAAAGTAGTTAAGGTAATTCACCTAAAGAATCAGTTTCACCTTAAAATTTGCAATTTTCAGCCTGCGGATGACTGACGAGACCACACTGGTAACCTTGTTCATTTTCTAAATATTTTATTTTATTTGCACCCTGGTAATTTCCCCGGTATCATTCTTTGCAACTTTACCCGAATTTCATTGCAATTTGGACTATACGAATTTTGTTTCAATTTGCAGTAAGAGACGTTTACGGGCAACTTTATATGTGTTACACAATCTTACTAAAAACTTACTGGTATAGAACAACTTATATGGCAAAATTTTTTTTATGCACGTCTATCTCTGATTGCATTCCATATAATTTGATAAGTTACCCTACTTTCAAGGTCAAACATGACCTTATTATTAAATTCTGGACGTTTGACAGGAACTGAGGGTCTCGTTTTCTCATCAAGCAGGTAGTATTGGCTTTTAAAGACGTAAAATTTAGTTTTGCATATACTTTTTTGGTAAGGGTGGTAGTTCAAGTTCTCTCATTTCTAGGCGCTCCATGAATCCAGAGTCGAGATTGTTTATGTTATCGTCTTAAGTAAGTTACAGACATTAGTTTATTTAACCAAATATTTGCTAGTGGATTGTGTGGGACCCTTTTTGGCGGTTTTTTGACTTGATATGGTCTGTTTTTGCAATTTACTTTATGCTCACGTAATTTGACCAACCTACTTTTTTGCTTTGACTCAGAGTGGGCTTCGGTCGTGAAGATCTTTACGTATTATTTTGCTCTGTGGCGGGTTTTTCTTATTTGTATTATCTTGTCATATATTGGTATTTCATCCTTTTTACTGCACCTGGAATGCTGTTGCTACCACGCCTTATTAGCCTTCCCATATCGTTAGTCTTATTAATCCAGTGAACGCGGAAGCGGACTTATATTAGCATAAATTGCCTCTGTGAATGAGCTGGCTAATCATAGAGTCAGTTTTTAAATGTCATCTTGTGCAAATTCGTTTTCTAAGAAACGAGTCACAAATTGCAGTCGCGATTCTATTATTTTTTGCCGTAAATTCTTGCTACTACTAACATCTTTTCAATTCTTATTGTTCTTTTATTTTGAAGGAAGGGTTTTGTGAAGTGAGGACTCTCTCAAGATAGCGGTTATTACGCTTTCATGGCTTGTAGTGATTACGCAATAAACATCGCATTTTTCTGCACGCGTATACTTTTTGTATTCTTGTGAATCTATCTCTTATCGAATGGCATTTAATCATCAAAGAACCCTAAAATTCTAGATTTAAGGAGGAACAAAACAGAAATCATTTAATTCGGCTCATAGAGTGCTGTTTTAGCCTCCGTAAATATGGATTGAATGTTACTTCTTTTGTGAAGTATCCAGGCTTCCTAAAAATGTCAATTTTGAATTTCAATAAGTACTTTGGGGACCTGTATTTCGTTTAGAACTGATGAAAACTCGATGTTGCCAGCATTTTTAAACGGATTATTGCTCAAGCACTATGTGCCTGTATAGATCCCTTAAAAGCTCAATGCTTATTGTTGGACACAAATTAGTTTGTATTTATCACATTTTTGAAACGCGTCAGTTTGGTTGTCAAGGCTTACTAAACGCATCAATGGTTAGCAGTTTTTATTGCTCAAAACCCTCATTAAAACGCCTCTATTTTAACCTGTTATTCCGTGTGGTGTACTTTTATTCGACTGGGCAGTTGAAAAAGTTCAAATGATGACATCTGCGTGTAGCATTAACTGACCGTTTGCGATCTCAGAAATTTCGTTGTATGTCGCTGAAGGAATGAGCCTTAATGATTTAATCATTTTTGAATGGAATATTGCATAGATGAATGGCAGCTGCTATCATTTTGGTCCGTGTTGGCATAAATTTGGGCAAAAATGTAAACTTGCATTCCTTGCAAAAAGCATTTAACCTTATTTTTCGAGGAATGCGGATCTGCAGACGTTCCCAAAGTCCGATGCAGTGTTCTCGAAGATTCTCGTGGCAAGAGGAGGCAAGTGTCTTCTCTAATCCCGCTTCTACTTCCATCTCTAACCCACTATGCGTTTGATCGCCTTGTTTGATTCCTTGGTTTGCTAACTCAAGTATCTAATCATCCTCCAATCTCTCTCTGAGTTCAGCCATCTGTAGGTGTAAATCTCCATCTCCAGCGGGTACCCTACAGACCTTAGGCTTGCTCTACTGGACGGCTTTTATTTGCTATTATTTGTGCACTTACGTGCCTGGAGGTAGCCCATAAGGCCCTTTATTGTCGATTTATGGGAGAACGATGCCTCCTCTTTAAGGTATTAGCTTAGAAAGCACCTTCTCCAAGACACGACGACGTTAATCTTAGCCTGTGAAATTCCTTTACGGGGTAATCACTTCTAAATTCTCTTTTTTGGAAGTTAGTTACCCTCTTTTATATTTAAGGATTAAGGGCTAAGGGTCGCTTGGTTGGAGGTCTGAAAAGTTCTGAAGAATTAATTTTGGTGAAATAGACTTGAATGGGTGAGGCAGATGGAGCTCCTACCGCTAGTCTTATCTTTCCAAGCATCACTTTGGGAACTTCGTGCTTGTTCAGTAAAGTCTGTTCATTATTCCCCACAAACATGTACTTACCATAGCCCTTATTTCTTTCTTTCACATAATTGCCACCTATGCCCTTTAACACCCACTTTGAAAGCTAGCCGACCGCTTTTGTGTTTCATTTACTGCCCCTCTAACCCATTTTAGTCAATTTCAAAAATGGTGATAGTTCAAGATGCGCTTAGTGTGGGGAAGTTGGAATGATGGAGGGCATGTCACTCAAACCATGAATGTGATCGTAGTGATTGCGCTTGACATTCAGATGCAGTTATGGTGTAAATACGAAGGGTGCTGTTTTAAAATGCTTGCGTTCACCTGATGGGGTACCGTTTTGAGCTTTGCGAATCCGCTACGACGTCTGAGGTCTGAAGGATACGGTATGGAGGATACCGTGTTCAGCACCTTCCCATTAGAGGTGATTAAACTCGGGAGCCCATGGAATAGGGTACAATGGGGCCCTTATCTGCCCCTGCCTTTTTTCTTTGGTGCAAGTCTCGTCTTCCATTGGTTTTGTCTTTTCGTTTTTCTTTTTTCTTTTTCATCCAATTAGTAGAGCTTAACTACTCATGAAATGGAAATATATAATATTTTTGTCTCTTCTTCAACCGAGCTGTGTGCGATTGTGGTTTTAGGCAATGGCCAGACCGGGTGTCGGCGGCGTTAGGAGCCGTCGACAGTCAGGCGAATCAGCGAGCATATCGCCACACTCGGTGAGCTACTTCCACGGCAAAATCACCCGCGATCAGGCCGAAGCCGCGCTATTCGCGCACAAGGCGCTTGAAGGTCTCTTTTTACTGCGTGAAAGCGTCCACCAAAACTACGCCATCTCCATCTGCCACGGTGGACGAGTGCATCACTACAACATCGAGAAACAGCCCGATGGATCTTACCAAATTCGCACTGGCAAGTTGCATTTTTATTGCTGGCCTTCCCCAAAATCAACCCAGTAATTTGACATGGTCTTTAATTAATCGTACCCTCGTTGCGCCTCTGTTAGCTAGGGTGTTTTTTTAGGTAGTCACATTCCCGATTTGATTACTGTATACTTTCAAGCAGACACGTCACCCTATGCAAGTGCTGGAAGTCTACAGTTCTTAATACCTCTTCCACAGCCCCTGAAGCAAAAACATGTTCTCTCCGCACCTGCTCCACCGCATCAACTCCAAAGTATACGGTCAACGAAATGAAGTCGAAGTTTAGTGTTGTGAGATTGGACACAGTCGTTCTACCGGTCCTGACAGAGGGTATTAGTAAGTGCTCTGGCTGCGTGGATGTTTGTCTTTCGGTAATGCCCTGACGTGTATCTCCATTTTCTACCAACGGTGCTTACTCATTACGGCGGGCTGCGGTGAGCATGGCCTTTATAATCTCCTAATTTGGAGCTTCTTGCTTACCCTCCTTGAGGGCGTCGTCCATTCCTCATCCTGTTGCTGTTGAACCCACAAACTCTTTGAGAACAACGATATTGACTGTTTAGTGTGTTTCAGCTCAAAATGTAGGACTGAATGGACATTCTTTTTTGGCTGTTTTGAGGTGCGAATCCTTACTATTATCAACAGTTCAATCATTTTGTACCGATGCGCACTTCGGCCTTGAAAGCCGTCTCCAATCCCTGTTTAAAGTTGGAAGAACTTTTCGGACTTCCTAATAGTGCATAGTGGGCGGCTTTTTTACCGCCCATAATTAAAATTGGCCGCAATTGATGTGACCCCGATGTCTTTGGGTCAACGAGTTGTGCGAAAAAACACTGTCCACTGACCCGAAATGCGGAAACCGGTAGCAAAATCCGTGGTTAGGCAGACATAAATTTTAGCCACCAGTTTTCTTCCAAACTCAGCAGGTTGGCAGGTTGACTCTACATTCATGTGAGGCTTGGATTTTCCTCCAGGGCTGACACTAAAAGGAGATGATTTATGTTGGGGGGAGGAGAAAGGATAATACTAGTTGGTGCCATCCTAGAAGCATCCCGGTGGCCGTGCTGGTCGGTTTTTCCTCTGAGGCGAACCCTGTGGTCACTTTTAAATAGTCCAAGTTGTTGTAATGACTGCAGCAGAAGTCCGGTGGTATTTCGGCGGTTGATTAGGACCGATCTTTTCTGACGACTTCGTAGTGTGTATGTGTGTGTGGTCAAGACGTAAGATCGGTATCATTCGCTTTTCACCTGGCACGAATCCTTCAACTCCACATATTCCGCGCTTGACGTGATATTTACCAGCTCTCTGATTAGTGTTGACTAGTGTTGATTTTTTTGGTTATTGGCAGACAGCTCTAGGCTGCCATTTTAAATACCTAGCCTTGCCAGCTCTATTGTTGCGATTTAACTCTCCCACTTTCTAATAAAACAAGGCACCCTATCTTTCTACCTAATCCCCCTTATGATCTGATTATTCGGTGTTGCTGTAAGACCCTATTGCTATTCGCACCAGTACTGGCCTTTATGCATAGCAAAGGGGCTATCGCCGATTTCCCCGTAGTTCCTTCCTAATCCTAGCGTTTCTTTTGTTTTCAGGCTAGCGCCATGTGACATGGGCATATGCAGGGGCACGCATACTGTCCCCTCCCCCAGTAGTACCACACCCCTTTAGTCGAAGCAAGGAGTAATGTTATCTTAATTACTAATTCATTCAACCGAATCGAGCCGAAGTTTGGGGGATAAAGAAAATTACAAATCTACGGGATAGATATGTATATATACACGGGAGCGGGGAGGGAGGCTTTAGCGCTCCAAGGCTTTTCTGAAGTCGCAAGAAGTCATACTAGGGTAGAAAATCTACTGTCGACGTATAGAGGGGTTGGAAGGCTACTGGCACGGCCTGGAGGCCATACCGCCAAGTGGAAGTACAGCGGCAAAGCCTTCAGTGCCTGCGTAATCCAAACGCCGAGTTGAACAAAGTGCTACAGGAATTTAATGCCTCGTAATCTGTGAAGTGGGGATAATTCACGATGGCTTGTCCACAAGGGAGGTGCAAATGCATCAGGTCCTCCAAAAACGGACATTTCTAATCATCCGAAAAATTTACATAATATATTAAAAAGACATCTGACTCAAATATGAAAGCCTCGGTGATGAACAAGTTTCCCTCGCCGAGGTAGGGCTTTAACAAGTAGAGCAGGGCAGGTCATAGGCCTTCATTTTATCTTGCTCCTCATCCATTTGCATTCATCTTGGAGGACAAAGGTGACATCTATTCGGGGTTCACAGATAAAGCGCCCTCGCCACCAGGCTCACATACACGGGACACTTGATGTCCTCTTTTGAACCCAGCGTCACAAATATGTGACATGCGGTTTCAATTAAAGGTTATGGTAACTGATTGTACTAAATGTTGTAACAAACGATAAACATTAAATAGTTGTAGAACTTTGGCGGTTTAAGGAAGACAGCCACATTTTTTCTGTTTTTGATAAGTAGTGGTTGAATTGGTTGGTCCGTTTTAGTGCATGCTGGTCGGCGTTTTTTCTGAGCTCCTGGTGACGAGTTGTTTATTTCTGATCATGAATAACGGCATTTGTATGCACACTGAAGATCCGTTTGCATACGGTGGGTTAGCTTGTGATGAAAAGTTTCCTTACTAACTAATAGACCCTAAGCTGGTTAAATTTGCAATCTTCTCCTACACCTGCGGTCTCGTTTTAGTGACACGAGCCCTGAATAACCCACTGTCTCCTCACAACACGTTTCTGTGGTCAAAATGTAGGAGTAGCGATGTGATTTTCATTCGTATATTTACAATCAGTTAGTGTTTTGCTTTAGCAATCAGGATGACATTTTTGATGGCCGGATTTTTGTGTAGATAACTTAACTACAATTATTCAAACTTCCTAGAGTTCTGACAATGGGCCATATGGCTTTCTGTTAGCCATCGTCTTTATTTCCACTCATTGTCCACTGTTTTGAGTTAATTCGCCCCTAGAAGGTGGAAAATTTATTTAAAAAATTCCGGAGAAGTTCGGTTGGAGTCATTGAAATCCACTCTTGTTCCTGGAATCTTGAAAATTGACCGCTGCAACGGTGCCAGGGAACCTTCTGAAATCTAAGTGATTTGAATAGCGGCAGAATCGCATCAAAAACTTACATGATTTTTACTTTCCCCCTCATTTTTCGGCAGAAACGGGGAGAAGAGTTGTGAGTTTGACGAACAGCAACCCTAAGTGTTCCAAATGATGAATGCCTAATAAACGAGGACAAAGTGTCTCGCCGCTATGCTGCCATATTGACGACACATTGACACTTAGGTGGCAGCGCAACGAAGCGATCCCCTGAGTCAGATAAGCTCTCTCCCTGTTGTCTATGTTTCTGAAAAATTGTTCTGCATTATTTTTAGACCTGCCTGGTTTTCCTCCTCCCTCCCATTCGGTTCTCTTGTAACAACTGTACTTACAATCTGCAAATTTCTAATAGGAGCTTTTCTTCTGCCGTCTATTTGTCATTAAAACGGCAAATTGGAGTTCAAGCTTTAGTTTTTTTTGCTGGGATCTATTTGTAGCTCCTCATAGTCTCCTCCCCCCTCCCAGTAATAGTAAACCCGAAGAGGTGGTCAGAAGTTGGGAAGGTTTGTTCATGTGGTGCCAAGGTGGGCATACAGGAACACGCAAAAAGATACGAGAGAGGCAATGACAAGTGACGTTTTTGATGAAGCGGTTCACACACATTACGGCTTGCAAGATATGCAAGTCAAAGAAGGTTCTATGCGTTTTGCAGCTCAAATTGTTTTCAAAAAAGGCAAACCTATACCAACCTATCGCATGTTTACCTCAGTTTACGAGGCAGAAATTCCGTTATCGCCTCCACGATAAGGTAGGTGGCGCTGCCAACAATTGCAACCCACCTGGCGAACACCGATAAATTCCAGGTCATTGAGCCTATACACATCCTCTTTGACGGTTATTTTTGTTCTCCTGATTGCGTTTTAGGGTACCCTCCTCACACTCCCCAAGCATAGCTGTAGATAGATAACTGAATGATTCCACCTCTATTGCACCAGCACGATGATTACCACAAGTAAATCTTACCCCTATGCTGGAAAAACTAGTCGCCTAAAAGCGCATGGCGGGACACTGTTTCCTTTTGAGGTAATTGACATGACTCAGCCACCGACAATTCCAAAAGGACAGCTTAAACCAGACTACAAGCCCAGCCGACCTGCTAGACAGAAGTGGTCACATGACAACACCAGACACAGCCTATTAACTCTCCTCTCCTTGTCACTGCCATTTCTAACATGCGGACATGTACTAACTTTCATTTGTCATTTTCTTTTAGGTCGTAAGTTTCCTGGTCCAGTGGAACTGGTTAAGCACCACGCCGTTCAATTAGACGGCTTCCTTACTCTGGCCCGCTTCCCCCTCGATCGACCCACCGGCGAAAGTCCCATCGTCCTTCAAGGCGTTCGATCCGATGAATTGGAGGAGAAACTGCGACTCAAAGCCATGGAAATGGGTCTAAAAGTAAGCTGCCTGTTAAGAGCCTTCCCCAATCCGGTGGGTGGGTAGGAGGAAATCACTTAATTTACCTCCCCACTTTTGCACTCACTTCGGAGCTCCACTGTCACCTCCTGTCAATCAGATTATTTGTCTGGGTAGCGTTTTATGGCCTCGATTGTGGCTTTTCTTTCCTCTCTTCTCTTTTTTCCTCTCAATGTAAGGTGATCTCGCCCCACGCAACGATTTCTCAATTATACGAGTGCTGAATCTGCTCCCAATGTCCAGATTTTAGTCTATTGCGCTATGAGCTTGGGCAGCTACTTTTCTTGCCTCAAGAGGCTGCTTCTTATCGAGGGGGAATTGCTTTCAACATCACAACATGCACCGACCTCTCCTTAAAAAAACATGCGTTTTTTTTTCGGTTGGTAGGATCGCTTTCCTCCTTCGCAATTATGCTGATAAATATTATCTAACATTTTGGCTGTCTTATCTTCGTCATGCATATCATCTTTCTAGCTTAGTTTATTGTTGGAGACTTCCAAAGACTTCGGGTATCACGTATTATTTTACTGGGAAATGGGCCGCTGAAGGTCAGGAGGAGCAACAAATGCTGCCACTTTTTTGTGGGGCGGGATGTATCGTGTGCCACATTACCTCATCGGGCATTCAAATGGGACACATGGCGCGCATGCGTACCCACCTTTTAAATAAGGGTTTACTACACTCAAAGGATATTTTGTTAGATTTGGTTGGGTGGTCAACCGATCCACATGGTGCAGGAACGACGTTTTGTTTTATCCTACAGAAAAGAAATGGCCCCACTGACCAGCACATGCTCGGACTAATTTACATAATAGTTTACCTGTCCTCCTGACAGGCTAACCTCTTCTGCTCACTTTCAAAAACTGTTATAGCAATGACCACCAGACCTCGCTCACTCCCTTGCTCGGCTACGCATAAGCAAATAGTTTTTTCCTCATCAGAAAAGGCTTCGCTCATGTGGGAACATGTGTAGAACATCCGAAGCCCTGTTAATATAAAAGCCAAGTGTGAGGCGGCTTCACAGGGCTACACCCTGCACTCATTTCTCCCTTCTGTTTTATTATCACTTCTGTGTTGTCAAGCCATTTTCCCGGACTCGAAAGTGGGGTCTTTTCCAAAAGTCCTCGTCGCTTCAGTAGTCCTTTGATTTTATTTCACTTCAAATTGAGCTATTCACATCGAATGCCTTCAGCAGCATCTTCACTCAGTATTCAGCCGTCGAAGGTAGGGCTGTGTGTACACTTGAAGCGGTTCCCCTAGCATTGCCGCCAATGCAGGACTCGAGTCATCCCCGAAGGCGCTGGGAGACTTAGTATAGTCATGTCGTCGAAGACTGAAAAGACCCGCAAACTTGAATGAGACGTCAATGGGACTTCTCGTACTTATTTTTTCGTGTCGACCATCACAAGGAACTTGGTACTTTGAAAATTTCCAAAAGGAGGTAGATTCAGGGCTACTGCCCCCTCTACTCTCCGTCTTTTGGAGGCTCACTAGCTTTGCGCTGCTCAGGGGGGATTAATACCGTTTTAGTGCAAGCCGGCGTTGATTTGGAAATCCACACCATGTGCTATTCTTTTATGCCGCTTTGAGATGGTACTCCGGCCTGTTAGAAACCGGGGTTTTTATTATTATCCTTTGGTTCGTAAACAGTGTCATTAGTACAGCGCTCGAGCCATCTTCAAGGTGGTTATAAGTCGCATGAGTTTATAGGAAAATTGGGAGGTTAGGAAGACCCGAGCTCCGCTCTAATGCCTCCTCGTAGGTTTTATTGTTATGCTGACTTGCCAGCAGTGGCTGCTAGGCCTTCCTTGAAGAAGTGGAACCCTAGCCTCACTTGCGCTGACCTAGTATGGCGACGCCGTGCAGTTCAACATCAACGCCGCCACAAAAGGGCTTCTTTGCTGTTGTCCCTCTCAATCATACACACACACGCACCTGATGAGTCAGGCATCAGCATCCTACCTATCCTTATCCTCCACCCCCTCCTTTCTCTTTCCCTACCCACCCAGTCAACCCGCACTACACCTCAAGCATGCGTCACTGTTTATAATTGTGTACATGGTCTTTACTGACAGACGGGCGGGTTGGCGGGCAGATAGGCAAGTAAATCACCCAGGTGCAATTATATCCCCCTGCTATGTTTATCCACATGGCGGGTCTTTGTTCCCTCACCCCTCCGACCCTCTCCTACTACACCCACTGGCATAAGCCCACGGGTTCTGTTGATGGCAACCCTCCCCATTTTACGCCAGAATTTTGGCTACTTTTGATCTTGCCTTACCGCTCTCAACAGCGGCTTTGACTCCAAACCTTAAGGTCCAAAGCAGACTTCATTTTCAGAAACTCTGCCTCCTAGACGCTTCCTGTATTCAGCACATCCCAACATGTCACAGCCTTGCGATTTATTTGCTCAAAGAAGCACCGGGAAATAATAACGTAATGAGAAGTCCTAGTGCCAATACCTTTCCCAAAATAAATGGTTCATATTATGCAGAAAATTAGGCAGAAAAGCAGTATCGTGTCATAAAAAGACGCTGTTCGAAGGTACGTGTGATGCGAGACGGGAACGTTGGACTCTTATTGCCTGAAAGCTGTTTTATGCTTCTTCGCGGCAATTAAACAAGAAAAAAGATAGTGATGCCGGTTTAACCTTCCGAATCGGCTTACTTTTTTGAAGGGTGAATGGGTTGATCATGGAAACCCTCACTTTTCTGTTTTTTTAGCAAAGCTTCGATAACGCATTCCTCCCTTCCGTGGTACACGGTATTGCAATCCCTCGAGGGTGCGGCAGTAAAAATTACTTGAGTCTAAGTTGGCGAAAGCCTTCTTAAGGGGCTTCGTCACGGCATCCTGAACGCTCCGAATTGGGGGAAAAGGACGTTTTACTGAATGGCATATCTCTACTTCAAGTCGCTGAAAGCTGTAGTTCCATCACTTTGTTAGCTGTCAAATTAGTCGTGTTTATAATTAATGTCAAATAGTTCCTTGCACAAGCAAATTTTATTCTTGCTGGGCTAATACCTCCCTAACCTGACCTTCGATCCCTCCACGGCGTAGTGGAACCGCGGAAGGCCAACGACATATTAGGGCACTTAACACCAATTTTCCATCATATGGGATGTCCTCTTCCACCTTTTCAGCTGTATTTGACTTTCTTGGACAGTACTTGATAAGAAGCTTCATTTTTTTACAAGTTGTTAGGGTTCAAAACGATTTTTAAAGATAGCAAAAGTAGCATTACTTTCGTAGCAGGTTCGGGCTGTCGGACTTATATGCTCACATGGATGCCCCTAGCACTCTGAATGTCATGTCCGATGACCACTGGCCAAGTCGGTCTTCAGCGGCTTGACGGCCTTGCTGTTCGACTGGTTAGAACTGCGAAGCCGTTGTAAGGGAGTCTAATCATTATTTCCAATTCCCTATTGCGTCCCGTAACCACGTCCGGTTAAGATGAGGGCCTAGAAACAGAATTTTTGGAGAAATCTCCCATTTCACGTAACCCTAGGCACTTGATTTCTTAATTAAGTTGTTTCAGCATCGTAAGGACGTTTTTCATATGCAAGAGCTCATTAAGCTTGAGTAAAATCACTGAAATCTGTACACGTACACACAGCGAGAGATCATAAACTTGTTGCCTGATTCTTCTTTTGCATGTGAGAGGTGAAATGGAGGGAGAGAGGTCGCATTTCTTGCTGTTTTTATGCTCCGTTAAAACCTACAGTGAAAGTAACGTTTTGCGCTGCAATTTGTCATGCCATGGGGAGGCTGTTGACACTTTTGACAGCATTGGCAAAGCTATTTTCTTATAGTGATGCCAAATCAAGCAGCAGATCAATTCATGACATTCTCCTTTACACTAGTTTCTTCTAAATCTGTCGGTTTAATCTTGTCTTGCCAACTTGCGGCACACCTCCGACTTTTTGTGAAAGACGGTAGTCAAGTTAAATGTAGCAAAAATGTTATTTAAGATCGAGAGCTTGCAACATCAAAGCCTCTCAGTCTGCTAAATAGCGCTTTTTTTTCTTCTTGACTGTGTCACACCCATTACACCCTATGTACTTTTCTATTCGGACTTGTCTTTTTCAAAGACAGCCTATCGCCAGACATGGGTTGTATGAGTCGAGGATGTCTGAGACGTCAGACGTGATTATACACACGAGATACTTAAAGAATTACCACAAACTACTTTAATTTACCAAAGGTTCGGATTACTGGTTTTTATACATTCTGATAAAATAATTTGTTCAACCCTTACCTGGTACTTCACTTCTTTTGCCTCCCGAATTAAGGTGCGGTGCATAAAGTGCTTTGACCCACAAAGCTATGGTGCACACTAGGTTTTCGTCCCTGGCCTTGAGGACGAGGGGAGCGCAAGTTTTGCGGTTGGCGGAGGCTTTTCATTCCTCCACTCCCTCTCTGGCCACCTAGTCATCCTGCGTCCCGCAAAAAAACCTTCCGGAACGTGCTCTCCACAGCGTTTTCCTCCCTGTGGCTTCCTACCTTCCGCAAAAAAATCTACTTTAGAATGTCAGTTATCGGCGTTATATGCTTGTAACAGGTGCTCTTTGTCAGCCGTTGATAACTTGGTAGCGCCCCAAACACAGTGATGCTTTTGCGTCAGCGTAACCATTTCTTGTCCCTCATTGTTACTGCTTCGTTTAGAGGACGCGATGAAGCTGCTGACTGACAACTTTAATGAATAGAAAACGCCTTTTCCGCAACAGTGGCTAATTTAATCCCTAGACTCCCGTGTGTCACGCTACTCAAAGAACAGTCCTTCTTTGCTGTAGTATATCTTAGTGTCAGGCTTCTCCTCTCATCAATTAATCAGGCGCTTGTAGAGGCTTACACCACAAAGTAGAAGCAGCAGTTGATTGTGCACTGGCTTTCACTTTCTTTCCATCCGTCAAATGCCAGCGCCACTGATTTCAAATTTAGCTCCAAGCTCTGCTTCATCCTGCGTAATGTTGCTCCAAAGTTTATTCATTTTCCCATCTCGCCGAGAAAGATGTGCGCATTTAGCCTGTCTTAAAACTCCTGATTTCATTCGGAGATTGCCAGATGTTTCACTATCTTGGTGCACAGGCAGTGGAGAGGTGTTTTGAAGCATAGAATGCGTGGCAAATGGCGCTATGAGGCGAGACAGTAGCCGATTGCCTTGGTCTTGATAAATTCGTCCATCTGTGTGTTAATGCTGCAGTAAGAAAGTAAACGGACCATTAACCTCTCTTCTGGCTTGTCTACATTTTTTGAAATAACCGTAGGATTTGCAGTGATGCGTAAAAGACCACTAACTGTGTGTACCTAAGTTTAACACGTACAACTTGTCACAGTTCCCGTTCCCTACCCCAGATGGATCGCTGCGCTCTCACTCTTCAAATCTTCCCCTTCTCTTGCGATTGAAGATGATTACGTTTGTGATACATTTCAGTTAGTCTGTTTTGTTCCTCTATAATCCGTGCTTTTATGAACCGAAATTGGTGCTTTACACGAGTAGTTCAATCCAAACCGGGACTCTGGGCTTGCCGAACAGGCGACCAAATTTCAAGGAATGGAAAGTGCATTCTTTTCGACGTGGTCTTCTGCTGGTACCCTTGTACACTCATCGAAGCGTTTTGCTGGCTTTTGAAATTCCTCGGGAGAGAAATATTTACTACTACGGCTGAACCCTCCCTAGGAGTTTTTTTTCCACTTCCTCACCTATGTGGGGGAATGAATGATCGTGGTGTGTATTCACCGTTCCCACAGAAAGATTCGTTCTTTATGTGACATCATGACAGGTTGGTTATGCGCTTATCAGGCGTCTGGGGGGTGGGGGTGGGGGTCAGGCACTACGCGCAATGGCTTGAATATTCAAAGGAATGTCTGCTATGGGGAAGGGAATCACCTCAGCTGAAATCTTCCCTCAGACAGAGGTGTGTCTATCTTTTAACTGTTTGCACTGTATAGGCTCAGCGTCACGTACTGTGCTTTAAATCTTCCGTTCAGGTAGATATCAGCCCACAAAAAATTCACCACGCTGATCCATGCAAGCATCACCACTCCTGCCTATCACTTTGGCTAACCTTGTCCGGAATGGTTCACGGCAGTCTCTGGCTGCTAGCAGTGGTAATGGAACCTATTTGACATTTGCTATTCCGTATTGCATTATCACAGTGCCGTTTCTTTTATGAACCCCTTCAAATGACAAGTCCCTCATTGACTCGAACGATGGTTGATCATGTGATTCCACAAAATCCAACTTAAGCATGTGCTATCAACTATGACGATAGTTAGCTTTTTTACACCAGGGAAGGGAAATAGATTGTGAAGTTTGCGTTAAGTCTCGTGTTCGATTAAGCCCCTTTTCAAATACCTCCCACATGGCGAGGGAAAAACTAGGGTGGCTTGTGCTCCTCGGCTTGACGTCGCCACGCCGAAGAGTGGAATTTTAATTGAATAACCTTATCCAAAGCACAGATACCATGGTAATTATACGCACACACACAGCAGGCTTATCTAGTTCTTCCCTAATTAGCCGCACTGGGTGAATATTAGCTGGCGTACTAGTAGGTGAATCAAACCATCTGCAGTTTGTGTGTGTATATGACTTCGCGCATGTGAATCAGGCCATATGGCCACAGCAGCCTTACACGGTTCGGCCAGATAATCATAATTTTGGATCATTGTTTTGAATCCGCTCTACACAACCAGCCACTTATGGCCAATTTGTGGTGGGGGGTTCTGTGTGTCCGTACCCCAAATCCCCCCCCCCCCCAAATGCAAATAAAAACCGTTAACACGACTGATTCATCCTAAGTGGATGGTCAATTAATGCGGGAGGTGGTGCTTACATGTCTGTGTCTATTTTCAAGAGAGGTAAACACACTGTGCTAACTTGTGTTGGACCAGGCGATTGGGATTGATGAATCTACGAGGCGTGAATTCTCATGCACCGGAGGGCCTTGTTTGTCCTATTGGTGGTCCAAGTCGCAGCGACTGTGTAGTTCAGTCCGGAAATCTGTAGCGCACTGTGAGCTGACGAAGAAGAACCATCATTAAAGCGTTGACAGACTTCGTAATTTTGAGTATCTTCCCATACCTGCATAATTTACAAGTTGGGAACTACTTTCGACTTCACTTCTCGTGATTGACGCCTCACGAACTGTGAGGTCCGCTGTCTCCTCTTGCTCGTTCGTGCGTTCCACGTTTTTGCGTCACGCTCCAGCAGTCCCTGCGGGCGTTGCAAGGCATGAGATTTTAAAGGCAGCTTTAGTGAAAATGCATAGAAGACCATGGCGATAGAACTACCCCTTGATGCCTTCAGATTGTCGTCGTGTCGCCAAAGGTGAAATGAAAGGAATGTCCTATGTGTTGACCTGTGAGAATAATGGTTCCTCCCTATGATAAGCATTTCTTTTCTGGGTCTATTTTTGACGATCATGACAGTTGAGTGGGTGGGTGAGTGGGTTCATGATGGGAGATAAAAGGTCTATTCACCAGACTACTACTTCCTGCGTGTTTGCCAACTTGCTATTGTGTTGGAGTGGCTGTAACAGGCAAGTGTAAGAAGAGGTGGAGGCGAGGGCCGCTACTCTTTCCCCAGTGGTATGATTGCGGAATTCACTGAGTGTGCAGTGTGAAAAAAAAAACAGTCCGAATCGCACTGGAACTGAGCAAGCGGAACTTCCCCTCGAGACAGCTGCCTTCCCATAGTGTGTCTGGGTTTTCCAAAATTTCTGGTCACGAGGCGGTTGCCTACAGCAGTAAATGCCTACCCAGAAAAACGAACCTTAAGTCCCCGCTTTGTGTTTGAGACCGAGATGAAGAGCAGGCTAGCTCCGGTGCAGTTCTGATTTCTTTAAAATCAACACAGCATATTTCAGAGCTTATGTGGATTTACTAGACCTCCTTCTTGTGAAATGGATAAGCGACCGCAATGGCATTGAGAACTTGGTACTTTTCCAGTCCCGAAGCTGTGGTTTTGCAGCCCCTCTTCTCTGTTTATCTACACATCTGCGTGAGATAGCTTTCGCCTCCTCCCCATCTGTGTGTACTGGGGGGTGCTCTAATCTCCCAAGGATCCTCCAGTTGCACTGGTAGCAGAGGATGCGCCTCGATCGTCGGTAAACGCACCTGATCCTTACCATTCTTGTCACCAGTTTTCACGACCTTACACTTTTGCACACGAACCACAGCTAGACAGTCCCGTTCTGGGCAGATTTTTTTTGATTAAAAAAGGATTTAAGCCTAGCGATAGTGCCGAACGGTGCGAGATTTTTTACCTTCCATGGGTTCTTCTGCGTACTTGCTACTGCCTAATCTCTTTCGCTTCTTTAGTGAGACACTGACCGTCACTTCAAAATAAAGCTGGAACTTGTAGCGCCGTTGCTAGAATGGTACGGATTTTGTCTGGAATTATTGGTCTAAGATTTGGCTTAATCGTAGTCAGTAGTATGTTCGTCGTTTCTTCAAAATCGGATAAAAATGGGACATTTAGGCAGACAGAAGGCATATTCTGAATGACTGCAAGTAAAAGCGAATGAAGGTGGGTGCGCAAATGACACATTTTTCCGTATCAGCCAAATTGACTGGTTCGTTCCTCTTCTCTCTCAGGGTCCAAGCGTCACCGAGGCGCTGGCAGGACCGATGCGGGACCATTTACGTTATCTCGTACTACGTGACCTTCATTTTTTGCAACCCTGGTACCACGATTGCATTCGACGTCGTGAAAGCGAACGTCGTCTCGAGGAGAACGGTGGTGGCAACGGTAGTTTCCTGTGAGTTTCCACACTCAGATAAATCCAGCTATTGTTTATTCTAGCCTCCCGGTATGCTTCTTCCAAGCACACACTCCATTTTTTATTCACAAGTGCCCATCCCTGCTTGTGGCTGATCAAATATATTCCCATGTTTTGAATTTCCTTGAATTCCAGGCTGCAAATCAAGGTACTGTACCAAAGTGTTAGTGAATAAACACCCTAATCCAACTTTTTCGAGGTATTCTTTAACGGGTGGTGCATACACACCGAATGCATTGGTGGACTCTATTTTTTTCTACTGACTCTATGCTTTAAAAAGGCACATTTGTTTATTGAGATGTCTCAAGTTCAACAAACCGCCATCTGGTTTATATTTGCCTAAACTACATGACTGGAGTGTGGTGCTATGCTAACACGTCGATCGTCAACTTCGTTTCACATCAGACAACATACTGGAAGCTGTTGTCCTCAATCCCGATGAAATAAATATTAACAGAAGTAAAAGTCAGGCGCTGGGTCATAAAAAATATACCAATGTAACCCAGCCCTCGAGTGTAGGAGGCGCTTTTATGTCCGTCTTAAGAGCTGAGACTCACAAGTTATGTCGCTACACGGTGCAACATTTTTCAGTCTCAAGCCAAGCGATTTTCCTCTCAGTATGCGGTTTCACCTGACCGGATGAGCCCTCCAATTGGCTTTATTTTCCCCATTCACAAAAGTTGGATGACCCCAACTTTTTTTGAGCTAGTTTAAGTTTCCAAAAGGAAGTAAGGTCTCTTTGATGGCAAGATGATTCAAAGATGTGGGGTAGATTTGAGGTGAATCGCTTACCCCTAAAATGTCAAGGAGCTATCGGTGATGATTTCGGCGGTCATTAAAACCAACTATTTGTCTCTTTTTTTTTTCGAAATGTCATACCGAAAATGCTTTTTGGTGATGTTCTATCTTATTCCTGTCAATTTATGTTTGTGAAAGCTACGCTTTGCAATTGTTAAGCACCACTGTTTGTTTCGGCCACAAGGCCACAACCTCTAGCCGCGTTTTGAACGAATAAATTACCATCCTATTCCTTTTGGGGTGCTTCCTACTGAATCAACACTATATTTTTCCACTGACAAACGGAGGCAATGCTAAGTGGATTGCGATGGACCGCATCAATTCCCGCCATGGGATTGACCAGCTCCTGTGCCCTCCGTGTGGGGTGTTAAGACGTCACAGAAAAAAGAACGATGTGCACGATTAACATGTCCTTCGCGCTTCAGCTTATTTTTCACGCAGGTGCGCCTGTTTTTACACTCGATGTGTTGCCTCGGTTTGGGTTTGTGAGTGCGTGTGCACCAGGGGTTACCACGGCCAAGTTGACTGCTTTTCCCTGCTACTTCCGTCTTTCTCCTCCACTGCTCTGAACGTGTGCAATTCCATCAGAAATCTAAAAGATTTTATCAAGTATATTTTATTAGACAGGGCTAGGCGCTCACCCAGGAACTGTCCCACTTTCTAATCACTTTCCTCTCTCCTTAATGCACCAAAACTAGGCAGACTGTGCGTTGACATATCTTGCGGAGGCGTTGTAAGATAATAATGCATGGAAAGCATACAGTTCCGGTGTCTGTGACAGCACTGACAGCACATTACATTTCTAGGTCATACCAGTGAAGGCAATCCCGTCACTTAACCGCTCTCTCAAGGAATATTTCTTCGACACAGTAGACTAGAATAAATAAAACGAAATAACGAGATTCAAATTCCTATTTAATCGCAGCCCCTCAAGATTTCCGCGGGTATGAAAGGAAACATAGCCCTCGGGCAGAATATGCATTGTCAATGGACAGAAGGGCTGAGGCAGGCTACAGGCATGGCTCGGAGGCCCCGCCGCCCAGTGGAAGTACAATGACGGAGCCCCCAAGTGGCCGTTGCCAAAACTATTTAAAAGCCCATTGATTCCGATGTGGACATCGTCCCGACAGCGTAGCTAATTACTGACACGTGGCAAATCTTGTTTCGGTTTGGTTAATTCATGTAACAGAGCAGGGTGGTTCCGTGAAGTTCCATCTTCAACCCCAACCTAGTCAAATAGCTCCGGACTTTCTGTCCAAAGCTATTACCTTTGTCCGACCAACAATAAACGCATTGTTTTCCAAGTTGAAGTAATGTTTACGGAACTACTGAAGTTGTTTCTCTCTGGTCGTGATGGTAACTGTGAGTAACGAAATGAAGCTCCACTGCATTGTCATTGTCAATTGCCAGTGCCAATTAACATGTCTCTGCTGCTTACGACGTCCACTATAAATGGAACGATCAAAAGTAGGGGTGAAAATTGCCATCCAGCCAAACTTTGTTTTCGCTGTGTGCGTGTGCCCGATTAGGTTTTGGTCTACAACACTCTTTCACTAATTGCACACCAGTTATGTCAATTCTGATTAACTGTTCCTAATTTTTTCCATCTGGTCTCCAACTTTCACCTTCTTCTTAATCGACAGTTTGTATCTCCCATATTATCACTCTGGACAGTTTTTTAACTCCTTGTCACGACGACCAAGGATATTTTGGCCAATCATTCACTTCAGAACTTCTGGTTTGACCGAAATTTTGCCTCCTTTTGTGAGTCTAGTCGGAAAGTCTTTTTGAAAACAACAACAGCAGGAGCAGAATTGCTTTTGACTTAGGAACATACGTCCGACTTCATCGACTGTTCCTGGCGTTTGTCGTTATTTGAAGGGCTAAAATATGTCACATTCTTAGTTTGAACTTTTTTTCACAATCTGGCGCGCCTTAAGTCCGAAAACGCCATTTTTAGCCCCTTAAAATGACACTTCATGAAATCTTCGCTAGCAGTACTTCTCGATTTCCTTTCATCAGCACTTAGTAGATGGAAACGCTTCATAACCCTTCATTACAAAGAAGATCAACAACAGGGTTGGTTTTGTGAAAACCCTCAAGGATTATACATACGAGTTTATACTGTCTGTTCTTTTCATAATGGCCCAATCTTACGCTCCCAACGATTGGCCGGACAGACTGAGGTAAGGGTGTTCAAGGTACAAAAATATTTTTTGTAAGGGATATGGCGAAGGTATTTAAATAAGCCCCTCGTAGCTAAGTACAAACAGCCCAATCTTGCGCATAAAACGCTCCTAGTATCATCACATTAATCACACTTCCTTTTTTGGTGTCAAGCCCTTAAATACCCTGGCTATTGCTGCACAACGCGCACCTGGTTGGTAAAGTACTCGATGAATTACCGAAGATTTTGTTACTTTGGCTGTAATGTAAACAAACGAAGGACGGTAGCCGTTCCCGCTACGTCCGAATGACAGGTCGTCGTCCCCCTGCTCTAATGACTGCCCTCAACACTAGTGTTTTCGCATGTCCAATCGCTCATTAAAGTTCCACCGACAAATCCAGTGGTCGTTTGAATTCACCTCTCCTGCTCCACTCCACCTCAATGTGGGAATTTTCTGAAGGTCTTATGCCGTTTGCCACCACGGCGTTGTTTTCGTGCCAAGTGGGGGTGGTGTTAGAGTAAACAGAGAATGATGCTGGTTGAAGGAAAGTAAGTCGGATTATGATAAGCGAAAAGTGAAAATAACTCCCTTTTTTGCTCTTCAATTGCGTTACCGGTTGAAAAGCAGCAGAAGCACAAGAATGCATTTGCACACACACGCACAAGTGGAACTTTTAAATACCACTTGAATCCGCTCGAGCCCTGCGCTGCATATCTTGATCGAGAAATTTGGACTGAATTTTAGGGTAAATCTCTCTCCTAAAATGATGGCATATGGTTCCTTTGATACCTACCGAAAGGCTTTAGAATCCAGCACTTTCACGATGCAATTGCCCGAACATGACCGGAATTCGGGACCCCTTATATTTGATGTTCGCATTCGTGAATTAGTCAACAGCTTCCATTAAATAAGTACATTAAACAGCACAACTCTTCGTTCTTTCGGCCCCATTTATAAACGGACAACTAAAGTGTGAAGGATTTGGAATTTGGTCAAATTTTAGTCATTGAATCCACCAATCGTAGATTGCCTCGAAAATGAGTCCTCGGTCGCTCAATCCATAGGCAAAAACCAGACATTTCATAGGCAGCATCGAGGATTGTCTTTGCAATGTCATATTTACCAACCTTGTGTCGACTACACAGGTAGTAATAGCAACATCAAGTTGCATGTATTGTGATGCTATTCAATGCCAATTTACGACGACATTGGGTGGAATGACATTGTCAGTAACTGGCAATGCTTTTTAATCTCGTAGGCCTTGAGCGCTCACGTGCTGTGAGGGGTCGCATCATTACCAGTTCTGGTTGTTCCTCCTCCACTTCATTTCGCCTCCTCACGTTATATCCCGCTTACTTGGTGGCAAGAGTCCTGACCAAAGACGGTGAAATGAATTTGCATTCTTTAAAATGTCAAAGTAAACAAGTCCTCTCTTGTAGCCGGCCTGCAGCGGGACTGCAATACACTAACGTGCCTAATTTATGTGCTCCTATTACACTTCTGTCGGCGGTTTTAATGTGCCTGACCTAAGTGTGGCCTTCTATTTCGAAAAAATGTAGCCGCCCATTTACAGGTGAACGAGGGGAGGAGAAACCCGGTCCCTTTCTGTCGGTCTTTTGACAGCTACTCGAAAATAGTGTAATTTTGGGGGAAAAGTCCCAACACCACAGTTACACGGCCGCCATGGCAACCTCCCGTTGGAGTTGGGGTGCATTCAATTCCCCAATCAACTACTTCCAAAGCCTTGCAATCGAAATTTTACACAGCATTAGGGCAATTTTCCCTATAAAAAGCAAAAAGTAGCGCGTTTTACTATTTCAAAGTGAGGCAGATTTTATCGCTACCCCCAAGGGAGAACAAATGTGAGTTCATGCAGGAACCATTTACCGTCAGAACGATGCAAACGAAGCATAGAGTTGCTTTTTTTTCTCTGCTGGAAATAACCTTGAAAAACATGTGCTTCCCACTTCTCGATGGGGTGGTTAATGGAATGTCAATTTGACACATGCTGTACAACTAGAGTGCTTGCTGGGCTAACAAGATTATCCTCTCAAAATAATGCCAAAGTTTTTTTTTGACAGACCACATACTCATTCGCAGAAATTTTTACCAGTGAAACTTGAAGAATTCTTTTGAAGAAGGTACTTACGCTCATTTCCTTTTTTCAAGTTAAATATCTCCTCAAAAACCTGAAAGACTTTGCGGAGAATCCCAACGGACATTAATGCATTTCACCATAGTTTTCAATCTCAATCAACTTGTCGAGGCTCGCTACTGGCGTTGGTGTACTCCGCCTTAACTATCCTGGGATAGCTCGTGAAGGCTCATATCGAGTTTGATATTTCATTCTTCCCAGCAAGATTGTTAACTGGCACTCACAAGTCGGGCCTCTTTTTTCATCATTTTTAACTCAAAAGAGAGGTCCAATGCGTCCGGCTCGCTTTTATCATCTTGGTTTGCACGACACTCGCCATAAAACTGTCGTATTTTAAAGGGCTCTCTCGTTCCTACTGTGATCACTAATAGCCCCAATCTAATAACCATTTGCGCAGTGCCTTCGTGAAACCCAAATCCTTCCCTGATATTGTTTGTAGTTGCAAAACATTTTAGGTTCTTGAAGAATTCACCGCAAAGGTCCCCTTTTGGTGGTAAATGAAGGAGGCGGTAATTGGTTAATAGCGGACCGTTGTTAGTTTTACACACCGAAGTCGTTTCCTTGGTTAAAATGCACAGAAATGTGTTGTCATTTGGTTTAGGCCTCAGCGATAATTGTTACTCCGAGCTGAGGCATGAAACAAAGTGTTAGCTGTGTGTCCTATAGTGAGCAACAGCGCCAGCCTAATGCATTTCCTCCTCCTTCCCTCCTCTTCCGGGAGTGTGTTGTGCATAGATAGCGTCTGGATGTGCATTTATTTTAAATCGAAGCGTGGCGCATCCCCTCGTTGTATTGCAAGGACATTTTGTTCCGATGGCAATACGTGTACTTCCAGCCCGCTTTTCCAGTTATCTGCGCACATGGGCTAGCCCATTTAGTATCGGGCGCAACGCTCTCCGAGTGCGCGGAGGTACAAATTGACGGATTGTTATTTGGATCCATGGGAGGTGATCTTCTTCTTTTCCTGCTTATTTCCGAAAACGGGGAATGTTATTGCAGCCACGCCCCGGATCCTAACTTACCTCCAATAGGGAGTAAGTTTTAAAACTCACTGGGGGATGAACTCAATTTTGCAGCCCGCCTTTTGGCCAGACCTTGAAATAGTTTGTTTTTGTTTTTAAGGCATTTTCTTTGGAGCAGGTTCTTTTGCACTTTTGATGGCCAGTCCAGAGGGGATTTCGGGATTAAAAAGCATGGAAGGCAGTTTTTGTTTTTTTTTTGCTGCACATCTCTTCCAATTCTTTTTTGTTTGTCAAAACTTGATTTGCACCAAATTATCTCACGGGAGTGTAGATTCACATGCATAGTGTAGATAGAGAAAGCTAAGATGTCAGATTAAGGAATTTATGTGATCCATTCAAGCTTTCATCCGCGCCTTTGTAGAGTTCGATATCGCAAGGAGGATGGTGCCTACGTTCTAAGTCTGATGTATGAGAAGGAGCCGCGCCATTATAAAATTGAGCAACACCTCAACCGACTCTCAATTGAGGGAGGCCAATACTTTGAGACTCTCATTGAGGTAAGTCTCCAGTGACGACTGTACAATGCAGCCGATGTAGACGACGCTTCGACCTCGTAACATCACAGGTGTAATCTGTTCAAGCCACCTTCTTTTGCCAAACTTTAAAAATTCATTAAAATATTGCTAAAATTAGCCCCAATGCAATCAACCTGCGTCGCTTTCACCCAATTGGGTTGACTTCCTACCGACTGAACTTTAATAGAGAATATTTGCCTCTGTCCTTTCGGAACCTGCGACGAGGAATATGTGCTGAGCTTTTTCAAAAGCGCGAATTTTTACCCCATATTTGACAAAAAAGTTGAATGAGCAAAATCCTTGCCTACCGAAGTTAGATATAGTAGGTGGGATGTTTGAAGGGAACCATCCATCATCGATCGTCCTGTGCCACAGTGAACCCTCCCAGTGCCAAACAAGGCAATGCAAACTCAGTTTACCATCCCTGTCAAAGCACTTCTCACCGTTTGTGTCCACCTTGTCGAAAGTGGGGATAAGGTGTTGCTTTGCACACTCTACTTCAAGTAAATTTGATCAAGAAATAACTCGGATATGTTAGTTATGATTCCTGATGTCATCTTAACTTGCATTGCACTACCAGCGCCGGTGTGACGCGCTTACTACGTATATCACGTGTTAATCGTCGATATATGGTAGGTAGTTGCAGGAACTTGTATCGCGAACAGTTTGGCTGGGATGACAACGACAAAATATCACTCAACCCAACAGTATAAGTTGCCAAAGAAGGACTGCTTTTGGCCAAAGGACCTGTAAAATGATTCACGATCGACTTCCTCAAACTGGAATGCTTTCGACGCCGAAATAACGGGATATCTTGAATTCTAGGGCTATTCTTGATAATGTCATTCATGCAGAGTATTTCAGCCTGGAGCTTTAATAGGCGGCAACGAAGACGAAGGAGGGCGGCAGCGCCAAGACCACGCGCCCAGCAATTGAAAAGCAACAGTCATGCGCGCGTGAATCATAACCCATCAGCCTGGGCGAATGACAATGCCCCTTGGTCATTGGTTGAAAGGCGGTTAAGTGGACAAAAACCATTGGACATTTGTCGTACAAAGGAGGTGCTGTTGTGTTACTTGGGTGTCCGTGTCCTGAGCGCGAGGAGGACTTGAGTCCACTTATCGCGCAAATTGTTTGTCTCATTTCAAATTACCGCCTCAGCCTGACTCAGATTTCTTCCCGTCTTGAACCAGTAAAGAATAGGCAGAAAGGCTACTTGAAGATGCAGGGAAGAAATAATTGAACCTCGTAATTTGGATATACCACCAAACAGATGAGGATGCCACGATACTGTCGTCCAGAGTAAGCAAACAAAAAATATAGATTTTGGTGGTTTAGTCACAGATTGGAAGAATGGAGGAAGGGGTCCAAACCTCCAGAGTGGATTTAATTTTCGGGAAGTAGAAATTCATTCAAGGTGTCGATCATGCTTCTACTCAATCACTGTTTGAGACCAAGACTTCACCGTGAGCCTTCACACATTCACCATCAGCGCCACCCGCACATGACGTGCCTTCTATACCCGTCTATCATAAATGGATGCATTAACTCTTGTCTCAGACAGGTTGAGCTTAAAATAGTAAAGTAGATGCAGAGTGTTCTTGGGCTAGAGCTAGTTGCACTTTTTAGCTGTCGCGCCAAATAGCTTGAAGTAGAACATGCTTTCTACGGATTGCGGTGGTTGATTCTCTCATCGTACCCTGGTGGTGAACGCATTAAAAGGTCTTCAAAAAAAGTTCTAAACGGTGATGTGGTGCGAAATGAATTTTAGAAAACTCCGAATATTTTCGCTATGAAAGCGCATGGATGTCAATTTAGGCCTCACACAATGCCTTACGTGTGGTATGCGGCATAATAAAAGGCCTTAGAAACAAAAAAAAAGTTAACATGATCTTATGGAGTACGGTCTGACTATTTAAATCCATCAAATTTCGCCCGAAATGTTCTTTTTCTGGGAGTTTCCAGGACCTTCCACCACCAGGTGCCTTAGGGTTTATTCACTACGAAAGATCCGTAAAGCGGAAAGTCCGACCACGAAATCCGTTTCGCCGGAAAATGAGTCAAATTGTGCCTATGCCAGGGTTACCACGAAGGCCTGGCGTTGTGCAATATGTATTGCCATCGGAATTGCGCAGTTCCGGTCACCGGCTTTTACAGGCATCATAGCAAACCATCTGTAATTCAGCATATGGTCAATCATTTTGGGAGCCAATATTTCCCCAAACCACTGTAATCGCCTGGACGACTGTGCATTGTTGTCGCCACGTTGGTAAATCGGGATCCCTTGTGGCCGAAGGTGGAGTCGGGCTACATTGCCCAAAGGCGTAAAGCGACTGAAATAGTAGTCTAGCTGCATGAAGGGTTCGTTCATGAAAGTATCTTATTTTTATCCCAGATTATTTAGGTGTGAAAAAACTAGGGGAAGATGTGATGTCCGTTTTTCACGGCTAGAGAGCAAAGATGGATTATCATTACCGAAAGCCCCTCATGCCCATTCCAATTCAGTCCTCCTGTTTATCTTTCTTCAACAAATGTACAGCCATTGCCTTCGTGATACACTTTTTTTTGTAAAGAATGATAAGCGAGTCTAACCTTTTTGGCTATCCTCTGAAATTGCTTCTACTTATACTCTATCCAAAATACAGTTCCAACGTTTTGGCTTTGTTTTATTAACTCGCCCCTCATTCAGCATGCTTTAAGCACCCTTAATGTTGCCCTGGATTGCAACAATAGCTGGTAATTTTCTCACCAACAGACAGTAAGCCCTTTGATCTTCCGTGTCTAATCCTCTAAATTTTTCGTCATTGGCTAGAATTCCTTCTATGTTAAAAGGATTCCCTACTTGCATGCCATTACGCTTAAGGTTTCGGTCGAAGCGACATGGAATTTATCTGTAGGGAGTGTACCGAATCTACGGCACATCTTTTCACTGCCTTGAAATGACAACACTCCTGAATCCAAACAGTTCTTCCCCCACCAAATTATTGTGGTCTGGTATTAGTGATGGGGGGATTCAGGATTGCGATTGGACGAAAAATAACATTTTTGGCTATTAGTTGAAGGAGTTGTAGAACAGGCCAACGATCCCATTGCGGATGCTTCTTCATTACTCGTAAACACGAAAAAGTGCGACATGATCAGATTTAACCAGATCTGTCATGCTAGTCAGGTTCCTCACCGTAAACACTTGTAGCTACGTTCCCCTTCCTCCCATTTTTCCTCCACCTTGCATTTCATTTATCGCTATAAACACAATCCTTCCGTAATACTTTGTTAGCCTGGATTACTAATTCCAATGTTTGGGCCCCTCAATAATAAATCAGGAGGAGCAGATGCCAACATGGTGTTTAAATGTGTGTGCTCGCCTTCTCCGCTAATTTATGCCTGTCTGATAAGGGGATCACAGGTCTACCTAGTACTCCAGGTCTGGATATGTTATTTTGTTAAAAAACTAACAATTCCACGGATAAAAGGTGTATGCGATATCCGGGTCCATGGGGTTTGGTACGTTCTCTTTTTGTGCTCTTTTAAATGATTTTTGGTTTTTCACAGTGTTCAAAGATGCAAAGGCCGGCGATGATACTTTCTGTTGTAATGAGAAAAACTTCATATATCTGCATTCACATATTTTTGAGCGCCATTTATCATGAATAGCTTTGAAATGGTGATGGATCACGCGGGACCGATAAGGGCTATTGTCTGGGAGCCACGTTTTTTTTCAGCTTCCTTGGCCGGAAGTGCCGTTTTTAGGATTGAGATAGGGTTCGGAAGACGTAGTTTTTTGGCGCGCTGAGTCTTTTCTGAAGACGAAAGAAGATACAATATTATAGTAGAATGTGCATCACCGACGTACAGAAGGGCTGGAGGCTACTGGCACAGTCCGGAGGCCAGCTCGCCCAGCAGAGGTGCCAAGACGGGGCCTTAGTTCCAGAACGAAGAGTTCCAAAAGAACATGGTTGCAAAATCACCTTGTAGTGAGAACGCGGGAACCACTTTGAAAATGTAATCATAAACCGGAACGTGGATGTGCGGGTCATTGCCTGTTCCGTCGACCGAAATGTCTTCTTGATAGTTCCCCGTCTTGAGTGGAATTTCTTAAGTCTTAACGGATTTTTTTAAAGGGATCGTGAAATATGATTGAAGGCTTCTTCTTTTCCATTAATAACAGGGGAAACACTTCCAAAAGGAAGCTCTGACAGCTGATGAGGAACGACTAGCTTCGTGATTTGATTGGATCGTTCCCTCCGATACGCATTGATCGCGCAGCACCATTATGCAATAATCTACTCTTGTAACAGTCTCACAGCTCTTGAGCAGGCTCACCATGTTTCTCTCACGCTACAGCCACCACTGCTGGAGGTAGTAGTGCTATGTGATGGGGAATTGGCAAGTCGACTCATTGAAACGACTACCTCGGCGACAACATCGAACCACGTGCATTCCACTTTGTGGCATCAATGAACACCGAAAGTGTCGGTAAATATTTGACCCGCCATAACTAAGACTCGCCTCGATCAGTACACAATAGCTGTTGGGGAAAAAAAGGGCTAATATTTGTTGTTCAAACCCCATTCTCTCCCATACACCTTCATCGCATCGCCTTGTTGACTATTTCCGTTGACGCCTATTTACGAGGTGTCTTTGTGCGACAGTGGTCTCTATTTTTAGGCGGTCTTCGTCTGGTTTACTTAAAGTGCTACCGCATTCAACTTGCCCTTCGTACATCTATCAACATGTAGGTATTCGCGCACCCGTGCGCCCACGCAGAGGTGCCTAAGAACTGACGATTAGACAAGCAAGCAAAGGAACACTCTTGTGGATGTCTGATTCTTCATGAGTTTCTTCATTATCACGTCTAACCTTTTAAAGTGGAAATAATTTTCTTAATGGTGTGTAAGTAAAGGAACGCAATCAGTTGATTAAATTCCTTCTTACGGGCGGCACAGGTGGGATAATTAATTGCCTCACCATGTATGTAAACGTGGGTATTCAAAAAAAAAGAATGAGAAATTGGGAAGAATAACATCGAGCGTGCTTATCACAACCACTTCACTCTTTAGATGATCGACCATTACCACTTTCGACAGGACGGTTTGCTCTGTAAACTTCGCAAAGTTGTCGCCGCCCCCGACTTCATTCGAACGAAACAGGGTAGGCTTTTTATTGATGAGGGTCCTCAGCCATTTCCACAAAAGCAAACCTATTCGTTTTGTAGTTTACTCCTCTACTGCTTCAAGCAGAGAGCCATTTCAAACCCTACTTCTTTCAGGTTTAATTCAAGTTTTCAAATTGGCCTATGCCTATTTAAGGATATAATTAGGTGGTAGAAAATCCAACTTTTCGCTTGGACTAGTTCCAGTTATGACAGACTGCCTCTTTTGGCGCCTTTGACGCATAGCAACTTTCTGAAAAAGTTTCATTCTTAAAAAAAATCCGCTTTTTACTTTATTGTGGTGAAACTGAATCTACCAGAAAGTACTGGTAATGTCGCACCGTGACAGTTAGTGGTGCTATTTCTTCTCTGCTAAAATAAGCTTAAAGCGATTCCATACACTCGGCGTCTTCACCAACTAAAAGCATTTTTGCTTTGTGCGAAAGCACATGTTAATACTTAAAAGATGTAATAATTTTTCACCGCATACAGATGCGTCTTCTTTGGATATACTGTCCCCTAGTGCTCAATGGGTAGTGGGAACGATACGCCGAATGCCTTCGAAGCTTGGCACCATTATAGGGCCGGATATTCACTGCGGGGCCCCGAAACTTTTCTAAAGACGAAAGGAGGCAATACTAGCGCAAAATACATCTTGTAGACGTAAGAAGGGCTGGAGGGGTAGGGCAATGGCATGATCCAGAGGCCGCACTAGCCAGGTGAAGTACAGAAGCGGAACCAAACTGAAGAGTTAAAGTAATTTCCTCAGTATTATATTACATTGAAGTAAAAAACTTCCTTATTAAATGGAGTTGTGGCTTTGTTTTCGTCACTCACCGAAGGACCTATTTTCACTACTTATGTACTTTTGCCCAGCGCTTCCCTAAACAGTACGTCGGGCGCAAACGCTGTCAAGTACAGCCTCATGGATTTTAGCTGTTTGCATACCGTTTTATTTTCACACAAAAGTAGAAATTTTAATGGTGCAGACTAAACCACGTACACTTTTTCAAAGCTCACGAAAAATCATGATTCAGCTGATGCGCAATCAAGGGCCCCCCAACCCCTAAGTGGACCGCCGAGGGTAATCAAGCTGTGCACTACACGAAGCGGAAGTAAACTGTCACCATTATTGGAGTGCGAGGCTTTTGCTTGTGACGTGATTTTTAAGTATGCTAGGCATGTGCAATCTGCTTGGGTTTTCGGCAGATGCCGTGATTGTGCACCCCAAGGTTCATGTAAAGGGTAAAGTACGCTCTCCGTCAAGGTGTCAAGGAAACACCTGATTAAAGTGGAAAGATATTTTATTCCCTGGAGCAATTATCTTTGCCAGTAAGGAGAGGAGGCCAAATGTGTAGTGTTGAAAGGATAGAGGACAGTACGACAACTTTTTTGCTGCAAATTTCTAGGCGTGTGGGCCATCCAAGTGATAATGTCAACCTGCCTTTTTGATAGTCTTTATCTAATTTGTCAAACCAGTCTGAAGTGGACAGGAATTTTATCTTGCATCCAAAACAGCGTTGATGTACTGCGTCATTTCACCACGTAGAATTTGCTCTTGGTCTAGCACCCTTTTCTTCAACAGAGGAACGCAAAGTTGGGCGCTTTGATATTCAAGATTGTCACTCTGGTATCCGATAGCTACCTCTCTTTGACTAGAGCCGTAAAAGACCGAATTATGCCTCCATAGCTCTTTCATCCACTATTGTTACTAAGCGACTACCGGTTTATGTTAAGGCTGATGGGAATTTCGTTCCTCATTTCCGTCTTGTTGCTACATCCTATGCTCCATTTCACTCGACCTTTACTTCAGTTTGCAGTCCTCTTTTCTCTACTACCGCAGCCTTGCCACTCGGCGTGTCTATGATAACAAGGGGAGTGGGGTTAAAAAAGGGAATGCTTTCTTCCCTCCCACAAAAAGCGTCCAGAAAGAAGTCTTCAAGTTCTACACCTCCCTAAACAAGTGGAGCACGTGGTTTCTAAAGCGCCTGCCTTGGGTCCTCGCTATCGCCTGTATCAAATCCACTCAAGCCCTTTGTGAAATCCCACCTCATGTGGGAAGAAAAAGTTTACTAATTGGATTAGCCGTACCTTCTCTTAAAAAATTTAAATCTGCTAAGGTAATAAACTATTCACTGGGTTCTCATCTACTACACCAGTGTGTAAAGAGTAATTAGGGGAACGCGGCAAGACTGTCTACTTGCACTACACGACGAGGGGCTGATTACTTAATTAAGTTGGAGAACTTTTACTTAACTGTTTCTGCTTTTTTAAGCACTAAAATGTACTTTTCTGACCATAAATAAGTTGAAGAAGGTAGATGCGACAGGCCCCTTGAAAGTCCTCCTCTCCGCGCATGGCTGAATAAACAACCGCTTGAGATTGGGATTGCCCCTAGGTTTGGGGCAATGAAAAGTCCCACCAAATGCTCTGCCCATCACTTGATCGTCGTTGTTTTTGTTTCGACTATGATTAAATTTGTTGAAGTTATCCCTGATGCACACACAAGCCGAAACAATGGGCATCCAGAGGTGATTCTTGAAAGAATTTGGAAGGAATTAGCATTCCCTCCACAGGGAATAAAGCGTCACCTCTTTTGTCAACTGACTAATTCTTGTCCTCTCCCTCATGGTAGAAGTTGTTTTGATCTCCTTTCACCCCCCCCCCCTCCCACTTTCTATTTTAGTGCGCTAGAATTCAACCTTTTAGAAAAAAAGACTGTTTAGTGTTGCTGTGCCTACCGCCTGTTCTCACATGCATTTTGCATGGGTTTCAGATTCCGCCTCAATCTCCAGTGAATCCTTGGAAGGCTCTCCGGTAATTGTGACCTCTCTCCCCATTGCTATTTACTTAGTAGTGTTTCAGTGAAATGACCGCCCACTTTTTTCCTTGATTTGGTCTGCCAGAATTCTTTGAAAAACACGGGTTCGTCGATAAACAATTCGAAGGGTGCAAGCCACTCCCTCCCCTCGCTCGCCTCCTGCCCCTTCAACTCGGCGACGTCGGATAACCTTGGCGGTGGTTCACCTGTGCTTCGTAAAGTCTGTGACGATGTCATGCACGCGAGCAATGATCTCATCTCCTTCAACGATTGGCCCAATGTCACCAGTCTTCTGGCCAATCAGGTTGGTGGCACGGTGTTTAATAGACCAGCCTTCTCGATGAGCTGATTTTGCATCTCGGAAGTTCTTTTTGCTTATTACAATTATTATCATTGCGTCGGCTTTGCCTAAGTAATTGGGACCACTGGCCGCCATTAATCGTATAGCTTGACTCAAGACTTTGGTTCATCTCCAAGCCCAGATGAAGTGACTAATCGAACTCATTAAAATGTCGTCATTGTAGTTGTAGTGGTATCACGTACAAGATTGAGCTTCATGGACTTCAAAAGTGACTTCTTTTTTATACAATGCATCGAATTACATTTTCCGATGCAGCGTTCCGCTACGGCGTTTGACTGATGCCTAGAAAGCCTAGGCGTGACCCAGTGGTACATTTGACTCTTCTCTGTTGATCGAACCTGGTTGTTTCCAAACTTCCCACAAAAAGGTTCCTCTTTTGTACAATTTTGCGGTAGTTTACGCATCGGTTATCCAGGATCGGGTGTTCCGCACGCTGAATGCTTACCGAACTGACCGCCGCTGTGGGCGGGCTGGGAATGGGAACACCGCTGCTAAAATCGCTACTACCGTACAGACGGCCACTCGCTTTTACCTCGTTTGTACTGCGCAAATATTTGCCTGTTGGGTAGCTGAGTGTCCTACAACCGGACTGCTTGGAGTCCTCTTATCTGCGGATTTTATGCCTTTCCACGCAGGAAACCTCATTCGCCCCGTAGTCCACCACCTTGGATGACGGTGTCTGGACTGGTCCACGATGTGTGCGTCGGACATACATAATTTTGGTACCACTTGTGGTATCGCCACAGTAGCACACCTTTTTGTATTACCGTACATGTGAAGTTAAGGCTTTCGGTTTCACTGTAGTATCCGATAAGTCATTTTACAGATCTCAATCTCTACGTAGGACCACTTTTTATGTCGATCTTACCGAGAACTCTTCCAGCTGTGGATCTTTCAATGAAGCACTAGTCGACATTTTTCCCTACAAGCAAGAGAAAGCGTGACTTTATTGCAGAGGTTACTTCTAATTTGGTGATTTAATCCAGAGAGGACGATTTCATCACTCAAATTCCACATTTTAGTTTATGCGGGGCGTGAATGGCCAATCATGATCCTCTTTCGCGATTCTCATGCTCTAACTGACGGGTGGAGAGAAAAATTTTTTGCTGAATCAGTAGTGTTTCTATCAGAAAATCCTTATAATTTCAACATTTGCCAGCAAATCGCCAGTAAACTTCCCTCCCGAATAGCTAGAGCCAGCCTCGCTAGGCTTGTCTGTTAAAATTATTTTTACTTTTTCCTTTATTGAGAAGTTCGATAGCGAAAACTCGACTTATTACACGCTAACACCTTTTTGCTTTCGACAGGAGCTGCAATATTTCACTTTTGAATTGTTTTGATGAGGGTGGTACAGACATTTGAATGGTTGTCGAAGCCAATCTTTCAAAGAAATCACCATTACGCATTCGAAATCTTCCACCAAACCCAGAACCTTATCATAAGAATAGTCATAATGGTGAAAGATGAGTGCTTTATAGGTTGTTATTAAGGTATGATAAAATCCACAAATAACTAGTTCGGTCTTGTATGCTGATGCCCAACTAATAAGTGGTTGCAACATCCTTGGGTGTATAATTACGTTCCATGGTGTTTTGTTTAGGAGATTTTGAAAGTGACAGAAAAAATTGCTGCTAAAGGCAGTTATGCTTATTAATGGGTGAGGGAAACCGGTCCGGATCGTCAAGTATTCGAGGATGGCTGGGCATAAATTCCATATCCTATACATGTTTAAAACAACATCCCTTGTCCCTAAGCATGTTTTAAGACTTCTCGCGTCCTCACTGAACTAATGTGGCGACGTGCTGTTTACTTTTTGAGAAAATTCAATCCTAATTTGTCGAGCCGCGTATTTGACACTCAGTTGCAGCATCGTTATTTATATATTAGTTTCTACTTATGCTTTTATAAGTAGTCTCAGTTGGTACCACTGCTTACCCGAATTGTTTCAGAATGCCAACAGCAACGCCACCATCAATAATAACAACAACATAGGCGGAGGAAAGTTGCCTCAGAACAACATAACTGTAAAGCGCATATCAGCAGTACCGGTGGCCAAGTTTCTTCGCCCCAACCTACCATCCTTGCAGTCGGTGAACTTGGGCTATGGCGATGGCTTTGTGCATACTCCCTTCACCCCGGTGAGCACGGAAGCCACACCCACACCTCGGCCGGGAACCGTGACTTCCTCCCCCACCTCCCCCTTCTCTAGAGTTAGGCTAAAGCCGACCTTCACGTCCACCTCAGTTGGGACCACTGTTACCACTGCTACCACCGCGTCAAACACCATCGCGAAGTAAGTCTTGTCTCGCCAGTAGGGTTTCTACCATAGTGATGCGTTGCAGGAAATTTTCAAGAGTCTGGTCCGAGCCTATTGTATGATATCCCATCTGGATTGACGATTGCTCTTGCTACTTACCATTAATATTTCTGATTATGGAGTAGGGATTGCTTTGAAAATAGGATTCTTTTGCACTTCGTCTCTGTCAATGTCAATAATGTCGATTTCACTCTTGTAGTGTTGTCTGTAGATAGATTGAAAAGTTTGATGGTTACTGCAAAGATGCTATGGATGCAGAGCGCTACGAACGCTTAGCTGGGATCATGGAAAATGAAGAAAGAGTCCCGGAATTAACTGATTAGTAAAAACAGTTAAGTAGGAGGAATGCAGAATCCGGGCTTTGAATCTGTCTACATTCCTGTCAACGCTATCCTTAAGTCAGGCTGACATGACTGCTTCAGTAACAAGACTCAAAGCTAGGAAGGCAAATCAATGTGACTGGGAATTCGGTGTAATGCTCAATACCTGTCTTTGCCTAACCTTCACGGTAGTCGGGATCCAAGCTGAGTCGTAAATTCTGGAATCCTACTTTCTAACTTCATTATACATGTGCAGAAAGGCTTATAGATGCCCACACAATCAAGCTGGCGGCCGAACCTTGCGGAGACCAGGCAATTCAGGCAGTTAAATGTACCGTTAAACAGACAACTTTCTATCACAGCATTCCGGCAATTTCCTACCTCTTTCACAGTGAAGTATCGCAACCACGGCCGTTACAAGCCTCGGTGACGTGTCCCCTCATACCCGAGGTGCTTCGTGCCACCAACAACAGCAACACTGGCGCCCTCCAGCGGAGTCCCACCACCGCACGCTTCGCTCAGGCCCAGCTACCCTGTAAATTCGCCCCCAACAACAGTCTGCCACCAGAGTCCCTCAATTTTCCACCCATCATTGATGCCCTCTGGGAAGAACCCGATGGCAGTGAAGGTGAAAATTCCCATCTGCTTTTTTCTGATAAGTAGATTTTATTTTCAGGGCATATCTTTCCCCTCACAATGAATGTTAGCCTCTGTTCTTTGCTGTTATTGTTAATAAGTAGATTTATTTTACCCATTCGGTAAAAATAATCACTTAGACGCAGGGACCTGCCTACTACCAAAAAGATGTTGTGATATTGTGGATTTGCCAAGTGCCGAACCGACAGGAGGAATGTAGCTAGCGTTTGTGATGGATCTCAACTGGTGCAAATTGAGCACATTTCAGAAGCAGACTAATCATTAGGTCATTAATGTCAATTATAAGGTGGCATAAAACTTTGTACAGGCGTTCTGGATGCAAAATGCTTTTAACTGTCTCCAGTGACACATCTCTTTTGGCATTTTATTTAGTAACTGTAGTTAATGCCTTTGAGTGGGACATCCTGCTCTTCCACCGAATTTAGTGCCCCAGTTGCCCTCAGACGACGTTGTATTATGTACAAATCCGGAAGTAGGTCTACCTTCGACGCACGGAGGAATTGGGAGACTACTAGGTTACTTGGTATGAATCTGACTCCATGACAAACCTTGGAAAAGTGGAAGAGTCGTCCCAAGTACAACTTTGTTGTCATAAGTGTTGTGTTTTGTTTGCACAATTTAGATCGTTCTCAGCCGAGCAGTTCGCTGGTATCGATCAATGTCGAGGCACTGCCACCACCACCGCCACACATTCTGAACCCCTTCATCCAACGAACCTCGTCACAGACCTCGGTCAATCTCCAACCCTGTCATCACGCTCCCGGCGTCTCCACCTTCTGCAACTCTGCCTGCTGCCAGCAGAAGCACCAGCTCCAGCAAAAGCAGCAGCAACAGAAGGCAGATGAGATTGTGGTGGAGAAGATAGAGAAAGAGGAGGTGTCCCCCACGAAGCCCCCGTCTTCCGTACTACCGGCGATCGAGGAGGCTCAGAAGATCTATGATTCGCTGCCTGACAACACTCTCTTCCTTCAACCAGATAGTATCCGCCTTATGGATCGGTTGGGTCAGTCCCTACACTTACCGTCTTTTCGAGCACCTCCTCAATATCTTAATCGAAGTGTCTTTCCAAACAAGTACTACATTTCAGTTAGACGGATTTTCAGATGCAATGATAACCAAGTAAAAGATTTCATCGGTAGTACATGGAATGCTTAAACTAACTCCTCGTTTATAAACACGATAACTGTGGTGGAATCCAGCAAAATCTATGCTATACCAGCTTAGAAATAATTTCTCTGGACTACAGTGTTTTATTTTTCAAAGCCCTCACTTCGGGATAAGGGTATCAAAGGAAAACATTTTTTTCTTGGGGATGGTTTCACGTGTGTCATTTGTTCTCGATAAGAAGAAATATCCGTTGAACCATGGGTGTAGGAAAGTAAATATTTGTTACCTCGTAACGGAATCATTTTGTTATTCTAATATTAAAAGTTTAAATTTTGGAGACATAATTTGTAATTTATATTACCAGACAATTAAAAGGATTTGTGTGCAGCTCGATGCAACGACCTGTTGGAATCTGAGTGGACTTGTAAAAAGCCTTAAGGTGTTTCAGTTTATCATTACAAAACTCAAATTGCCATTTCTACTATTTCTCCCCCTCTCTACACCCTCTATCTGATATGTTTCCAGCTTGTCCGCTTTACGATCTCGGTTCCAAAGCTGAAAAAGCTTCTAGTAAAGTTTGTAGAGCGTTTGGAGGATGTGTGGTAGCAGAATGAACCATCCAGAAGTCGGTATATGATTATAATGACTGATTCGCGTTCATGAAGACTTCCTACTCGAGATAATAAAAGAATTACCCATCTAGAACAAACTTCATTCATCCACACCATCGACCGGGTTGGGCAGGTCGTGAAAGTCACCTCTGCATTGGCAGAAGTCAATAAGCTCGAAAGGCTACCAATTTGTTCTCTACTTTTATGCGCTTCCTTAGATTGTTCACTAACATGTGAATAGAAATGAGTTTTGAGTTGTGAATTACATTAAATGAATGAGCGCTCCATAAGCCCCTCCCAGCCCTTCTGAGGTCCCGCTTATTTCCCAGAAGGCTATGCTTGCTTTGCACGTGACTAACTGCAAAGTGAAGAGCCCACTGCGTGAACGCGCGCGTAGGAAAAATTACTTTAGAAAAGGTCAGAATTAGTGAATCTGTCGGAAGAAAGTCATATTCTTCATACACCATCGTAAAGGTGTCCCAAGGTAGGGTTCGTACTTTAAAAAATTAGGGAGATAGCGCCTCCGCCCTCTCCTCCTCCTACGGACTCCGGTATTTCCCCCCAACTCTTATCATTCTTTTCCTGACATTTGACAATTACCTGCAAAGTCGGTAGGAAATAGGTGCGAGGTAGAAAGGTGGGAGGCACCTACCCTAGTTGTAAAGCTTACTGAACCAAATCGGCTTCCTAATTACATGGGGATATCCTAGGAAATTGGTTTGACTGCCTGTCTTTTAGTTGAGGGCTGCCGGGGCAGCGGTTATAGCGCCTCAAATCCTTCCTGAAGTCGAATCAATCCATAATTCTAGGACAGGAAGTGTATTGCCAACATACAGAAGGACTGGGAGGGGGAGTCTGCTAGCATGACCCGGAGGCCATGCCACCCTGTGGAAGCACAATAACGGGTTCTAAAGTGTACACGTAATCGAAACAAAGAGTTAAACAATCAACGTATTACAATAATTACCCCATTAATGCGCAACTGTATGAACGCAGTGTCGGAGGATATTTGGGGATTTTGCTACGTAAATCACGAGATATGTCCCATTCATCACTTCTGTAACGACGCAGACCAGTATTTGAAGGGGCGCTGAATGAGTGATGGACCAAGTCGAGTTTGCATGTGGAAACGTTTTTTTTTTACGGGAAAGAACGAACGGTTTCCGATGCAGAAGCCGTTAAATAGGTCCATCTTACTCCTCACTAAAAATGGAGGGGTTGGGACTCCGATGTTGTCCGTTCTTGCATTTAGCTTTACTGCCTTGTAAATTGTTGTATCTTCAAATCGTACTTAAATTACCCCATTGAAACGTTGGGTATGCAGTTGATGAAGTCTGCCTTGTGGTTTAAAAGGCCACCTGTTCCTCTCGCCCCCTAGTATTCCTCGGTAAGTGCCTTGGCATTGCTCCGAGACTACAGTGAGGAACCAAAAATGGCATTTGACGGGACAATTAAATCCTGTTGTTTGTGAATTTTGTTTGATTTGCGTGAAAAGAAGAACCTTTTAAAACAGGTACGGGCGCGCAAGCTGTTTTGCTACTAAGTTCGACCTTGATCACTCTGCTATTCCGACTTTTTTTTAGGATGGAAGAAAATCTAGCTATTCGTCTTTTTTGATAGGTTGACCACTGGAAGTATGGCTTTGATGTACTAAAATGTATCACTTTGTAAATTTTAAACCACGAAAATAAACCGGACTCATCCGTATAGACCTTGTAAGCCGTAGCACTCCAGTTTGGCGTGATTGCCAAAAGTCGACGTGGCTTTAATACCTCTCCTTTGTTCTTGGTCGGCGCCAATTCGGTCATCCTCGATGGGTCCCTCCTGTATCATTTTGATGTTGCATTTTGTCATCTCTGAGGACATTACAAAGTGTACAATTTTGTAAGCGGGTTTATTGTCTACGTACAGAATGGCAGGTTGGCTAACATAAACACATTTCCCTTCCACCAGGCTAGTAGGCAAATCGCGAAAGACCGCGGCAGCTCTCGTAGTCATTCACATCATCATTCTGCCGCAAATATGCCGGAAATATTTTTTTTGAATTTGTTTGCTAGGTGGCGGCAACTTCGGTCAAGTTGTGAAAGCGATCTACAAGACGCCTCAAGGCCAGGAGGTCGAGGTTGCTGTAAAAACTCTCCGAGAGTCCCAAATCGCTTCCACTGGCGAAGTACGTGTCCCATCTTTCATTGTCGTTTCCTCTTCGATTGTGTAGCATGAATGTAAGGCATCTTCTGTGGCCCGTCGAGTCTTTCCTGAAGATGAAGGAAAATATATTTCTGGGATGGAATATGCATTGCCAAGGCACAGAAGGGCTGGGTGGGGGGAGGGGACTACTCGCATGACCTGAAGGCCATTTCCGCCCAGCGGAAGTGCAAGGGCGGAGCCTTGAGTGCCTGCTAAACGAAACATTTTTGGTTTTTGATATAACATATGGGATTTTTGGCTGAATTAGGTTGTGTTCTATCAGGTAGGAAGACGCTCTTCTACTTAATTATTGATAAAGGGGAATCAACTCGTCCGTTACTTGCTTATAAATTGCATGCCTGCTTCTAATGTTCATTACGCGTTTGGATCTTCGTGAATTATTCTGAAATATGCCTCTTGGAAGGAATTATGCTATTTGGATTGACAGAACCATCAGCGTTTCTTAATCAGTGCTAAAATGAGAAATTCCGGTCTTCCAAATTTGGAGACTTAGTCGCCTAATGACGGTTAGAAGATGAACTTGTCATCATTTTGAAGCTTAGAGCCTCAACGCTACTTCAGTTTACTTATTTTGTGTTGCAGCAAACCATTCTCTCGGAGGCCGAGACCATGACCCAGTTGAAGCACAGACACATTGTTCGGCTAATTGGTAAGGAGCCTCATTTCCCATTGGTTGCCTAGCCAACCTTCTCATTCCCGTAAATTGTTAAGAGGTCTTTTGTGTTTCATTCATGTCAGTCTAGACTTATTATTAACAGCCAGGGATTTGTCGTCACTTTTAGGGCAGACAGAAAAGTTTTATGTGGGGACAAAAGTATCTTTTGGTCTCGGTGGTGGCTCGAACTGTTACCTTTTTCGGTATTTTATTTCACTCCAGGCGAGGTGTCATTAACTACGGGGATGTGACTTGTCTTACCACCTCTGGTACCAGTGTCACGTATATATGACGCTCGATTTTTGGATCTGAGCCTGGGGTTTCAACTGCGTAGCATGTGTTCCTTAACTAACCAGTTGCGTCAACTCTTGAGTCGCAGACAGACTAATTGAGCATAAAACACCAAAACAGATGTTTGTTCTTTGTCAGAGGATGGTGCCATTTTCCTATTTGATGATTTCTACCAACGCAACTTGTCGATCCGTCAGTGCCAATATGGATGTCATGGTGTTGTGGCATTCGGTATTCCGAAATTAGCTCTTTTTAAGGGCGATTTATGCATTCAACCATAGTACTGATTTTATCTTCCCATCGAGTTCGGTTCTTTGACATTAGGTTAGTTGGGTTTTACTGCTAAACTTGTTCACGAATTTTAAGCATCATTTACTGTCAATAGGGTAGGTTAACATCGAATCCCCTCTAATAAAATGACTGATTTTTTGGAATAAAAATGGGAGAATTGATTCGTGGAAGTGGGAGCGGGAGGGAGCACTGTGTGTTATAAACAACGGTGGTGATTTTTGTCCGAGTCTGTTTCATTATCCATCGTTCTTTAATACTCGTTTTACTGTTTCCTCCTACAGGCGTATGCAAGGCTCAGCACTTCATGCTAGTCCTCGAATTAGCGCCTTTGGGACCTATAAACAAGTACCTGAAGAAACATCCGTAAGTATGTTGATTTCATACATTTGATACGATACGCTTCGTTCTTTCTTACCCTCCTTAATCCTCATGGGACATTATTGAGGGGCGGAATTTGAGGGACGGTCTCTCTGGGCCTAGGGAAATAAAATTACCTCGCCAAAAATCTTGTTTTTTGGTGAAAAAGAGCAAACTACTCTAATGCTATTTTCAATCTTTAATTGCCCTGAAGAGACACTACACTCTAAATCATGTTGCAATGGAACGAAGCAGTTTCTCCGCAGCACCGCGATATAGTCACTCCAGTGTATTTCTTAAGGAAACGCGTGGACGTTTAGACACTTAAGCAAATTATATTTGTCCATTTTGGGCCCTCAGCGAAGGTCTTAACGCAATGCAAAGTCCAAGAGCCGTGGACTCTCGTGATAGCCACATCGAACTTGGCTTAGTTCAATTATCGCATCCTACTTAAATCTCTCAGACTAGACTATCGTAGTCATGGTAATTGGGTGGTTGGGAGCACATACAGTAGCTTTAATTTTTCTAGATTTAGATGTTGGGGGCATCTACAAGCTCAGAAAAGTGTTACCGCTTTTACTTTCTGGAAGTTTCTTTCCGGAACTTAATTCCTCAGCCAACCCAGACAAATTCTTGGTCCGCCTTTCCATTGAGGGCATGACGTGGAGATCCCCTTATTGTGAACTGGTAATCATGGTAAGGCCAAGACCATTCAGGATTCCAGTCTACGGATATCCATGTAGATACCGTGCCCTGATTGCGCATTAAGGTCCTCGTTTTCTCCAACTTTCATTTATTTTTTGCTTCGGTTGAGACCTTGTTAATGGCCTTGCTCACGCGAATAAACTCTAGTACGTAACGGATGTGATATTGGATGCGTGGGAAGGGTGGTAGTCCTTTCGCATTGTTAACAACCGATCAAACACGACTCTGCTAAAGTCTTCGTGTTCTTTGCAAGGGTTTAAAGATGTTGGGTATACTTCTAGACAGTCGAAGTGTTGCTTCATTATAACCTTAAAGACTGACCGATAAGCTGGTAGCCTGGATGGCTTGAACAGGGGGTCCATGCCTTTAGCATGACAACCAAGCCTCGGGAGACTGAATGGAGCAAGTGTTATGATAACATAAACAGTTGAAACAAGTGCCATTCGACTTCACACCATCGTCCTTATTATTACAACTGCTTTTAGAGATACGCCCGTTTGGGTGCTGTCAGAGCTGATGCATCAAGTGGCACAAGGAATGGCCTATCTGGAGGCCTGCAAGCTCGTTCATCGCGATTTGGCCGCCCGAAATGTCCTCCTCGTGACCCAACGCTTCGCTAAAGTCAGCGACTTTGGTATGAGCAAAGCCCTCAACTTCGGTAACGACTACTATCGGGTAAGTGAGTTCTCCCAATTCATCCATCTACTCTTGGATCACACTTTCCAATCCACACCACTGCGTTTAGCCGCATCTACACATTTTGCAGGCTATTTAGACCGAAAAATGGCAGTTCCAATTGCAAATTTTCGTTTCCCTCCCATCGTCCATTCTATTTATTATCTAGCTACCTCATTCGTTCGACCATGAATTATAAATGGGACCAAATCTCCCTTGGGGCGTATGTTCAATGCTATTGTTTACAAGTGTACTTTCCATCTTGTCATTATTATTGAGATCCGCTGAATAATTTTTAGAAACAACGCCGCCCATTCTTTCCCTCTTGCTCATACTATGCACCGAGGCAATCTCACCATTTCCTTCTTCACTGCTTGTCGACTCTTAGGTGCCACACGTCCTTTTATACCTTCCACTTCCGTTTACGCTCAACTGCTGCGGTATATTAACAACCACCTCATGACGGCCAATTCATAATCACTAAATTTGGTAAAAGTCCTTCCTGTGGCCACTTCTGGGTGTGTTCACGAGACATTTTAGAACTTAACATGATTTCTGTAATTGAGTCGTTTGCTTTTTTAGTAACTAAGGTAAACATTTGCCTCATCAAGAACTAAGTCTGAGTGTGTATAGAAACAGGGATCACGAAAAAGCTCGCACAAAACCCTGTTTCTGGGTCTTTTCTTCCGAGGAAACAAAGGCCTATCAGTAGAAGACGCACAAAAACAAGGAAAAAAGTAGGCGTTTAGAGGGTAGAAAGTGATGTACGGAAAGGCAGTTTTGACTGGCGTCGCATTGTCGGACTGTTGTAGATGGCTTATCTCGACTTGGATGTAGCTGTACCGTTGACAGGCACGTCATAATTAATGGGCTTAACTGGTTCGGTCTAGCCTATTACTAAATTCAGTTTCCTACTTACGCATTTTGGATTCTAGGTGATCGCAACAGAATTTTTGACTACTTTCTTGTGCATTTTAAAACAAAATCTTTTTTCTAACTTGAATAGGACTTGAGAAACCTAACAGATAAACTACCAAGAGACTTTACTGCACTTTGCTGTATTTTTTTGGTACAGTGTCATGAATAAGTCAATGACTACTACCTAATCCATCACATTTTTTCGTAACCATTTTCGAGTGTCCAAAAGCGTTTTTTTTCTTTCAAAGCATATTTGTGTCTTAAAATGTTTCTTTTTCACAGAGATCAGTCCTTTCTGAGGATGTCTAGAGAGCACATCTTAAATATGGTGGTGTAGCGCCCTGAGGCTTCCTTTGAAGGCGAAAGAAGACATAATTCTCGAGCAGAACATGTATTGTTGATGTACAGGAGGGTTGAGGGGTACTGTCATGGTGCAGAGGCCAGGCTGCTCAACAGAATTGCCAAGGCAGCGCCCTAAGCTCCCGTGTAAATGAAAGGAATAGTTAAGGAATCAACTAAATCATTGCATAGCTCCTTCCATCTTTTGAGTGTCGTCCTCGGCGCTCCCCCTTAGTCAACCTCCGTGGTCGTAGTCGGTGCTGCGCTAAAACACCTTCGAGCCAACCGCGCTAGACATCGAATTTTGTACATCTAGGAAGGTGTCTTGGTGATTCTACTGGGTTCGGAGTTTCATCCTGTATGCAAAACTCTATTGGAGAACAGGGAATTTGCTGGCCATCACGTATGTCCATCGCTAGTCGTAGGAACACTGCCATAAAAGGAGTCCTATAACAAACGATGGAGTTGAGCGTAGATTTGTGGGGATAAGATCTCGCGTCTACTCCTCCTCGCCACTTTGTCCCCACTTCAATGCTGTTCAGCCATATCTATGTAGTTGGATTCTATTCAGTAAGTAGAGACGTGGAGGCATCCACATCCAGGTACCGTGGATACCTCCGTAACAGAACTATGCAGATGGTTTACGGCCACGGCTAGCGTCACTTAAGTTGTTAAGTAACATTGCCCCAGAACGCGGGACTGCTGTATTTGATGAGGGTAGACGTCATTTTCAGCCCTTCTCTTAGGAATTCTCGCTGATCCTCCCATCAGGCGTATATGCGTTTCTTCTGCCACGCTAAGATTTATCACCCAGCAGTAGAATTCAGGCTGGTCGTCCTTCAAGATCAGGTCTCCTTTCTGCTTCCACCAATGTACCGTCCCAAGTCTCCCAAAGACGAAAAAATACTTAATACTCAGGCGGAATATGTGTTGTCGACCTAGTGGCATGGCTCAGAGGTAAGGCCACCTGGTGAAGAAACAATGGCCAAGCCCCCAGCTGCCCGTTACCAAAGCCGAGAGTCAAACAAATAGTTAGAGTATTACAGAGGTGTTTACTTGACCAACTGTCTTAGTCTAGAATGAGATATCGCCCACTTTAGACTGCACGACTGCATTTTAAAACAGACTTTTGATGCCTCGACTGCTGAATCGACCTGCTCTTAAACTTTTCTAATGTTGTTTACTTTACCTTTCCAAAATCAACATTAAGTTTATTTTGAACAACCAGTCTACAGAACTGGTGTCGCGTCTCCCCACTTCGCCGTAATTACGTGCCGAACATGATTAAGTAAGGCAGAATGCCGAGAAGGCGCAGTAGTTTGTGACATTTAAATGGAAAAATAACCTTCCAAAGTAAATATTTACACACATAAGAGGCAAGATGTTAATAAATAAGTAGATAAATGAGTGCTTTCATGCTTTATTGCACTCAAAATAAGAGGTGGAAGTTGATTGTTTTCTCCTTCTAGGACCTAAACCCCCAGGTACCTGTCAAAGTAAAAAACGAGGTTGCGTGAGACGGTGACTCCTTCCTTTCCTCAGTGTCACCTGCATTTCTCTAACTTATTTTTGTCGAAAGCTTTTAAATTTTTGAATGCTTTTCCATTTTATTTAAATTTACAGGCGGCTAGTGCGGGAAAGTGGCCGCTAAAGTGGTACGCCCCAGAGTGTATCTACTACTTCCGATTTGACTCCAAATCGGACGTCTGGAGCTATGGCATCACGCTATGGGAGGTCTTCTCCTATGGTGAAAGACCCTACAAGGTGAGGCACCTGCAACTTTATAGCTCCACCAGTCAATGTGGCTGGCTGCCAAAGTTGGTCTGTCTGATGACATTTCGCCCCAGTATTACTATTCAAGGCCTTATTACCATCTCGATTATTTGTATAGTTTAAAATAGATACTGCTGGAAGCACGATAACAACGCATAGCTTCAAAATCTAGATTATCAGTTACATTTCTGTAAGGTGCTCAAAATCTCTTCTCAATTATTACGAGTAACAACCAAAAGGGGCGCGTCTTTTCAAGGCTAGTTAGCGGAGCAAAGGCGTGCTGGCCACAAAGACAAGGCACCGTAGCCTAAAAAGGGCTAAAAAGGCGGCGTTGGAGGCTTGTTTAATGCCTTTAACCCAGTTATTGTGACAATTTATGCAAGAATCGCATTGTGGTTTCCTCCCTAATAGCATGTTTTCGTTGCCTAATGTGGTTGTTTTGTTTCAACCGCGTTGTTTATCACTAAGCCAAGGTCTTGAGAATTTTAGTGATCGTCGGAAATGGGCGTATTGTTAACCCGTTGTAAGAAGGGAATAAATTCTACCGATAAATTGCAATGAAATCTAAGCTAGTACATGCATCTCTAAAAGAAACGTTGTTAGGAGTTTGGAGAATAGTGGGAGGGCGGTAGCAGCAGGTAAGTAGCCTGGTCAGAGAGAAGAGGCTTTTCTGCTAAAATACTAAGAACTTTTTGTCCTCTTTCCCTCTCTAGGATATGAAGGGTGCACAAATATTGGCGATGCTGGACCAAGGTCTTCGTCTCTCGCGTCCAGTCCGTTGTCCCGAGGCCATCTATGCGGTGATGCAACAATGCTGGAATGCCGAGGGTGTGCGACGACCCACATTTGCCGAACTTGTGCTCACTATGTCGCGTCTAGCCAAGGGGCCCCTATTTCCTAACAACTTCTCCGGCTGCCATGAAAATGAACGCGGTGCTGGTGTCAGTGGCGAGTCTGTGGGTGCCTTTGCTTTCTTCTGACTTCTCGCTGCACCCTCCTTCGTCTCCCAGAATTTTATATCCTTACTCTCTTTTCCTCCCTACCCTCACTGTCTCTTCTACGCGTGTAATATACAGGTCTCCACACAAAAAGAACCTCATAAGCATGAATACTGCAGTTTTATGGCTGCTTTGAAGTGAAGTTGGGGATGAATGGTGGGAGGTAATGCGGAGACGGTGGATAGGGAATGTGTTGAAGGGGTGCGGGTTGGAGGTTGCATAAAAGCGAACTTCTACCAAGCTACCTCAAACGGTCGGTGTCACCTTAACTCACCAAGAGACTCGATTAATGCATCGGTCTAGCCAATTTTAGCTGGCTATTTATCCTGGCCGTGTGTCCCTTTCTCAGTTGTTCTGTAGAACCTTTGAATGGAGGCGGAAGGGGGGAATTTCGGTAAGCACAACTTCTCGGTGGGCGAGTGATTGTTATCCGACCCTTGAGGAAGTTACAGTGAAACGTGATCAGAGCATATGAAGCGGCTCAGAAATATACATCGAATGCCTTGAAGATCCTTTCTGAATAAAAAGAAGGACGGATTTCAATTGCTAATTAATAATCATTCTGCTGAATAGCACGAGAAGACAAGATGACTAATAGAAATCTCAAATGACATCAAACTAGATATGATTTGACAGGCCATGTCAGTAGAGCTGGAGTATTTGCAAGGCTTGTCAAAATTAATGCATTGATGAAAATAAAACTGATGATTAGACAGACTGCCTTCCAAAAATAGACTCGCTCAGCCCCCACAAAATCTACTTTTTACTCAAAACAGAAATAATAAGGTTTCTTGATTAGAGAACATAGAAAAAACGACGAAAAAGCGCTAGCGATGGGTTTCATGTTGAATAGGAGGGGATTTTTTTTAATACAAAGATGAATTGGAAGCAATGAGGCTATGAAGTCGTCTGCTTTATGGAAAAAATTACGTTTTTACCATAATTGGGAGAGCAATGTGTTATCCAAATGGCACCTAACCACTTGGTGCTCTGCATAGAGCCCATAGGGGCTTTTGGTGACTTTCGGGAAGTTAACTAGGGTGTCTCGATGTCTCCGCATTGCCTTTTCGATTTTCAGCGTCGCCTTGAATTGGAAGTAAGGAGGCACAAGATATGTGGGTTACCTCAAGCCCCTCGTGTATCCTTTTTTCAGGAAGAAATAGTGAAAAAAAGCAAGTCTACTAAGAGCGGATAAGGATGAGTTCATAATTTCCACTACTTCATTAACAACACGATAATTTATCCTTGGACATGGTAAAAACAAGAGGTTCTAAAACCATTCATAAAATTCCATCAAATCAAATACATTTTTTGATGGAACAGATTTTCAAGGACAGCTATTGATTTTAAGGGTTACTGTTGTTATGCAAAGTGTATTGCCTTGATATAACAATAGGTGGACTTGAGTATTTTGATTTTCCCAATTTGGAGCGCTAACAGCCACTTCGTAGCAAAAAAAAGTCGTAGTACCATGCCAGAAAATGTATTTGCGATGTACAGAGAGGCTGAGAGGCCACCGGCATGTTCTGGTGGTAGGGCAGAAGTGCACTGGCGGAGAGTTAAGTGCCCAAGTAACCAAAACCGAGAATTCAACAAACAACCAAAGCATTTCACAGCCCTTCTCCTGTTTTGAACTTCGACATGGGCTCTTCCCTTGTTCAATCTCTTGCGCCGGCCATCAAAAAAGTGTCGGAGCTGTAAGAAAAACTCTCACGAGCCAACCACACAAGTCGTCGAATTGGGTTTCGTGTCTCTTCCTGCTTGCCACTCTGTTCTCACTTCAGTGCTTTAATCTGGATTCCCTCCAGACGGTAAGGTGCAGGAAGCGGCGTCACGTGTTCATTTAATTGGCATCTTCATCTAGGTACTGCAGACACCTCTGTAGCGGACATTTCCAGGTGTTCCGCGGTTTGTGTTAATAGTACTCCTGCAGAACACGGGACTGGGGTGGTTTCAGAGGGTGATGTCAATTTCCACCTTTTTTGTCAGGGGTCGTCACTACTTCTCTCATCCGCAGCGTATGATCTTCCGTCACTTTAAGGGTTAGCATTCAGTAATAGAAATCAGGATGGTTGGCCTTTGGGCTCGAGCTCGCTTTCCGTTGCCATTAACGTAGTGTCCCAAATCTTCCATGAAGAAGAAAGAGGTTCGACAATAGGGCGGAATATGTATTGTTGATGGAGAGAAGGGCTGAAGGTTACTGTCATGACCTGGAGGCCACGCTACCAGCAAGGTACAATGGTGGAGCCTTAAAGGCTGGCAAAACCAAAGCAATATCCCCGTTTTAAACGAAGTAATACTTTAGAAGCATCAAAGATAACTTATAAAGGGGAAATTAGGTGTTCTTAAGGAAGCAAGCTGCTTTCTTCCCCCATTGCGGAAACCATTCATTAACTAAATAGTTAAATATTACTTTCAAACCCTAACCAGCGTTTGCAATGTTGCTGCAAATTAAAAAGTCCACGTAGGAAGCGTAAAACCCCGTCCTTCTGTGAGATAATGTTAGGAGCAAATGCATTTGCAAGAGAATGTCCCAAGTGAATTAGCAAGCATTACGTGAATGAGGTATTTTGGAGGTCGGCAGCGGAGTCAGATGACCTTTGGGAAGATAGATGGACTCAATTCTAGCTAGTCTCCATTTAATCCATTTTGATGGCAGATCTGGCGAAAAAATGAAACATTATTCCTTAAAAATTTGACTCCAACTTTTCAAACTGAGCATACGGTAAACGGAAAGGTGGGCAGCAAAGTGCGACTCTGGACTTTAAAATCGTTCCAGTGGAGTTGATATGCCGAGAGGGTAAATACCCGCCCTCGCAGCTCCCTTCTGTTTATTTCAGTTAGAGCCTTTTATGGTGAAAAAAAAACAACAAAATGCCTTTTTTTTGGGAAAAACAACCATGGAGAGTGTTGGTCGAGTAATAAATGCTTGCACATTTAAAAGGGCGATTTTGACGTCAGGAACTATTTTGGTCGCCGAAAATGAGGGTAGGGAGTGAAGGTGAATTTTAAACCTCCGCACTAATAAATATCCTGCCGCGTAGGAAAGCATAGACCTTGATGGAAATTTTATTCACAGTATACATTTATTCTGCTCAAAATTTTGTTGGAAATCGTAGATTTTTACATCCAAATACTTTTGGTACCAATCTCACACACATTAATTTATCTATCCCGTATCCATCTCGTATCCACCCTGTATCTATCTCTCCATCATTTGTTTGTACATGCATTCGGGCTTGTTCCCTTCCTTACTCCTCCTCCCCTCTATGCTCAAATGAGGATTTTAATTTACGTTTCGTGGTCTCATCTAACCATGATCTATTAGTAAAGCGTTCATCCTGCCATTTAGGTGTGTAATTTGTGATTCGACGAACGGTCTCAGTTAAAAGAGAAGAGAGGAGGAGAAATAAGCGATGCGTGAAAGGGAAACCGCACGTATGATTTTGAATTTTAAATTAGATATATGTAGCGAAGTTGACGTTCAACGGGTGGGTGACGCATATCCAAATATTTTGGACTAAAAGTAATCTTGTAACACTATGCAGAGCTCCTTTCGCAATGAAAACGGAAAATAAAATAAACAAACAACCACCATAATTATAATTTTCCATTTGAATAATATCCAACAGTCTAGGAAGCTTGCCCGAACAGCTTGCAGTAATTTGAGGATGCTCTTAATTACCCTCTCGTAATAAGTTGGTTGGAATTAATGTGATTGGAGACTCTCTGCCTGACAAACTGCGTTTATTTTAAAACTTCTCGTATGTTTTCTTATGTGACATTTGGAGAAGGTGCAATAGCGTAACTGCCAGAAAATTTTGTCGGAATTGTTTGCAACCCTAGAAAAAACATACAACATCACGAGGTGCTATAGGTTTCCAATTGGAATCCGAAGTTCTGCCCTTGAGCTTCCCTCTCCGGAATACTCCGGAAAAGTTCACATTCATTTCTTTCGCTTGCTTTCATCAGATTGGCCAGTATCTCGCGCTAATATACTCAATCTTTGCTAATACCCTACTTATTCTCAAGGTCAAATAAAAGGGCATAAATATGCTAGATTTAGGGCCATAGAGAACCTTAGGGACGGAAGAGTGGCGCGTACTTATGGTAGGGTCACAATCCTTCCTATACTCGGATGTACAGCGGGTGATGGAGCAGCAGCCTCTGTCTTTTAGTTTTTGCCCTCTTAATCCTTTTTATGGTGGAAACGATAGTGTCCGTGCTCATGCACATTCTAACATCGCACATGGGTAGCAGTTGGTAAAAGAATCCGTCAAAGATAGATGACTTGTCAGGGTCACGAAAACAGTATCGGCAGGCTACGTCGAGATTAACACGTCAAGAACAGCTTTCAGCCATGGTTACCATTTGCGATGAAACCGTTTGTCAAAACGGATGTCGCATGCAGTAAGAGAAGATAATAAACTTGAAAGATCAGAATTCGTTTCACCACCCTTTATTGCGCACTATAAAAATGCACCGTTTTTGGATTGTTTACCGAAGTACTACTTATTTGATGACGTGTCGTATCTGGTAGGCGAACAACCACACCACTGATTACCCTACAATTCTAAGCCACACACCACTTCATTCCTAAAAGACCATGCCTGATTGAGTTTTTGCTTACAGAAAGCTGCTCAATTCCTCAGAAACAACCAGAATCAGCCAATCAGGAGAGAGTCTCATTGCCACAAGACTACAAAAACTCACATTTCCTACCAAAAACTAACCATTCAGAAGATTTGTGCTTCAAATTGAAATGGTAGACACAAGCTTATTCTTAATTTCTGGAATCCCCTTATATTCCTCGATACGATTATCAGTTCTTTTGGCATAAAAATGGACAAAAGTAATAGAAACGCGTAATACAATGGCGGTTTATCCGTTGGTATTGGTGAGTTGCCACTTTTGTACTTCGAGTAAGCCTTGTTGTACCTCGCTGGGTGGGCTGGCCTTCGGGCCATGCCAGTAGCCCAGACACCTTCTATGTGCTGAATATGTATATTCTGCCCGAGTATTGTGTCTTCTTTCGTCTTTAGGGAATTTCAGGAAGCTAAAAATGAAATAGGGACAGTGGTGGATGGTTTTGGTTAGTGAGAAAAGGTTTGACAAGGATGAAATCTGCAGCAAGCTTATGCCTCATCGGGGAGGAAACGCCGATTTGCTTAGCAGGTATTTCAGAGAACAAGAGATTTAATGAGGCATTGTTTATTTTAAAATTCCATTAACTTACCCATTTACTTGATCATTTGCAGGGAGTCATCCCTTATTACACTTTACATGATAAATTATGGAAGCGCAAAAGCTCAAGCACTTAGCAGTTTTATGTAACTAATCATCAGTTTATTTGGTAAAATAATCGGAATAACTCAAATCATATTTAAAACTTGCCCAAATTTTGGTTTAAAAACTTCTCTCTTCTGATTATGAAAAAGGCTTTCTTATGTTCGATGTTTTTGTAAATAATGCTAATAAACGCGCAGTTGTTTTAAAAAAGCTAGCAGACAACCTTGACTGAACACAAAACACTCATTTGTGCTCTTTTTTAAATGAGAAAAGTGGTTTGGCCTACGAAGCGATTAAGGGATAAAAGGTTACTGTCGACCGGGCCATTATAATCCCTCAGTATATTCCAAAACAGCCAGTATGACACTTTTTAGACAAAATCGCACTTTCTTGAGGCAACGTGTTGCCTTTCAGTAGCACAGCGAAACATTGTAGACGTGTCACATAAGTGCTTATTTTATCTTAAATTACATTGACAAGTAGCATTTGACCGACGGCTATATTAAACACGTAACCATTCCCACTGACAGGTTTACTAAGTGCTATGTAGAGTAAGGCAAGCTATTTCACATTTTCAGGGGAATATCAGTAGCAACAACTAACGTTTTAAATTTTCAGTTAGAATAAATGTAATTGTTTTTTTCACCAGCCATCATAGCGATACTAGCCGGCCCGGAGGACGTGACGAGACATGATGACGGTGTTAAAGACGGCCTATGATTACCACACAATGGTGCCAGTAAATGTAAACCAAGGAGACGGAAAAGTCTGTGTAGCTATGTGCACGGCTAAAATATAAGCCAGATTACTACAGAGAAATGTCTATTATTTACTAGTAGGAAACGGTTTTTATTAAAGTCAACTTATGCTGCAGTTTGCTATTTTTTAAACAAAAAAGGAGATGATTAAACTCGCCTCCTTACCTACTAAACTTCATTCAAAGGCTCGAAACGACAAATTTATCACATTTGCTTAAGTTAAGCTATTCTTTAAACTTCTCATTACCCAAATTTGAAGCGTTCATTGCTTAATGTAGGGATTTCTTGATAATACCTTAAAACCTGCCCAACAAGCTTAAGCATTGTCTTTTGCTTGATGATACCTGTGCTTCTCCTAATCCCAGACGTACTAAAGATTTGTAAGATACTTCGGAGATAAAACGTTACCACGGCCAAAGCAATTTGCCGTGATAGGTCAAGTTGCGTACATGGTGGGTGGAGTTGATGGTAGGAGTTGGGGTTCAAGCGGTACTGGGGCTTTTTATTTCAGGGATATAAAGCGGCACCAAGTCACCTGTATATGGCTTATGGCCACAAGTTGCAATCTAAAATTTTTTCCTAAAAATAGCAAACACAAGATAATTGGTGAGCATGGCCGTGGGTGAGGCTTTAGATGAGGTCTATTCTTCACTTCAACCCTACAAAATTTAGTCAAAATTTATAGAAGAAAATTGCGTTTATTCCTGGTGAATAGCAGAGAGAGAGGCAAATTTATCATACTTTGCCACACATTTGAAAGATAAATTTTTGCTCTAAGGAAATTCTTCCGAGACGGCTATGACAATATCATTTATCTAGGCAAAGAATACTTGTGCCTATTATCACGCCTTCTGTCAGTGAAAATGTTGACTCGTTCAATTATTACCTAAGAATCACACCACCAGTTGGATTCCATGTTTGAAAGTGTCCCTTACAAAATCCACGAAAGCAACTTATGCAAATGACCTATAATGGATGAGATTATCTTTATGTTCCATTAAATTTCCTTTTTCTCTTTCTTATTTTACTGAGGTGCTGATTACCAAGTAGTGAAAAGGAATTATGTTGGTTCAAGCTGCTTGTTCGGCTACCACGGCTTTTTAGTCTCCTCGGGTCTTTGTCATCATACACTGATGTCATTTCTGTTGACAACCTACCATCCCTTCTGTACATTCTGTTTAAAATTATGCGCTTCTAGGGAGAGCCCTTACTAAGTTAACCTCACTGGTTCCAAAATATGCTGAGAGTACCCAAGAAAGGATATTTAAAAAGCTTAATATGAGCAATGCACTATAAATACAGAAAAGAGAGCGATAAAGAGTACAGAGGAAATGCTACGAAAGTGGGAAGTCAACTTAATAACTACCTTGAGTCGTCCGGAAACCTAAAACACAGTCTAACACAAACTGAATATCCAAAATGGGTCCAGACTCACCATTTATGACTTGCATAGTCAGGTTTGTCACCCCTTCTGGCAAAGACATTTGCCATAACTACTTCTGCTTCACAATGCCGTAAATTTTGCAACCTCTTTACATCCCGTAGCCTGAAGGTATAGTTTTAATAGGTTAATTGTTTGTTTAAAGCTCGATTTTGTCAGCGCGGACACTTAGGGGTCTGCTGTTGCACCTCCGCCGGGCTGACTAACCTCCGATCCATGGCAGCAGCCTTCAAGCCCTTCCGCCCAAGTACTATACCTTTTGTCTTCGGAAAAGTCTCTGAGTGCTGCATAATTGTTTATTTCCTTCATTTTTCGTAGCATTTGACAGATGTTTAGTCCCAAAAAGCTTCTATTTCTTTCATCCACACAGGAGAAAAGTTGGACATTTGGAATCATACGTCAAATGATGTAAGGAGAGCTATTTTTAAATGACGGTTTGTAAAATAAATCTTTTTTTTCTGAATAATTATTGCCTTTACATTATCAAACGGTTGGCTGCAAAGTGCCTACTGAAATGCGGTTATAAGCGACCAGACAGGTTTTTGTGTTAGGTACATAAACGAACAGCTACTTAACGTTTAGCATTGTTGCAGTTTCTGAGACAGAATTTGACGGTTTACGACTGAATCTGTCGATAATGATAACTACTATTACTTATCATAACTTCTGTACACCACTGAGGAGCAAGGATTTTTGCGAAAAAAATGTTACAATAGAGTGGTTAAAATGTCCACTGTATCAACAGCCAATCTCACCTCTGATTTCGCCTGGTTTGAAAAGGGCAATTGAAAATTCTCTGGGGAAGGTGATTCACCCTTACTCCTTGTTAAATTCCTCCCCTCTCCCTCAAACCCCTCACTTGACAAGGACCATTTGTCAAATAGCAGGAAAGTACAAACAAGCCTAGATCAAACATCAAAATCACGAATTGGGCTTTGGAATTAGGAAGGATGGAGAGGACTACTATAGATTAGCAAAAGGTCATAGTTAAAGGCGCCAATTTAGCTCACAAGGTAAATATTTTAATTCCACGTACCATGGAGGTTGCAGCTTGACAGGTGTCAAAGTCATGATACCTGCCTTTCAGAAAGTGGCAACACTCTCGCAAAGCTTGAAGCCCTGGTCATTTAAAAGGGTAGAAGAACACGAATAAGCAACCATCAATCAACACTTGATTTTGGTAAACTGTGCTGTCACAGCAATCAATTCCCAGAGGAAGTAAAAGTAGCAATTTTAGCTTTTGGTGCAACTCTATTATTATGACTGAATTAAATAATATGTGTTGGAGTAATTTGTGAACAGATCCGTTAAACATAATGGAGGGTATAGAGTTGGGTTAATTATTATAGCTCCTTTGTACTGTCGAGGTCTAAGGTATTCGACAGTGTTCCCTCCAATCTATGGTACCAATCTGATCAACAACTACTCTCACCTCTGCTAATATACACCTGACTTAGGTTTCACTTCATCTCTTAAGAGAAAGTGCAGACCAGTGACATTGAAGAGAGCTGGAGAAGGTTGAGACCACGGATTGAAGATTTAAGTCCCAAACTGGGGGTTAAAGGGAGAGAGAAGCAGGAAGTTTTTGAAGGGTATGTGGAAGGGTGGATGGATGTTCAGGTAGCACGGTCCACACATCTGGTTGCATTACATTGGTCCATCTCTAAAGTTTATAATCTATTCTACTGTCAGATTGCCCTAATATCCGTTTTTGACTTTACCAAGGCAACAGTAATAAATTAAAAACTTCATTAGTAAGTTTCATTTATTTATTTTCGCATGCAATTGGTTGGTTTACCGTAAATCCCTTATGCGTCAATTAAATGAGGAGCTCTACGATTTATAATGGCCCTAGCCTAGAACGACTTCAAGCATTAATTCCGCCTCCTGTTTGAATCGCGCCTCTCTTGAGTCATCACCTCTCCTTCCATCCTCCTTAGCAAAGATAAATCGTCAAGTCGAAAAAGTACTTACCGGAGTGGAAGATGTGGAGTTCGGAATAAAAGGGTCGAAGTGGGTGAGGGGTGGAGGAGGCCACAGGATCGAACATCAAAGTCCCGACAAAAGTGCCAAGACGAGGAGGCAGGGAGGGAAGGTGGGTGAGTGGGTTGGAGGATATCGAGCGACATCTGGTAGGCTTAGTCGACACGACGTCAAAATAGGCCTGCTTGAAGATTGTCGCAATATGGGTGGGGAGAATGTCTTCTCTCTCTCCACTCTGTGGTGTATCCTGGACTTGCCTTCGATTCAACCAGGTCTTATGCCTCCTTTTAGATTAATCATAAGTTGGAAGTTACCTCTTGATTCTTTAAAACTTATATTCGCACAATGAGGCATCCTTCACTCCTCATAAAGATGCAAACATTTACTCTTTGCAAGGAACAAGAAACCTTTACTTACAAATGGTCTCCTGTGATTGTTCCATTAAAAGAACTGCCTCTGAAAGAATAAATCAGGTTTGTAATTTCTTCCATTAGTGGACCTAAATACATGACTGTCAAAAGCCGTTCAAGTCTCAATGGACACAATTCGAGGGTTTTTGGCCTCCACAATGTCTCCATTGTCTGCAATAAACAATGAAGTCTTCACCGCTGCATCTCTCCTCCCTTACAACTTTAAGAAAAAGTTGATTTTGCAATCACCTCGCAATTTAAGATGCCAAATTTTTCCCTTTTCTTTTCCATAATGTCATTTTTCGTAGTCGTATTTTATTTTCTTTAAGCCATTTTATAGCCCTCCTCCATTGTTCTACATTCCCATCCTTTTGATTAACTTAACGGTTTTAAATCATACCCCTTCCCATTAGTAGAAGTACAAGCCCTTAAGGTGAGGAAAAAATGTGAATTTTTAAAGAATCGCTGGACCTTTTCGATTAAAGCAGTGCCTGAAAATCCTGCAGCTCCAGTTGGGGATAAATCCGGGCTTGTTTAAACAGACAGCCGTTTTTTTAGTTCACGCACAAAATTAAACTAACAATTTCAACTTAGCCATGTGAAAAAGTTGTGAGGGACGTCCGGTTTTAAACGGCAAAGTTTTTTGGACTTCCGTGTCTGAAACGGCATGCTACAGCAGGACGAGGATGCTGGGTAGTTGCCAGTGTTGTGTGCTGCTACTATCAGCTGTCACGTATGTCAGGGGCCAATTAAGGCACCCCTTGCCAAGTTGACTGGTCGTGGTCATAACTCATGCCTGAATAAGCGTTGAGTCATGAAGTGTCACGTGAATGAAGGCTTAAAATAGACTAAAACGCACAAACTCAGCTACAGGGCATTAAGGTAGCCGAATGGTCCTAATAAATCAAAGACAGGTGTAGGTCTGGACGCTAGTGGTAATACAGGCCGCTGTGATTAAGTTGCCTTTATAGTCATTAATGCGGAAAGCCTGCCTGATCTCGGATGCCTGATCAAGGCGTAACCCATACCGGTTTTGCTGAAGATCCTAGTCGTCTACAGTGATGGTTAAGATAACAGAATCCTCCCAAGAATATCTCCCACTTGGAGAGGTTGGAGCACTTTGGATTCCAGGGCACTATTGATAGGGGAGTAAGAGGATTTCAGTCCTTGATGTTTCAGTCCTACTGACAAAACTCCATAATCAAGCATTCCGCGGTATTAGTAAATGCGTATGGTAGAGAGCTAGGGCAAACCGCAAAAGCGATTCCCACTGTTTTCTTTTATCAGCTCAAAAATTCTCATCTTGCTGTCACTTATTCAAAAATATCCATCTGAAGAAACAAGAAGTCATGGTTTTAAGGGTCATAATTTGCAAAGTTTTAAAAATTAAGATGAGAAACTTTCAAAGCTAAAATGCTTAATCGATCCTAGTATTTAGTTTTATAGAATTCTGCCATTTAATCTGTTGAGCTTCGGGCCACAGCTGCTGCTCCCCAACCGTTCTTTACGTCAGCCATGCATTTTCTACCCTAGTATTATGGCCTCCTTCGACTTCAGAAAGGACCCTAGGTACCTTAATGTGACTGGAGAAGAGCATGTGCTGTGGATGGGAGAATCGTTGACCACGCCTAACGGGAAGGTTGAAAATGACGTCTACCTTTGGCAATTACATCAGTCCCGTGTTCTGAAAGAATACTATTAACAACTGAAGTGACGCAAGGCGTGGTTGTAAACTACCTAGAAAAATTCATCGGGGAGCTTTCCACGGTATCGCTATGAAGGTGTCGGATAAGTGGACACGCGATAATCCTCCACCTCTCTACTAACTGGATGGAACCCAGAGAGATAGGGCTGGGCAGAAGTGAAGTGAGAGCAAAGTGGCCAGGCGGAACAGAGGCAAAACCCCAACCCTTAAAACTGTATCAAACCCTGTTTTTATTGAATGACCGCATTTAGGTCAGTGTTCTTACCACTGGCGATGGACTACGTGATGGCCTGCTCATCCACCCTTCCTTAATCCAGCTTCCAAACAGGGAAGAACTCCAGATCCAGTGGGACTGCAAAGATGGATTAAATACATCGCAGTCAAGTTTCCTCTCAGTTTCACGCAATTTGGGTGACTGGCGCGGTTAGTTTGTGGGTAGTTTTAGTTCTTGCAGCACTGACTAAGGTGAGATTTGCCATGCAATACTTCATCTGTATTAACCACCTTTTTAGATCGGAGGTCACTAAGGTCTCCGCAGTTTCTACTCTCTCAGACTGGCATAGCCCCCGGGCAATATCAGTGAAGAACGGGGGTGCTGAACTACATTTAATTGCATTTTAAAACAAATTATCTATTCCACACGTCTTGTTGTTAAAGCAAATCCTGAAGAAAACTAATTGTAAAGTAAAACCCTATTGTTGAAGGGAGATTGCCAGCTGTAACAAGTTTTACCTATTTTTTAAATCCAAAAGCATTTAATCAGGTAACCCAATATCAGTATTTACTTTACAGCTTCTTTTATGCGTTTTGTATATCACATATTGCTGTCATTTAGGCTAAATTACTACATAATTTTATGATGATTGGTCTTGACTAAGTACTAAGCTAATTGTAACGAAACGTCCCTCAACTCAGAGCTAAGTATTTTTCCTTTAATTAATATCACGGACGATTAATTTGGTCTACTTTACACATAATTTGTTAATACGAGTTACTTGAAGACGTGTAGCGCCTTGAAACCTCTCAGAAGATGAAAGAAGACACAATGGTAGGATGGAAAATTTATTGCCACCGTACAGGGGGACTGAGGCGTTACTGGCATGGCCCATAGATCAGACCGCCTAGCGGAAGTACAAAGTCGAAGCCCTCAATATCCGCGTTACCAAAACGAAGAGTTGAACAGGTAACCGAAGTAGCACAGCAAATCCTCGAACAATGTTTACCCACCCAAAATATAATGTATAAATGCGTAAACTTGGTTATCTTTGTCAACCAAAATTAGGCAATTGTCTTCTTGTTGTGTAAAAATAAAACAATGCTTTTAAGTCTACATTTAGCTTTACACGTTTGACAATCCTAGCAGGTTCTGTCACCATCCGGGCGGTGTGGATGTCTGACGTTGTATCCCTGTCCGAAAGGACGTCAAATCCGATTTGGCGACTACTCACAACAGCGAGGTTATAGAGGCCACGTCCACTTCTGGCGGTCAATTCACCCCCGCGTTCTACAAGAAGACCGTTGCATACTGAAGTGAAACCAGACTGAGACAATTAGAAACCTCTCATCGCAGGTACGTTACAATATTCATGTGACTAGAGGTGAATTACGTAAACAACGGACACCGCCTCCACATTCCCAGTGATTAATTAAAATGTCAAGGGCTTTACTCTAAACAATGCGTAGGAAGAAAAATGTTTCTATGAATAGTAATTGGTACTTGAAATGTGTTAGTTTTAGAGTAATGCAGTGGATAGAGAAATATAAAGTAGACAAGTCGTCACAATGCAGTCTACAAGAAGGTGTAAACCGCGGAATCACCTCGTTCCTGACTTGTGGGTGGCTTCCAAAGGGCCAACACCATTTCGATTCTGGAGAAAAAGCGTAACCATGGTGGATGCTGGCGACGACATTCTAAAGGCAGAACTATGTAGTAAAACAAGGCTTTTGAAGTCCTCGGAAATCCCACCATTGTCTTCACGGGATAGACTCTTGTTCATGACTATAGCTATCCAGCCTTCCCCCTTCTCACACTCCGCCATGCCTTACTACATGTTCAGTTCCGACTCGGGGTGCCACAGTACCTACATTTAAGGGGATCCATAATAACAAGCTGTAGTGCAAAATCCAACTTAAAAGTAATGGAAATAGAAGAATTTTAAGGTGGTTTTGTCGTTTGCCTTTACATTAAAGGAAGTTTTTAGGAGAAAAATGTGGTAAGATTTCATTTTTCGGTTGAGACTCCAATACCTGCCTTGACATCATTAACCAAAAGTTATAAAAAGATATGGTACAAAAATAGAACCGATTACATTGCGTTTCGGCAATAAAACATGGTTGCCTGCTCCCATTAACCTAAGAGGCAGGTTTATTTTAGATTTTCATATAAAGAAAACACTGGTTTCACATTCCAGCAGTCACTTTACAGACCTTTATACCATTATAGATGTTCTCTCAATGTATAAACCTTAGATGACTCCTTTTACAAGACAAATGGGCGGGCAGGATGCTTCCTTATTGAAATTTTGCTATGAAAAATCCTCAACAATCCATACTTCTAAGCGACAAACAGATTACCGTGGGATGGACAATCTGGACGTGCGTGAGAGAAGTTTTTCGCAGATTTTGCTACCCCAGCTTTTTACGCCATCAATTCACCGGCTGTGGCCAAATAAGTGCCATCAAAACGCTCAGGAACTCAAAAAGGACAGAACCCTAGACGTACTAAGAAATCTAAAGAAAGTTGAAGGAAACATTTCATAAAAACTGGAGGATGTTTAATAGCACCTGAGTCTTCTCTAAAGAATAAAAGTCGAGAATAATGGGACGAGAAGTGTATTGGTGACGTGTAAAAGGGCTGGGAGGCTATTGGCATGGCCGGGAGAACATACCAACCAGCGGATGTACAAAAATGGGGTCTTGAGTGTGCATAAAACCAAAACGGTTGGACAAACGTTCCAAGCATCGCATAGTCATTATCCTTTTGAGCATTGTCCCCGACGCTCCCCTTAATCAACCTCCCTCGTCGGCCACCACAACATATATGGGTGCTGTAAGAAGAGCACCCACGAATCAACAGCGCCGGTCGTCAGATTTGCCTTCAACTAAAAAATTTTCTCACCAAAACATCACTTAACCTTTGGGGCATTTCTACAAAATCTGTACATTTGTTTTTTTCTTTTAAAAAACGGCGTTGGAGGAAGGAAATATTGCCGATTATCTCGAATGTCTATCGCTAGACATAAGAACACAGACCTAAAAGCAGTCATTTTATAAAGGACGGGGCTTGGTAAAGTTTTCTAGGAAATAAAGTTTCCTTCTCACCTTAGTGCTCCCTAGTTATAAATCCATTAAGCTCTATTCTACTAGTAGAGAGGTGGAGGAGGTATTGCGTGTTCCCTTCACTGACATCTCCATTAAGCTAGCGTATACAGCATGGTCACAAACTATTCCAGATGGGTCACGGCAGGTGCCGCGACCCAATTGTCAATAGCGTTCCTACGGAACACAGGGCTGGGGTAGTTACCGAACGTAGGCGTAAAATATTAAAACTTCTGCTAGGAGTCGTTGCAGATTTGCTTATCCTCAACATATGCTCTTCTTTCGTCACAGTAATGTTTAGTTATCAGCATTAAAAATCCGGGTGGTTGCCCTTTTGGCTCGGACTGGCTTGCTGCTGCCACCAATATAGCAACTCAAGTCATTCCTAAAGATAAAAGAAGTCATAATACTGGGACAGAATATGTATTGCTAACTTAGAGAAGGACCGAAATGCTACTGGCATGGCTTCTAGGCCATATGACCGAGCAAAGGTGCAAGGGCGGAGCCCCATTTTCCTACGAAACCAAAAGAAAAATTCAAACGTGAACCACAATTCTGAGATATTTAAATTAAACCCGAATATGTGGATTTTGATAAATACGTAGCTTACGGAAACCAGCAAACCGATAAAGCTTATAACAACCTAAAGTCCATAAAATGTATGGTTATCCAAGAACAGATCCCGGAACGCCCATAGTAAAAAGTGTCAAGTGTCTCAAGATTAAAATAACAGGTCCAAATTTCAGATGCTCTGTTATAAACAAACTTAACTAATGGGGAGCTCCGACTTGCAACCCGAACAGACGCAACCAGTTGTAACTACTTATTTGTACTTAACAGGATCACGCTGAAGTGGAGCGCTTTGAGTCAGTCCTGAATAACCCGACATCGAGGTGGCAACCGATCTATGGAGGATGAAAAAGCCGTGTAAGGAAGCGTATATAATTCAAATGTCGCCTTGCTTTATCCCTTTTTTTAGCAGAGGCCTCCCCTTCGGCTCTCTTCCGTGATCTCTCCCCTCCCCTTCTGTAAAGATAAATTACCTCTAAGATTGGAAAGTAGATATTGCGAAGCTGTACCTCTTCTAAAATTGTCTCTTTCTCATTGGTGGAAACATTTGTTATGGATTATTTTGGAATTCTTAAATATTACATGAAAGGCTCAAGAGAGTGATACATTTGAGAAGTGGTACAATCATCTAGACAACGTTCTACGGCGAACGCACTTCATATGTGAACATTTTGCGCAATGCATCAACAGATTATGATATAAGTTACTGTAAAATGTTCCAAAAGAGCGAATTTGAATTCTTGGTCCTTGACCCACTCCCTTGTGGACAATTTAAAAGGACTCAATATATAGGCGGATGCTTACACTGGACCCACTTTCGTTAACTGTTCTTTTGTGAGTCTCATATTTTCACCAAATCACACCTATGCTTACATCAGTGTCGTCTGAATGCGGAATTTGGACAAGGAGGGCAAGGTTGATCTTCAGTCCAGAACACTTTAATACCACTTTAGCCTATCGGTAAGGAAGAAGTCTTATCAACGCATCAGAAAGCTGTACTCCCTAACGGGACAACTTGACACCAAGACGATGACGCGATCCCAATGTCAAAAGAGTCTTGGTGGTAAAAATACAAAGTTTCATTAGAAGACTAGCCAAACTGAGTAATAAAGAAACGCTAATTCATGGAGGTGGTGTGCAGGTAAAACAATACGAACAGAACTGACTAATGCTAGCTCCTTTGTCATATTGTCACAAAGTTTAGTTAAAGTTGAAGGAGCTTTTATTTTTCCAAAAACATTTTTAATCAAAGCTCTCTTAAAAGTGGTGGGAAAAAAGGCATCTCAGAGTGCAGCCAGCTTTATCTAGAAGCTCACATAAGCAGTGGAGACTCTTTGAGAGCCTCCGTATGGTGTACTCTTACCGTTGGTGATTTTGATTTATACCAACTGTACTTAGCTTTTTCCCATTCCCTCTATAGCCCGCTGTTAATTAGAACACAAGCATGACATACTTTTATGCAAATAGGAAGGCATAAAACTTGGCGAGATGGGATGAACATGGCCCAGAGCCAGTGTCCTCTAACAGAAGTAAAAAGGCAGAGCCTTAAGTGTTCGTGAAACCAAAATGAATAGTTCAACAAACAATTTAAGTATTACAAACCCCCTCTCCTTTTTAGGCGTCGTTCCCGGTGTTCGACTTGGTCAGTCTCCCACTTCGGCCATCGCAAGGTAGTCAGTACTGCAGGAAATGTAAGCACAAAGCAATTGCTCTAGTCATTGAATTTGCTTGGAATGTTGCGGATTCCTCTTAAGAATTCTACTAGAATTGGAGTTTTGTTCCTTTTAGAAAGTGTTTTAGGTAGGTATGCCAATACCTTACCCATGATTTTATTGTCTAGGGTTCGTCATTGTTTCATTGTTTACGCATCCCGTGAAAGCACATTAATAGGTCTCTAAGGCATTTAACAGTAAACAAGCTTTATTCTCTGCATCTTATCGCTAATGAGTCTAAATCCAGTGATACGGTTTTAGCCTTCTCATACTACCATTCAAATACATAAGAGAGACTGGACGAAATTATAGGAGGGCCATTTGCATTATAATTGCTGCACAAGCAAAAAAGTGTCTAATAGTTTTCTGTATAGACCGTTCCAATGACTGGTTGCAAGTTGTGGTGGTCATTCCCTAACGCCGTAAAACCTACCCATGAAGGTGAATGAACCTCAGCATGGGATGAGATGTAACACCTCTTTCTCCTCCTTCGTATTCTCCGTGCTAATGCTTCCCCAAGTGATTATCACCTTTTCTTGTTGGTAGCATTGTATAATCTCATGACCTCATACGGAGTAGACAGTACACATCTGGAGGTCAAATGTTGAGGACGAAGTAGTGATCAGATTTTTGGTTCTAGAAAGGTGCAATTCACCACACCTTTGTGTCTCGTTGAGGAAAGAGGACAGGCCAGAATGGTGTATGCTTTACCGAATACTAGAATAAGCTCTATGCGTTTATTTAGCATGCATGACTAAATTGGGATTTGCCCGAACCTACTTAGCCAGCTCATTTAAAAGCACAAAGAGACAGGAAGAAAGAAGCAGAGCCAATAAATCGACTGAATTCTTTTGTCAATGCCAATAGGCCTTTTAGAAGGGGAATTCGTAGTTGATTAGATGAGGTTACCATTCACTCCAGGTTGGCGTGGTAATTGTTAACAATGCCTGTCGATAGGTGCAGCAAGTGGAGATACACTTTGTGGTAGCATTTCCACAGAAGGTGAGACTGGGGTATTCGTCTAAGGTAGGCGTCAGTAACAATCCTTCTGTCAGGAGTCGTCGCAAAGCCTCTCATCCTCATCAAATATCCTCCCTACCTTCACGTTAAGGCTTAACATGTAAAAATGGAAAGGGTAGTTGTCCATTAGAATGGGATTTGATATCTGCTACCACCAATGTAGAGTCCCGAGACTTCTCTGAAGGCAAAAAAAGCCTACTCCTTAAAAAATTTGTGGCGGCAACGTATAGGATGGGGTGGG